GGCTGTCATCTCCATCCTTCAATGCAAACTCCCCAGTGGCTGTTCATAGCACTTCGCTTAGATTTTGCCGTACGGCGTATTTGCCGTATCATCTTGTACCCACAAAAATCAAGCCGGCGCGCGTCATTAGCATTTTAGGGCCTACGGCCGTCTTACCGAGCGGCTTGAGTTGTGCACTATACCACACTGGGTCTAGTCGAGCCTAGATCAAAGAGTGCAGCGATCTAGTCCTACTCGTCCAGGCCCCGTGAGTGGCGCAGAACAAATCTCAATAATAGTCTGCCAGCTGGAGTTCCTTCCTTTGTTCTACATCTCTGAGCCTTTCTCGAGATACTTTTATCGCTGCCCGCCAAGCACCAGCGACGACAGTACAAGCTCACCATGGACCACGACGACTCGGCCAAGGCCAAGGCCACCAGCGAGGTCATCTCGAAGGCCATTGACGAGAAGCATGAAGTGCAGTCGGAAAAGGAGTCCACGTCGCCCACGACTACCCTTAGTGATAAAGAGAAGGAAATCATCGACCTACAGTTAACAGCACCTAATCTCACAGTTGGCTACTTTTCCTTATTTCGATACGCCACCGCCAAAGACAAGGCCATTATGGTTGTAGCGTTGATTGCTAGTATCGCGGCCGGTGCAGTAATGCCATTGATGACAGTAAGTAACGCACCAAATCACCACTTTCATGTGCCAGACCACAGTTTTCAGGTCATGTCATGGCTATGAGTTTCGCCAACTGCATAGATTGGCCGTAATTGTACAGTAAGAATGCAAAGCTGACTTGACCCAGCTTGTTTATGGTAATTTCGCGGGAAGCTTTACTGGCTTCTCAGTCGACGCAGTTGCAGTCGCCAGATTTCAGCATGAAATTGAAAAATTCACATTGTACTTTGTGTATCTGGGTATTGGGGCGTTTATCACCTCATACATCAGTATCATGGGATTTTCGTACACCGGAGAACGCATCACACGAACGATTCGAGAGCACTACCTGCGCGCCATCTTCAGGCAAAACATTGCTTTCTTCGACTTCCTAGGCTCCGGCGAAGTCACCACTCGTATCAGTTCCGATATGAATCTTGTCCAGGATGGTATCGGCCAAAAGATCGGTTTGTTTGTCACTGGAGTCTCCATGTTTGTGTCAGCTGTTATCATCGGTTTCATCAGGTCCTGGAAACTGTCTTTGATCATGCTATCTGCCACAATTGCGTTGATATTGATGATGGGCGTTAACGGTACCCTGATGAAGAAGGCGCAAACTCTATCCATCGATGAATACGCCACAGCTGCTTCCTTGGCCGAGGAGGTGCTGTCCTCAGCTCGTAATGTCGCTGCATACGGAACACAAAAGCGTCTTGAGGAAAAATACAAGGTCTTTGTAGATCGAGCAACTAGGTTTGACTACAGGGCAAAGTTCTGGCTGTCGATGATGATTGCTGGAATGATGGGTGTGCTCAATCTTCAGTATGCCTTGGCCTTTTGGCAAGGCAAGCGATTTCTAGACGACGGAGAGCTCGGTGTCTCGAACATCCTTACCGTCGTCATGGCGCTCATGATTGCGGGCTTCTCCATCGGGCAGAACTTGCCTCATATTCAAGCTTTCGGTGGAGCTACTGCGGCTGCTACCAAGGTCTTCAACACAATTGAAAGAGACTCTCCCATCGACCCAGAAACCGACAAAGGCATCATACCCGATGACTTTGTTGGAAACCTTGAGTTCAGGAATCTCAAGCACGTATATCCTTCTCGTCCAGATACTACGGTGCTCTCGGGTTTCAACCTGTCTGTACCTTCTGGCAAGATGGTTGCGCTTGTGGGTGCGTCAGGATCTGGAAAATCCACAATTGTTGGACTTTTGGAACGCTTCTATCTACCAATGGAGGGCCAGATCTTCTTGGATGGAAGGGATATCGCCACTTTGAACCTACGTTGGTTGCGCCAGCATATCGCCATTGTCAGCCAGGAGCCTGTTTTGTTCAGCACAACCATCTACGAGAGTATTTTGCACGGGTTGGTTAATACAGAGTATGCAAATGTATCGGACGAGAAGAAGATGGAACTTATTGAGAACGCTGCCAAGATTGCCAATGCCCACGACTTCATCATGGACCTCCCGGATAAATACCAAACTAAAGTTGGAGAGCGTGGTGGACTGCTTTCAGGTGGACAAAAGCAACGAATTGCCATCGCTCGTGCCATTGTCTCGGATCCCAAGATTCTTCTTCTGGACGAAGCTACCGCTGCACTTGATACCAGGTCTGAGAGTCTAGTCCAGGACGCTCTCGACAGAGCATCACAAGGACGAACAACGATCGTCATCGCCCACCGACTGTCTACTATCAAGAAGGCTGACAACATTGTGGTCATGGCATTGGGGAGAATTGTCGAGCAAGGCACTCATCAAGAACTTATCAACCTCAACTCTGTGTATGCAAGTCTTGTGCAGGCTCAAGAGCTAACTTCCAAGAAAACTACCGACAATAGGATATCACACTTAGACGATCCTGAAAAACCAACAGGAGGCGAAGCAGACGATCAGAAACTTGCTTTGTTGCGAACAGCGACATCAGCCCCTTCTGAATTCTTGGCAAAGAAAGACGACAAAGACAGGAACTACGGCGCCTGGGAACTGATCAAGTTTAGCTGGGAAATGAACAAGGGCGAACACAAGGCAATGACTCTCGGACTGATGTTTAGCTTCCTCGCTGGTTGCAACCCCGCCTTTCAAGCCATCTTTCTTGGTAACTCGATCAACTCGCTCTTGTCGCCCGGAACATCGCTTGGCGGACATGGCGTCAACTTCTGGTGCGGCATGTTTCTCATGCTCGGACTTGTCATCGGTTTCTTTTACTACGTCCAGGGTCAGACACTATCCAAGGGATCTGCTAAACTCGTCGGTAATGTGCGAATCCGCGCCTTCAGAGCCATGCTTCGCCAAGATATGGAGTTTTTTGACGGCGAAACGGTCACTTCCGGAGCTCTCAGCAACTTCCTGTCATCAGAGGCAAATCGCCTTGCCGGTCTCAGTGGATCCACTCTTGGGACTATTATCAGTGCTGGCGCTTCTATCTTCGTCGCCTTTATTGCCGGATGCTCATTCGGGTGGAAGCTGGCTCTCGTGTGCTCTGCAACCATCCCTCTTGTTATTGGATGCGGTTACTTCCGTTTCTATGCACTCACTCGTATGGAGAAACGAACCCAGGAGACATCCGATGCTGCAAGTTTTGCCTGCGAGGCTGCTTCGTCTATCCGCACTGTTGCGACGCTTTCGCTCGAGAAGCATCTCTTGGCCGAGTACCAAGCTAAGCTAGTAGACCAGGGCAAAGGCTACTTCAAATTTACAAACGTGTCAGCCGTACTCTATGCTACGTCTCAAGGATTGAACATGTTGATCTTTGCCCTGGTCTTCTGGTACGGAGGTCAATTACTGTTCCGTCGGGAGTACACTGTCTTGCAGTTCTTCATTGTCTATTCCGCGATCATAAACGGTGCTCAAGCTGCTGGATCTATCTTCTCCTTTGCCCCAGATATGGGCGAGGCCAAGGATGCTGCCAAGTTGCTCAAGTCGTTCCTAAACCGCATCCCTAAGATCGATCACTGGTCCGAAGATGGCAAGAAGATTGATCACCTGGTAGGAAAGGTTGAGCTTCAAGATGTACGCTTCACATATCCAGGGCGACCAGACCACCGTGTATTGCGCGGCGTCAATCTCACTGCCGAGCCTGGTCAATTCATTGCACTTGTTGGTGCCTCTGGTAGCGGAAAGTCGACCGTCATGCAGCTGCTGGAGAGATTCTACGACCCGACCAGCGGTGCTGTACTTGTTGATGAGGTGCCACTGACTGACTACAACCTCCAAGACTACCGTTCACAACTAGCCATTGTGAGCCAAGAAACTACGCTCTACACGGGCACAATCCGCGAAAATATTCTGGCAGATAAGGAGGAGTTGGGTGATGACGTCGTCATCCAAGCATGCAAGGATGCAAACATCTATGATTTCATCACATCACTACCAGATGGCTTCAACACGCTCGTGGGCGCAAAGGGTGCTCTTCTCTCAGGTGGCCAGGTAAGTCCTTTTCTCCCTATCTTTTCGCACAATAGCTACTGACTCTCTCCAGCGCCAACGTTTGGCAATTGCCCGTGCCCTTCTCCGTGACCCCAAAGTCCTCCTTCTCGACGAAGCTACTTCTGCTCTCGACTCCACATCCGAGCGCGTCGTACAAGACGCCCTTGACTCCGCCTCGAAGGGCCGTACTACAATCGCCATCGCACATCGATTAAGCACAATTCAACATGCGGACGTAATTTACGTGTTTGATCATGGCAAAATTGTCGAGAGGGGCCGACACGATGAGCTGGTAGCCAAGAAGGGCGTGTACTATGAGCTAGCAAAACTGCAAGCCATTGGAGCACCGCAGTAAGCATATACGGTTTTTGATGCATAGAGCCATGTTGGACATATATATTGTAATATCTTTTTTCGGCTGGGTATTTGGGCTGGTAACCATATCCAAGACATACACATAGACGGCCTTCTAACGGTCTTTTGTAAATAAGAGTACATGTTGAATTGCACCACTCCGTATTTTGGAATCGCACCCAGACTGTCCCAAGGCTATTCCTCTTTTTGCACTGCGATGATGTCTTCACTTTACGAATCACGTTACCGGAACATGGTTTCACGTGAGCACGTGTCGATCGGCCCATTTGATAAGACGCGCATGGATCCACGAGAGATACCACTCCAGCTCCTGTGCCAACAAAAAAATGCAATATAGAGCGTCAAAGTAGCAAATATGGCCGCATTAAAGTCTGTTCTCTCTATCGAATCTGCCAAGCACAGCTGTCACCGCGGCCGAGCTCAACGCTTTCAGGCGTCCATCCTCGCATCGACCACCACCGTTCGCGCCTCGCCATGACGGCACTAACACAACAGGCGCCCTTCTGCGAAAACCTAAGAAGAGGGGAGCCGTAGCCGTGTCTTCAAAAGCACTCTCACCCTCCTGAAACGCCCTTGAAAAAAAACTCAACACACGACTTCGCCCGCGGCGCAAAACAAGCAAAGAAAAAGAGGAAACTCCCTCACAATCAACACGAGAGATATGCCCAAATCAAACGGCTGCCGCACCCTCCTCCTCACCCCGCCCGTCCTCCTCCTCTTCCCCACTGCAGCCCTAATTTCAATCCTCGAGCGCATCTCAAAAAACACCTTCTACTCCAATCTACAGCGCAGCTTTCGCACGGGGGCCTTCCAACTCGTGCTGCCACGCCCGGGCGGCGGCCCCGACATCGGACTTACACTCGACTTCAACCACGCCCCCGTCATCTTCATACTCGGCATTTGCGTAATTGCGTACGCGGTGACTGTGCTGAGCGCGGCGGGGATATGGCAGTTGAAGAAAGTCGAGGGCACGGCGAGACATGAGCGGGTGTGGGTGTGGGTTGTGCTGATATCGAATGTGGTTATGATAGGTGGGAGTCTGGGGGGATTCGGGTATGCAACCAGCGTGCAGGCGCGGGATGGGACATGGAAGAATTACGAAGATGCGGGTCGGCCTGATCAGGAACTTACTCGGGAGACGTGGGCGTGTCAGATCCACAGTTTGTTTCCTGGGGAAGGATGGGCGGGGACGGCGTGTGGGACGAGTCAGGCTATGCGGTATTTGCTGTTGCCTATGGCGGTGGCGGCGATGGCGGTGCTGGGGAGTCTGTGGGTGCTGATTAGGGGAAGGGGAGGGTTGAAGTGGGTGTTTGGGGGGCAGGGGAGGTATGCTGGGTTTCGCGGTGCGTATGAGTTGCAACCGCAGGAACAGAATGTAGTGTATTCGGGGCCGCCACCTGTGCAGTGGGGCCAGCAGCCGGTGCAGCAATGGCATGGACAGCCGGGTCAGCAGTGGGCGCCGCAGACGTATCAGCCGTATGGCCAACAGTTGTATGGTCAACCGCCTGATCAGCCGTGGGCACCGCAGCCGCAGCCGCAGCCCGTGGCTCAGGTGTCGAAGTCGGATGCTAATGTTGAGCAGCGCCCTGTCTACCAGTGATGTGCATCTTTTTCATATTCCAAGCCGTATTTTTTACCTTTGCATATACTTTTACCTGTATTGACCGCTTTCGCGGCATTGGTTATACTTACATCTTGTAATTGTCACACGCCTCTGTTTCTCACACGGCGATTGTTTCCCTTTTTCACTGCTAGTTTATGACGAGAAGGAAAAGCTCATTTCCTATCCAATGAACCCGAACATCGAATATAAAACTCCACTGATTGACTATGAATATTAAAAGTAGCTACCGAGTCCAGGAGCTACGACTGCAATACAAAAACAAGCACTGCACAAGCATGAATGTACCATGATAATTCATAAATTATACTCTACCTCCCAACAAACAATTACCACTTAACCAACCCACTACACCTTTCCCTAATCCTCATACTCAAACACCCTCACACCCCGTCTGATCAAACCTCACAACCTCCGTCGCATTCGACCCCAACGCCACCGCCCTCTCCACCCATGCCTTGATACTCTCCTCAGCCGGTTCTCTCACTCGACTCAAAATATACAGCGTATTCCACTCCTGCGTCTGCACAATGGCCCAATCGACAGCGTAATCTATTTTACATCAGCTTCCCCTCCTTCATCCAATCTTCCCACTCCTAACAGGGAAAGTGAAGAAAAGATAGTGCAGTAAACGTACCTTGAACAATATAATTCGGTCCAGGACACTTACTCCCCTGCCCCACCGGCGGTGTCCCAGGAAACCTCACTGTAAACGCACCAACGAGACCGTACGCAGGGGGCGCAGGGGTAGCAGTGCCTTCGATACTGAAAGTCGAGGGGCTGGCAGATGCGGAGTTGAGGACGCGGACGGTGCCGTTTGCCTAGTCCCCCGTTGTCAGTATCAAACAATCAACATCAATAGTACATACATATGCACATATATGTCCATTGTTTTTGGAGTATTGGGGGGGGGGGGGGGTAGCAGGGGAAAAGACGCACGTTGAGCGAGTAATTCGCGGTTACGCAGCGGGCGCCGGCGGTGGGGCCAAAGGGTGTGCCGGCGACTTGGTACCAGGTGCCGAGGTAGCTGTTGAGGTTGAAGTTTGGGTCTGGGATGGGGTAGAAACAGGTTCCGTCGTATTGGGCTGCAGCGACGGAGGGAGAGGAGGGGGTGGTTGAGTTTGTTGGGGGGTTACGGGGGAGGAGGGTGCAGGAGGCTGTGGAGGCTAGAGTGAGGATGGTGGTTGGGATGCGCATTTTTGATAGTATGTATGTGATAGTAGGTTTCTTTGGGGAGGGTGATGCAATTGGAGAGGAGGGCGGTTGGAGGGTCGGGAGTTGCAAGTTGATAGAGTAGCAGGGTAATGTGGAGTTGCTGTGTAGATTGTTTTATATTTATCGAATTTGCTCTGCGGTTAACTTGGTGCAGTTTTAGTAATTGTGGTAATGAGTACTAGGCAAGCCACATTTTCTTCCCTACGTACGTAGGATTCCAGAAAGGAATGGGAACATGCACATATCCCGCACGCGAAATACGGGTGCACAAGAGACGCATTAGAGGTAGCCAAGCATATACGTCCGGGCTGTGTTATAGGTTCGGATGAGCCAGGTACCTGGGCTATTACTAAAAGGTGATGGATATGTGTAGCCGAGGCATGCGAATCGAGTGTTGATGATGCGAGGCTGGGGTAACTAAACGATGACGAAGGTTGGGTGATGACGTCGTGCCGACTTGGCAATGGAGCGCAGGTGAAGTGCATGCCGTCTGCCGTATTTGACCGTATTGCATTGTGGATTCTAGGAGAAATACCTCAGTAGTCGAATATGTAGTAACAAAATCATCACGGTTTACAAGATCACATGAACATTGAAGAATACCAGCATCGCTCAATGAATCAGCGCGTATAGTTACACCTAATGAAACATCCATGGTTTTCAAGCTCACCTATCTTTTTCCTTTTTTCCTTTTGCAGACAAAAACGATAAAAAGGGGAAAGGGGCCGAGTCGGTTATCCGCAACTAACATGTGACCAGAAATTCCAAGTTGGCAAACTCGAACTCACAGTTCCTGTAGAAGAACTTTTTGGTAAAAAAATTGGAGAGAAGGACATAGGTTATATATTCATAAGTATTACTTGCCCACACGACCCGCCACTTTTCCAATACTTTGGCCCAAGATAGATAATACAAAAGAAGAATGGCAAAAAAAAAACCACGCCCCCGCGTGGTAGTACAGCTACTACGACTATTTATCCCAAGTAACATTCCAACCATAACCAGGAATCATATCCATAAAGAGAACAAACCTCGTCCCAGCCAACGAACTCTCCTCCCCAACAGTGACAGCCCCCAACAACGAACCCTCGCTATCATGACAACCCTCTGGACTCATCTTCTCTAGAATCTGATGAAAATATCCATAGCAATCTTGCACCTTCCAGAAGACAAGTGGATCTGGGGCGCCATCTCCCTTCCCCCAAGGAGGTGTTACTTCAACTGCGGTAATAATATCCGTTAGCCAATGGCTTCAGATTTCCCAAGTCGAACTCGAAAGGGGGAGGAGAAACTTACACGTGACCTGCGAAGTCTGGAAGTGAGTACCGTTGTACCTACTCGCTTCGACGTTCGGCGGCCTGTAACTCTTTGGGCCGTCGATCTGGTAGTCGATAGTTGCGGTGCAGAAATTGCCGTTGGAAAGGCGGTCGCGGAATGCGCACTCGGGCATCATAGCTACACAGGCATTGTTGATTACAGTTTCTATGGGATCGCTGCGCGCGAAGCTAACGTGAAAGTTGGGTTCGTCTGTGTTCACACAACCTACTTTGGTGCCGGGTGCTGGTTTCCAAGTATCGCTCTTGCCCGTCTTGGGTTTCAAGCTTGTGGCTAAGGGTGAGGCGAGGGCGCTGGCGGCCAGGGCACTGATGAGGAGGGTGAAGTGCATAGTGGCTTGTAGAGAAGGAGTGTCTTGTTTGTTAAAGTTCTGGAACAGACCGGAGAGAGAGAGAGGAAGAGGTAAAAGGTAAGACCGGGACTTTCTAAAAGGAAATCCTATTTGGGCAGTCTTAAACTTCGGGAGGAGGGGGGAAAGAAAGAAGCGGGAGCGACAGACGTTGGATAGTAGATGGGGTGCTACTAGATATTTAGGAGCGAAGGATAGTTTTACATACTAACTGGCGAAGAGTAACCCGTGAAATTACGGCAGGGGCAACGTCTCGGCACAACCTATGGTGATGCGCACATATCAGGGCAAAATGTAGGGGGCTGAAGAGACGAGCCGTGCGCCCGTAAGAATGACGAATGGTGCACATGTTTCTTTGTTTCGAAGGGGGGCTTTCTGAGAAAAAACAGTCTCCTATGGGACGGCATAAGCTTGGAGTGACGTGGGACGGGTGTATGTTGAAACCACGGGCGGAATCTTGTGTATGACGGCGTGCCCTTCAATCCACACCCTAATTGACCATATGAGTAGTATGGAAATGGGGATGGACAGCGTGTGGGGTAAAAGGCCCCTGCACCAAACGATCGACGGATGTGCCGAACATTTCGAGTAAGTAGTGTACTAAACACCAGCTGACAATGTCTATGTATATGCCCATGCAATCACCCTATTCGATCTCTTGGAGCGAGTCTGCCGTCTCGTTTCTTCTGTACAGGACGAACACGGGCTCGTGCACACGGTTGCCAGATGTATCGTTCTTCGCTGATGTGTCTTGGCCAACAGGCACGGGCAAACATTGGACAGTGTGGCCTGTTTAGGTCATGTCGATGAAACAACGAGGACAGAAAGGAGGGTGTCATCCGCCAAGACACTAACCTTTCCTTCCCAATTTCACGTGTCCGCAATTAGTTGCAGCTGCACCGCACCATATCCCGTGGCGCAGGAACCTTAAAAGATAAATCGAAACAAGAACCTATCTGTGTGCGCCTATTTAAATTGTAGGATCTGCAAACGCTTATAAAATTGGTTCCTTGGGACTGGAAACAGACGAATAGCAACGGGCTTTTACTACTACCCGTGTGATCACTCTTTTTGGGTAGTATGTATTTTGTGATTCTGCATCAAAAACTGCCTTGTACGCATGGGACATGTCAGCAAGAATGAATTCGACTAGTAACTCATAGCCACACTAAATGATGTAATTCCAACCACTCGCAACTCTCAAATTGCTACACCCTTTCTAAGCATGAAGGTTGGCTGTTCTCATGCAGGGCGTACGCCCAACTATCAGCGCTAAGTATCCCAAGATGAGGTCTTTCTCGATAAGGCGGGCTGCTCTTAGCCACAAGTGGCATACCGCTTACATACAACCACCTCACTTTCTCGGGTTGATTGGACAAGATGCAACATCTCCACTAGAACAAGAGACGCGTTTGGTCAGCCGCAAGCTGCGAAGAGATGCTCGGAGGCAGACGGCCGTCTTATCGCAGATAGATACAAAGAAAGCAGGTATATGATAATCGAATAGACACTGTCTCTTTTCCACCACCCCAAACTTGAAAGAAAACAATAATGATGACCACAACTACCAAGACTCCATGGGCCGACACACCCTTCCCCCTCCTCAAAATCCCCGGCTCCCCAGGTGCACCAACCTGCTCAAACGCTGGCGTCCTGGGCGTATGCATCGAAATGGCAAACGTCCACAACCTCCTCCTCCGTGGTCTAAACTCCATCTACAACCAAGCTCCCTTCGTCACCCTCCCCGCCGACATATCCGACCTCATGCTGTACACGACCGCCTGGGCCGATACCATCCACCACCACCACTCAGCCGAGGAAACCCTGTTCTTCCCGCGGATCGAGGCGCTGGCGAAGGCAGCAGGCCAGGACTGCAATATGGCGGGGAACGTGGCGCAGCACCAGGGCTTTGAGGCTGGGATGGCGGAGATGGTGCGGTGGGCTAAGAGGGTGGGCAGTGGAGAGGTAAAGTATGATGCGGAGGTGCTGAAGGGATTGATTGATGCGTTTGCGCCGTTGTTGACGCAGCATTTGCATGAGGAGATTGATACGTTGGTTGAGCTGGAGAAGTGCGATGAGGAGGGGGTTAGGAAAGCGATGAAGGTGACGGCTGATGAGGGGGCGAGGACGGCGGATCCGGTATGTATTTGCATCTCTCTTCTTCTACATCTTACTAGTCGTGGTTTCACTGCTGATATTTCTGGTTGTGTCGTTAGAACCTCGTCATACCGCTGGTCATGGGATGTCTGGATAAGAATTATCCTGGCAGTGCTGGCTTTCCTTCCGTACCGTTCTTTGTGCCTTGGTTAAATGCGTACTGGTTTTCGAGAAAGCATGGTGGGTGTTGGAGGTTTAATCCGAGTGATCACTGGGGAAGGCCACGGCCATTGCATTTTTTACAGTGATGCAAGGTGAGGGTTTAAGGTGGCTATGTGGGTAATGGATATATATGTTACATCTGCACGGGCTTGCAGCAGGTTTTGTTGAATTGCGCTAATGGTTGCTGCTTTGGCATTTATATTACTAGAGATGGATGTTGGGTTTGTCCTTGTGAACATTTGCTTCGAGCGTAGTAGTGCGGTCCTAACGCACATAGTACAAGTTAGTGACATGCCAATTGAATTCGTGTCTGAGCCGATTGAAACGATGAACTAGCTGGGTTCTAAGTATTTTCTAAAGATATGTAGTGGTGATTTGATATCGGGGCGTACAGAGGAAATCTTGGCGCTTCACGACGTTGGTATAAAGTACCGGTAGGGGTCGTTGTGAATGTAGTGAGTTTCGCTAAAGAGTAGCTTCTGGCATTAGAAAGTTGGGTAGAATAACGAGAAAGCGAGCGATGGGAATGTTGGTCAGACTTGAAAAACATTCAAAATGAGGCTTGGTAGTAGCGTGGAGGAGTAAAGTGTTACAAGTAACAAGAAGAATTCTCTCCTTGACAAGTGACGAGATGGCTGAAGGCCTATGGACGTCCACGCCAGAAGGTAATGATCATCGCGGGGCGAGGATCACGTGATTGACATCACGCCAAGACGACCGTCAGACGCTAGTATGTGATGGCAGCAATCCTTTGATGGCAGCCATCAGGACATCAGGCCAAGCAACGGAAAAGTCGTGATGGCAGTGATGGCAGGACTGGAAGCAATGAGGATATAAGGATGGATGGATTTCATTATTACTCTCGTTGTGGTCAACTCAAATTGTACTTTCTTACTAGTATCCTTACTTAACAAGATTGTCACAAGTTAGTCTATCAAATAGATTAGTCTTGTCAAACCCTCCTTAAGCACGCCAACTCCACTGCATCGCCAGACAAGCCTCACGGAACACTAACGTAATACTCACCTGCCTTAGTGCGGACCAGGATAGAGAAGTATAGACCCTTACCCCGTGTAACATAAAGTGGATGCGGGGTTGATATATGCTTTTCCAGTCGATAAGAAGACTATATCTGCTGATTTCTACAAACTCTAAATGTTCCATGGACTTGCAATGCCAGCAGAAGTTTTATCGCAAGAAGAAAGAAATACAAAAAACATCACTTCCATACCCTGCAGACGTCAAGTTGCAGGCGCTAGCACGTGATGCGGTGAGAGGACCCCTGCCAACAGTGCCGAAGCGCGTCGTGAACTTTCGCGACTCAAGCAGGAGCTCCAACTGGGGAAAGTAGCCACGACAGCAACCCCTCGCCAAAGCAACTGCCCAACTATACCTCCCACCACTGAAATCAAGCTCGCAAACCGCAAACTGTCACATCTCCGGACCACCCATCACTACCGTCCCCCGCCGTCCCCGCCATGGGCTCTCGATTACACAACGCACCGATTGTGATTGACAACGGCAGCGGCACGATCCGAGCTGGGTTCGCAGGCGAAGATGTGCCCAAATGCTTCTTTCCGTCATACGTAGGGAGGCCAAAGCATGTGCGGACAATGGCAGGCGCATTGGAGGGAGACGTATTCATAGGACCACAAGCACAGCAATACAGGGGGCTGTTCAAGATCAACTACCCATTGGAGCACGGCATTGTCACAGACTGGGACGACATGGAGCGGATATGGCAGTATGTGTATACGGAGGGGTTGAGGACAGTCAGCGAAGATGTGAGTGTGGTTGGGGAGCAGCGGCAGCCATTTGCGACTGTTGGAGGGGCACCGAGCTGACTGTCACATTACTAGCATCCAGTACTGCTCACGGAGCCTCCACTCAATCCCCGTGAGAACCGCGATACGGCAGCGCAGATTCTATTTGAGACGTTTAATGTGCCTGCGCTGTATACGTCGGTGCAAGCGGTGCTTTCGCTGTACGCCTCTGGCAAGACGACGGGTCTGGTGCTAGATTCAGGAGACGGTGTATCGCATGCGGTGCCAGTGTTCCAGGGATTCGCGATACCAAACAGCATCAGAAGAATTGACGTGGCAGGCAGAGACGTTACGGAGCATTTTCAACAATTGCTCCGGAAAAGCGGGCGGATCTTTCACACGAGCGCAGAAAAGGAAACAGTCAAGAATATCAAAGAAGCAACAGGCTATGTGGCGCTTGACCCTGCCAAGGAGGAAAAGGACTGGTCAGGGTCTTCGAGATCAGAAGGCAAGAGCATCGACTACGCGCTTCCGGATGGACAGAAACTGCGGGTGAGTTGTCGACGATGGGGCCGAATTGCTAAGACTAGCTGACGGGTCTAGGTTGGAGCGGAACGCTTCCGAGCGCCCGAGATATTGTTTAATCCGGAGATTATTGGTCTAGAATATCCTGGCGTGCACCAGATTGTGGTGGAGGCCATTCACCGAACGGACATGGATCTACGAAAGGCGCTATACGGCAACATTGTGCTGTCGGGTGGGTCTACACTGACCAAGGGGTTTGGAAACCGGCTGCTCCACGAGGTGCAGCGACTGGCGGTGAAGGACATGCGAATTAAGATACTGGCGCCACCGGAGCGCATCTACACGACGTGGACGGGCGGCAGTATTCTGGCTGGACTGAGCACGTTCAAAAAGGCAAGTGGTGCATGATGTTATTTGCAAGGGAGGTGATGTGCTGACTGAAAGACGCAGATGTGGGTAGAAAAGGACGAGTGGCAGGAGAACCCGGACATTATCCATACCAAGTTTGCATGAGCAGTGATGCTATGTAACAATTGAGGAGCAGGAGAAGCAGCAGCAGCAGCAGTTTGGCGGTCCCGCTGGTGCCCGTCTGGGCAGGGCAGGGCAGTGGGTATGTGTGTGGTAGTGCAGTAAGAAGCCGAAGGGGGGGGGGAGACAGTGGTAGTGCAGTTGGGGTTGCAGTTAGTCATGGAAATGGGAGAGGGGCGGCCGGGGTATTGCCAACCATGGGGCTTGAGCGGCGGGGCATGGGAGGTCGGTTGGATCTACGTGTCAGCCGGTAAGCGTGGCTCGTCAGCGGGAGAGCTACTGTAGTCGCCTGCCTCCCCCGCATTTCAGAGCGTTTCTGTTACTTAAGCGCGATGCGGGCTGGGGGTGGTTATGTAAGTAGGACCAAGGGGGGGGGCCGATTGACGAGTGAAGGCATCATGGCAATGAGGAGGGCATGCATGGGTGGCGTTTGCGAGGGCTCGGGAATACCCCCAACGGATCATGAAGCGCAGCTGTGTAGACAAGAATTCCAGAGTGAAACGCAGGTTGCAGATGCGCAGACGTGCTCTTTCTTGGTGTCACACATACTGTGTTGTGGGTTTGTAGGGGGCAAGGGAAAGGGCCGTGTGGCAGGGCGGCTAGGGTGAGGGCGAAGAGGGCGAGGAGGGTGAAGAAAGGAGACGGTGGGCGAGGGCGAAGGCGAAGGCGAGGGCGAGGGCGAGGGCGAGGGCGAGGGCGAGGCGCGGATGCCAAGGATCGTGAAAAGATTGAAGGCTATGGTGTGATGGGCAAGGTGCAGCGGCCCCAGCTCCCATGTGTGTGCGTGTACCTGATGACACCCTGGAATCGGCCGGCCGGACAGAGGACCACGACACGTATGTAATGTACCGTGTGCGTGCCAGTGCTTGGTCACCGTCGTCGCCCAGACGTCACGATGCTCGACGTCATGCGCCCTGGCAGCAGTGGCCATAGTCGCCATAGTCGCCGGAGTGGGAGTAGATACCCTATGTCGCCTCCACTGGCGTCAGGTCAGCAGAGAAAGGATGAGGACAAGGATAAATTTTGCACCACTCTTACCGGACTAACGTCACAGCCAACTCCCTCAGCTGTTGTTCATGCCAGGCACCGCAATGGCTGGCCGCTAACACAAAATTTCAAACTGGGCCTCCTCCTTCGTCGCGCTCCCGCCTCCACAATATGTGGGCATTTCCCCCCCTTGGGACAAGCTGCTAGTGGTTGCTGCGGAGGCCATGTCCGGTGGGTGGCATGGCGTAATGGGGCTCGATCGCACGCGTTGCTGCACCTGACCTTTTCCCCTGGCAATCTCTTACCCCCGAAAAACTGCGCCCAGCCAATCACCGCATTTTGAGGGGGTAATGGTAAACTACTCATGGCGCTGCGAAAATTCCTACTCTGGGCCGGACGAGGCCACGCATGATCGATAACTTGCCGTTAACTGCAAAGTCTCCCTCACCCTCCCAAGCCTTGGTCCAAGCCTCGTGCGCCTTTGGTTCGTTTGCGTTGCGTGGCGCCGAAAATTCTGGTAGCCTGGCCTTGCACCGGATGTGCTGTCGACGGTCATCGTGATCAGCCCGCCTTGTTTTGTTATATAAACCCTCTTACCCCAGATGCTTTGTCTAGTACCACTACTACTACACTACTGCCCTGCCCAACCTGCCCAACCTGCCCTGACTTGACTTGATCCAATCTACCATCAATTCAACTTTTACACCAAATTACATCCACACCACCGCCAAAATGGTCAACTTCCACATCAGCGAACCTCACCCATCCGCCTCCAACTACATGTACTCTGGTCGTGGCGGTGCCGGCAACGCCATGCGCGTAAAGCCCACCGAAATCACACCAGGCGCTACTGCCTCTGGCCCAGCCTCCCGCACCAAGCTGCCTCCTCCACCATCAAACGCCTTCTATGCTACCGGCCGTGGCGGTGCTGGCAATATGCGCAAGTCCGAACGTGCCATCTTCAGCTTCGACGAGGAGCTCCAACAGCAAGAGCGTCTGCGCTCCCAGCAAGCCCCCGTCTACCACATTGGCCGCGGCGGCGCCGGAAACCTCGTCGAGGAGATGAAGCCCCGAACCCACCGCCAGAGCTCCTCTTCTTCCGCCTCCAGCTCCTCGAGCGTCGAGAGCGAAAAGGACGGTGTCCGAAGGAGTGTCGAGCACGCATGGCAGCGTCTCAGCAGGCAATTCTCTCATTAGACTTTTGCTTTGCCTGTCTCTGACCCTTCCATTCGATTTCACTTCTCTGTCACTATTCAACATTCACCTCTCTACGACCATCCAGATCTGAGAGCTGGTCCTGATTCTCTCTCATCAACCTCCCTTTTCCATCCATTAGCAACGGCGTTTCCCCAGAGCAAGTTTCTTCTTGCTCCAACTGTATAACGAACGAACAAAAAGTTTACATTTCCATTCTACTACTCTACTACTATTTATCTTACGACAACCCAACAACCCATCAAACAAACAACTACCATCGAGGAGCCAGGCGCCACCCTCCGGTCATCGAAAATCAAAAGTCCTTCTGTTTCTTTTGATACCCGGATCACACAACTCGTCCTGCTCTCTTGTCAAGAGAAGGGCCTTGACCACTTTTTGCTCTACTTTGCTTTATTCTTGTCTTTTGCTTGGCTTGGGCTTCTTCGTTTTGGCATGGGAAGCAGTGGATATGCACCATACCCCCAAGAGTTTTTTTTTCAGTTTTTCATAGCGAGCAATCGACAGATGACCAAAGTCAATCCATATAGCGGATTGACAATAATCATGACTTGTTCAATTCTTCAACATTGTCCCTTACTATGGTCTTTTTGGTGATGTGTGTGTGTGCGTGTGCAAGTGACCAGTGCCTCGATTCCCATTCTGCCTTGACTCAAAAATAAACTTTTTCCAAGTCCGAGATCTAGATTCTACAAAAGCCATGGCATTCGGTAAATCAACGCTTACTCGAGTCATGTATTGTTTAATTTTCCGAAGGGAAAAAATTGCTTGGTTTTCAAGGAAACATGATTTTTCGTAGTAGAGACATGCGCGACAGAGTCTTGCAGCCTGACAGCAATGACGTATGGAGCCGCAAAAGAAAAAAAAACTTCACAATCATCAACGACCACTAATACGCATGCATCTATCCTCCTACTAAGAAAAAAACATTAACTGCAACAACAAACAAAGAAAACAACTACCAGAAAAATCTCTGCACCACAAGACCCAAAATCAAACATCCACGTATCCCCCTAACCCCCTCACCCTTCCACCTCAGCCAGCCTCGGCTCTTCCCCTCCGCCTCCACCTCGCCTCGCCTCGCCTCGCCTCGCGCTCTTCTCCGCCCCCCTAAACCTCAACTTAACCCAACTAACTTTTCCCAAACCAGTCCAACCGCCGCTCCCCTAACTCTCCACTAACTTAGTCAATCCCCCAGACTCTTCTCTTCTCTTAGCTCGTTCAAAAAAAATACGAGAGAGTTTAAAAATAAAGACCAAAAAAAAAGTCCCGAAGCTAGAACTAGAATGGTAACATGTAACAATTGCCGGACTTGACTCCGTAATCCACGTGGTTAAAGTATGTAAGATTCTAGATTTGCGAACATGGGGATTAGGGGAGAAAAAAAAAGGGCCTTTTTTTCCTTCTTTCCTTCTTTCCTTCTTTCCTTCATAAAAAGACTGAAGTGAGAAAAAAAAATCGTACAAGGATAAGATGATGTGTTTTACTTGCACGAATACGAAATCACATTTGTTGAGTTGGTCTCTCACGAACATTGTTAGGAAAGGAAAACCCCCCCCCCCCAAAAAAAAAAAAACTGATGACAAAAATACGTCTGCATTAAAACAAATCCCTAAAAACAAAACAAAAACCTTGGTATCTCCATTTCCACAATATGTCTTAAAGTTATATCAAAGAGAAAAAACGAGAGGAATGCGAGAGACTACTTATACATATTATCAAGCGCACTCCCCTCTCTCTTCATAATCTCTAGCCCCTCCCCCCCTCTCCCCAAAAAAGACAGAAGCTTTCTTTTTTCGTGCAAATAAAATGCATTTTTTTCTCCTGCCCTTCCCCTTTCAAAGGAAAACAAACACCACGCTCAGAACTACCTCCTCACAGGTCCCTTACTAGCCGCAGCACTAACCAACATCTTGAACCCATTCTTCAGCGCAACCATATCAGGATACACATGCTTCTGCAGCTCAAACGCATTCGGCACTACTTTAATGCCCCATGCACCTTTAGGTCCCTTGGCACTCATCTGGAAGCAGATCCAGAAGTGACCGGGGTACTTGGGCATGCTGCAAAAGGCGTACATGGAGCGTGAGGGGTTGGCTTCGCAGTAGTTTTCTAGCCATTTTTCTATTACAAAAAAGTCAGTATATAGTACAAAGATAAGAAGGAAATGATGGAGAACATACCAGTGTCTTCCCGAGTACCGGGCTGGAATCGCTCGTCTCGGGTGAGCTCCGTGACCTTGCGAGCCATGGCCTCGACGTGGTTGACAATCAACTCGTCAAGATCAGAATACGTGTGCTTTCCAATCTTGAGCTGCTTGCCGAGTGAGAATTGGTTGGCCTTGTTCATTTCGAGTACATCGAGATGTTGATAGGCGTTGTTGGAGACCTTCCATGTTACGACCAAGTGGTCGAATCCCTTAGAAGAGGGCCGGATGACGAGATCGCCGGTTTCCTTGCCACCGAGGTACTCTTCTGCTTGGACTGTGTTGAAAGAAAAGAAGAGAGGGTGGTTGACGACACGGTTGGGTCGGCCAGATGCAACCTCCTTCTCCTTCTCGGCTGCCTTCTTGTCTTGCATCTCTTGTGCTTCGTCCCACTCGCCAGCTGCACGGTCATAAGGCTTCTTTTGCGGTTGCCGGATGAGATCATCTCGAAGCGACAGCTGTGCAGTAAGGGCTTTGCGGTTGAGATAGACGATACGCGCGCGCACAATCTGGTGACTTGAGTATACATGACGAGGCTCCTGTCCGCCGCTGCCAACACCTTCTGGGAACTCTGATTCCGACACACCACCTTCAATACCGCATTCGAGTTTGACTTCAATGTGATCGGGGAATGTCCGCTTGATGGTAACGGGAACAACCATGCCTTCATAGAGAGACTCCTTTGTCTCACCAGTCAGCATGGTGAACATCTCGTCACCAGACAGCAGTGCAAAGATTTGTCGAATTTCTTCGTAAGGGTTATCCAGTTCGGCTCGGATTGTCTCAAGCGTGGCACGCTTGCGCTGTCCGAAGTTCCTTTCAATCTCGGCGGCGTAGTCTTCCAGAGCTAGGTCGTTGACAAGGTCAGTGGTTTCTTCCCGTACCATCTTTCTGACAACGGCACTAGGACCGCCCTCATCAGTCTCCGCCTTGACATCCTCCTCGTCCATGTTCAGTGCGTCAGCGACCATCTTCCGTGCCAGATCGTAGTCCTCAGGATGTACACGCGTGTAGTCCAGGTAATCAGACGACTCTTCAGTCGGGTCGTAAGGGATATACAAGAAACTAGCGCAGTTTTGGAAAACCTTGGGACCCATGGCCGCCTTGAGGTCGCGCGACTCAGATACACCGAGAAGATCGAATCGTGAAAGAATCTCGTCGCTATTGGCTTGGATAGCCTTGATTAGCCTGTCGGCCTTACGAGGTCCCAAACCGCACACATATGGTATTAGTTTCGACAAGTACTTGTCGTCGTAAGTCTCTGGTAAGTCGATACCAACGAGGTTGACCATGTCGACCATGGCAGTGTCTAGTCGGTCCAAAAGCTTCTCCTGGGGTATCAAGGTCTGGTTCGGAATGAAAGGAATAGAAACAATGTCGCGGCCGAGCGATGCGTACTCGGCAAGTGGGTTTTGCAGATATCTTCCCAAGGCAATGCAGTACCTTGTGAGTGCAGGGTACTTGGGGAACTCTGCAGCCGCCCTGGCACTAGTGTGGTATAAACGGGCAACTTCGTTGTTGACCATGATGACCTCCAGAGGCTCGTTTCTCTCGTCACCGGTATCCTCATCCTCGTACGCAGGGCCAGTCAGGCCTCGCTGACTGATAATTTCCTGGATATCCTTGTACAGCTTGCGTGTCTCAACGGAGAAGCCACTGACACCAATGACATCTGGGCGTCGACGCTGGATGACATCAACCAACTTTTCGATATCTTGTCCTTCGGGGATACCGCGTTCAGCATTGCCAAGGCGCATCTCAACTAGTCGACCCTGCTCTAGGACACGACCGTCGTTCTCTACATAAGCCCACATGATGGCGTCTCCACGCTGACCCTTACCGTTAGACAAACAGAGGACGTTGGGAATTGAGCCAAGAGGTGCGCTCTTCAACTTGTAAGGTGCCTGATCAAGCTTGTTGTAGTAGTTTTCTCTTGCTGAGGCCGCAAGCTCATCTTCGCACCTGGCACGCAGAGTCTCCTTGACACCATTTGCAATGACAGTCTGAAGCTTGTCAAGTGCAACGTTGAGCAGCTCCTTACGGAGGGCATTCCACGTATCAGAAACCTCACTGACACCGTCAGAGATGATCTTCTCTTGCAAACGAGCCTTGAAGTGTGCGTAGTTGCCCATGGAAATCTTGACTTGTACAAGGCCTTCAGATTCAGCCTTGAGCATCTTCAAAAACAGATCTGGGCGACCTTGAAGATCCGAAAAGGTGACTCTGCGGAGGTATTTAAACTCGTAGTAGGGATGGTCCTCGGTGATCTTCCGCATGCCCTTGTCAGTGCGAATGCAGTCAATTTCGGCATTCTGGTAGAAGCTACCACGCAAATATCGGCGCAACCGCGAGCACATTTGTAGATCTTGGACAAACAGTAGCTTTGTGGACCTCAAAAGGGTAGCGCCCGTTTCCGGAGCTTCGGCAAGCTGATCGGCGAGCTCCTCGACCTTGTATGGAGGGTCGTCAACGGTATACGCGCCTCTGCTCGTTCCATCAACCTTCTTTGCAAAGTCTTCGGGTGTGATGCCAACTGCCTTGACAAGTTGATTAGCCTTGCTGCTTCGCAGCTTGTCAAAGAAGCTTCGAGCGTTGTTGGCACGCTTCTGTGTTCCGTTGACTTCTTGTCGGACCTCGTTGATCTCCTGTGAGTATCGATAATGCAGGTAGTCCTGGAGCTCTTGGATTTCTTCAATGGTAATGGCCCTGGAAGATAACTCGTCAATCTCAGTGTCGTTAATTTCAGGGTAGACGCTCTTCAGGTTCTCGTAGTTCTGCCTGAGAGCATCACGCTTTTCAGCAAAAGCCCTGAACTTGAGGTCGAAATCAAAGACCTCCCACAAGTCAGCCTGGTTGAGCAGACGCTCTGGCCGAGCATCCATAGGTGGAGGATTGTCTATATCATCAAAATCGTTGTCGCTCGGCGCATGAATGAGGTAGTCTTTTCGGTGGTTGAAGATGAAGGGAACTTCATAATCTTCCAGGTTGATAAACTCGAGAACCTTTCGTACGGCCTTCTCGAAAGGCTGCAAAAAGTATCGTGGAAGACCCTTCTTAGGCCACAGCATATTACTGATCCAAGTTGCCTCCTCGGTCAGACGTGCCTGCATGTCCTCCGGTGTGAGCTCAATCTCCTTGAAAGGCTTTCGGGCTAATTGCAGGCGCTCGGGAATGTCGGTTTCGCGGATGACATTGTCTTCGTCCGTCAACATACGCTCCTGTAGTTGTGATGGTTCGAAGACGTCCTTGAGTTGCAGTTCGCGGCCATCGCCAGCTTGCTCATCCTCTTCGGCCTCTTGCATTTCCAACGCCCAGTCGTAATCTGTACCATCACCAAATGCAGCTCTGTAGTCTTCCTCGGCACCCTCATCGAGCCCAGCAGCTTGCAGCCCCTTGGTGATTAGATTTATGCCTGGTTGTGTGACATCGCGGTCATCTTCGATTTCGTCTTCAAACTTGTCGTCCTCGATGAAGTCGTCAAATTCGTCGCCCAACCGGGCCCGCGGCTCATCGTAGTCTTCGTTGACTTCGTCATCGGAAAAGATGTCGTCGACACCCCGGGACTTGACGCGCTCCTTGTGGCCACGCTTGAGGCGCTTGAATCTCGACTTGGCCAATGTCAGTCATGTCCAGGCTCCAGCAGAGTATGCCTTACCTGTTCTTCGGCCGGGCGTTCTACTTCGACGCCAATCAGGTCAAGATCTTCGTCGTCGAGAGCCTCTTCGGCTTCACGATTCTTTCTCTTCTTCTTGCGCCGGCGCCGGCGCTCTGCCACTTCCTCTTCCTCCTCTTCGTCGTCGTCATCGGCGATGAAGCCTTCACCTTCCTGTTCATCTGTCAGCATTCCTGAAGATACAGCTTGCCATGGCGGAGCTTGCCTGTCGCAGTCGGTCCTCATCATCGTCGTCTTCCTCCTCGCTGGAGTCGTCGATGCCGGCTGTGCCATTTGTTTTGCTGGGCCTGGGCTTGCCAGCCTCACCGGTCTCGCCATCAAAGTCCTCATCCTCCTCCTCGTCGCTGCCGACGTCGGCGATTGTGTCGAAGAATTCAGACATGGCGGACTAAACAAAGGGAACGCGTGAGTTGTGAGATTGACTTCGAGGGCGCACTTTTTGGGGGTTCGACGAGCGCTTGGCGGTAATGGGATTAGGCGACTATGGCGATCAGGCGGAAGGGAAAGTCGGGCGCAATCGAGGTAAAGGAGAGAGGAAAGGCAGATGTAGGCTCTCAGAGGCTCGCGACCCATCGGCCGCGTTAACTTTCAGCCGCACTGACGCCGTGCACGTGATATCCGCGCTAGAAGGCGGAAAGGCTACCAAACAAGATGCGCCATCCTTGGCTGTGCATGCTGTAGCCACACGTGTATCCGAAAACCATGATCCCATCATGCACCCTTCATAGTGCTTTGAATGTATGCTTCCTCATCATGCAGTGCCAGTATGTTCTATACACGCACAGCAACTTGGGTCGGGGAAGAGATCACCGCCATCTGGTCAATCGCCGCCTCGAAGCTGTGTTCAGATATACTTAGATGCTGCTGGCCGGATAGCTGGAGACATGGCCGATTGCAAGCACGCTGTTGGTGCATTTCCTCGTCCGTAGCAGTCATGGCTACTGTATTCTACGTTCCGATACACAACTCGTGTTCGAGAGGCGTGTTTGAAAGAAGATGTGCACTAGCAGCAGGTGAAGCATCGCCACGAGCAACCATGCGACTCTGAAACCTCCTGAGCGATGCATCGTGTATGTCTTGTCAGTCTCTATATATCAGAGACGTAGCCCTAGCAGAGCCAAAAGCATCGCCTGCTTCTTGCCCCCCAGCACCAGCTCTCTCCAAGTCTCCAAGTTGCCCGACTGTTGCATCGCACCAGCTGCAGCCTTGCAGAACCAGTTTGGAACGCCGCTCCATCTGCCCCCACCTGCGCGCGCCCCGCTAGCTCGAACACTGACACGACCACAACCTCTCTCCTGACTTCTCCAGCTGCCAACTTTCCTCCGAGACATCGTGCTTTGCATAAAACACCAACCTCCCAATCAATCTCTGCACTGCCTTGCCCGTGCAAACCGTCGCTCACCCATACCAGAAAGGGGAATCCAATAGACGCTGTCCTCCTTTCAGCCATAGCCGTGATTGGCGTACCACTGTCGACACAGCTTTGGGCGGCAAACCCGAAACAAAAGCCAACACTTGGGCTCTTGTCCTGCGAGATACATCCTCTCTGATCATATATCCTGAGTCTTGCAATCGCTGCATCCTTTCTACCTGCCCTCGCATCACACCAGCGCCCGGCGCAAACCTACAACATGGCAGAACCGAATTTCAAAGGGAAGACGATGAAGAGGAAGAACGTCAAGGGCCTCGCCCTCAGCGCTCCGCCACCCAAGCCAGCACCTTCGGCTGGCGATGCCCAAATACCTGGTGCCCGCGCCAACGACGAGAAGCAGGACACGCTGGAAATCGGAGTTGAATTCCAGCTAGACCTCAAGGCAGAGGATTTGATAGTGCTGCGGGAACTGGGCTCAGGAAACGGAGGAACAGTCAGCAAGGTGCAGCACGCTGCCACCAAGGTCATAATGGCGAGGAAGGTGAGTCGGACGAGCAGGCGGGGTACATCAAAACAAAGAATGAAACAAGCTGACAAGGGCAGGTCATACATGTCGAGGCAAAGAACGAGGTCCGGAAACGAATCGTACGAGAACTCCGTATCATGCATGACTGCAATTCGGATTACATTGTCGACTTTTACGGCGCTTTCCAAAATTCATCGGGCGATGTCATAATGTGCATGGAGTACATGGACGTAGGGTAGGCAAATTTCCATCCGCGCAGTACATTTAGCAGGTGCTGACTAGCAATGATAGCTCGCTCGACTGGGTCTCCCGAACATTTGGACCGGTTCGAGTTGACGTACTCGGAAAGATCTCAGAAGCCGTGCTCGGCGGTCTCGCCTACCTATACAGCGCCCATCGCATCATGCACCGCGATCTTAAGCCGTCAAACATTCTTGTAAACTCAAAGGGCAATATCAAGCTATGCGATTTTGGTGTATCGAGTGAGCTGGAGGGATCCATTGCCGAGACGTTCGTAGGAACTGGCACATACATGGCACCAGAGCGGATACAGGGATCGCCCTACACGGTCAAATCAGATGTGTGGAGTGTCGGTCTTACGCTCATGGAGTTGGCTATTGGCAAGTTCCCATTTGCTGGAAGCGGCGACGACGACGAGGCCGGGGGTCCCCAGGGTATTCTCGACCTTTTGCAACAGATTGTCTTGGAGCCTTCGCCCAAGCTTCCCAAGAGCGACGCCTTTCCTTCAATTCTTGAAGACATGATTGCCAAGTGTCTGATGAAGGATCCAGCGGAGCGACCTACGCCCAAGGAACTATACGTAAGTCCGCCGTTTGCCGCATACAACAGTAAAAACTAACAACACCAGGATCACGACGCCTTCCTCCAAGCCGCCAAACGCACTCCCGTCGACCTAGAAGCCTGGGCCATTTCTATGATCGAACACAACAAGCGCAAATCGCACCTCGCTCCCGCCGCCCCCGCCGCAACCATCAAAGAGAAGCTGCGCGAGCGCTCACCCCCTCACAAGCGCGAACCGAGCGATCCAAGGCAAAGAGTCGCCAACGGCGACGGCGAAGCAGCACCCCGCCGCCCGTCATACCCCAGCCGATCCTCGAGCAGCAACAACGTCATGAATCTGCCTATGCGCCCCGCCCCCTCTGTAGACGGCCCCAACAGCAGACCCGGAAGCAGGGGCCCCTCTGCAAATGGCCTCCCAGCCCAACCTCGGCGGTGGAACAACGAAGTTCAATAAACTTGACTCTCTTTCTTGAATCGAACAGTAGTATATATGTATGCAGAGCACGTTTGTTGTTTGGCGGGGTTTTTTTTCCTTTGAAGAAAAAAGAAAATACAGATTTTTTGGTTACCCATTGCCCATTGATACTGCTGTTCGGGTTGTTTTCTTTTTGAGGGAAGGGGGGACCAGAAAGGGAGTTACGTACAGGGAGACTTTATATGTATGAAAGATAGGGTTTGGTGAGGGTGTATGTGTGCGGGCTGGCTTGTTAGAGGGGGTGATGGTTGGTGTATATTTTCAAATATCAGATGTTCAATTCAAGATCTTTTTTTCGTTCTCCTCCTTGCTTTCGTCGTGTTTTGGGGGGTGGGGGAGATGATCATGCTGATAGTGTATTTGTGTAGATTTTCTTAGAATGTGGGTATGGAAGATGTCACGGAGGGAAAATTGATATCAAAAGATGGGTTATGATCAATAAAAGTTTTGTAGAATAATTCCATTTCTAATTCAAAGATTCGCTATACTCCCGTCTGTTTCGCAGTTCCGTTGTATAATCCATCAAATGTTACTGACCAGTGTCCAAGATCGCCTTTCTCGCCTAAAGTAAGTCTAGAAAACAGCATTTGAGAATGTAGGTATTCCAAGAGTACCAGCTCGCACTGTTCGTTGCCATCTTCGCGCTTCCCAATATGTATATACCCCATCGCCGCGGCGCGTTACCGTATCCACTGTTACCATCATGTTCCGAACTCACCCTTCCATGGACTATAGCCTTCATGTGATGTTGTGCTTTCGTTAGTAATCTTTCAGTATCTTCCAGTTCCTGTGCCACCTGTTCTGTTCGACCACGTCGCTTACTTCGATGCTTACTTCAGTGCTTCATTCCTCTTGGACAAGACATACCAGAATAAATAAATAGGTTCTTGAACATTGCATCCGTAAATGTTGGATCCGGAATGTTTGGATCCGGGCGGCGCGTGAGAAAACGCCTCAATTTTCTGAACGATGCCTCTATAATCTTGCGTAGTTTCCGGATTCTTACCCTTGCAGGATGAAGCAAAAACATAATCTTTACCACGGAATCTGGATGCGTGTGGTGCACGCGATCAACATATGCTTCATAGGAATATTCATTTTCCTCTTCCCCATAATCCGACCCCCAATCGTCTAGCATCTTCCTTTTGGACTCTGGATTAGCAGCAATTCTCTCGAAGAGTTGGTCCAGAGACTGTTCTGCAAAACAACTGATAGGTGTTGTGATCTGGGCGCGTTTTTGAATATATGAGGTGCTCTTGAAAAAGTCGTTCATGAAAAGCTTCCATTGGAAAGCTAACGTAAGGTTGTCGAAGTCCAGACTAGTGTACTTGAGGGGTGTGTCATTGAAATGATACCCAAGCTCCACTCTATGAGTATGATACTCAAATTGTGGCACCTCATCACTAGGAAATCGATATCCCAGTAGGCTTATAACAGTCTTCCTTAAAATACTGTGATTCTCTGAATAGTTTCCGGCTATCGGTCTGCCGTTATTGTCTATATCGCAAAGACAGGAGGAAATCTTAATCTTGTATTTGACTTCTTGACCATCTTTGAGAAAACTCTGGAGTTTTTCCGTAATGATTTTGCAGCCGTAGCAATGTGTATGCTCTGTATTCGAAACTTCGCACCATGCTGAAGAAGAGAAGCTTAGTTTTGGGAGTCGCGTCAAAGCAAACTCGCGCTCTGCCTCTGCTCGGAAGACGTGTGACACCTGGCGACAGGTGACCCAGAGTGTGAACTCATCATCAACATAACGAAGTATATGTCCCCAAATTTCCTGAGGTATATTGCCGGGCGTTGACTGATATACTGGTGCCGACGCTCTGTTCATCATCAGTGTTGGTCATTACACTAACAAACATCTCACTTACAATGTATCGTTGATTCCAGAATATTTTGCTAGCTCTGCCATCTTGATATACGGATGTCGTTACTTGGTTGAATACAAGGGCTGTCCTTAAATTGTAAGCTCCTGAAGTGGGGTTGAGGAGAAGCAATGCGGTGGGAGAAGCAGTACAAGTTTGCGGGCGTGGTCAGCGCTCCCAGTCATCGGGAAGGAAAGAGTGATGGAAAGTACGTCACCTGATGGAGACAAACTAAACGCAAATCACGTAAAAGGAAGAGGATTCACAAGGAGGAACACTGGAGTTCAGTGAGGGAGCTGCTTTAGCACCTGGGTCGCCAAACGCAGCTCAGTCAAAGAAGAAGGTTCGTAGTAGTAGAGGTACTAAGGGGGCTTAACTAAGTGTATGGCACTGTAAGAGCTGTGGAGAACCTGGGCACTACGCTACAGTATGTAAAAGGGATACAGAAGACTTTTCTGAACCTAAGCTGAGCAAGCCTAAGAGTAATTACTAACGGATAATAATAAGGACTAAGGGCCTGTTCGGTTCAGCCTCTTACGGTTGCATTTTTGATGCCTATCCGGGCATAAAGCATTGACAAGAGGGGGGGCCTGGCTAGCGTTTCGGTTGGGCTTATCCGGATATGGATGGCGAATGAATAGGTTGGTCACGTGATCCAACTTCGCTGCCAGAACCAATATCATCGTCGGTCTAATACGTTCACGCCTTGAGACATTCTGAGCCCATTTACCGGCGAGATTCCTGGACATATTTCAATGCCACCGCTTTTTAAGGTCGATCAGGTTTTAAGAGGACATAAATCAATATACACCATTGTGAAGGAGGTTCACAGAGCTGTGGACGAAGCTGCGGTATATCTGGCCAGGTAAGAGATCAATGTAATCGACGCGCTCTTTCAACATAACCATACACCCCTTTTAATTTTCGCGGACTGTAGGGATCAAAACAAAAATAATTGTATTGTCAAGAGCGTTCGCGGCCACTGGCGCCTACAGAATGAAGCCAATATTCTAAAGCGTTACCAGTCAAAGACACCGTTCCTTCACCCTATCATCTATGAGATCCTAAGCCTAGTTGATTCACCGTCTATCGTTTTGAGACATCTAGACAGTGAACTTCTTACAGAATCGAAGAAGAACCGGCTAACGCCTTCTGAGATTAAGCAAGTAGCTAGGTGTATTCTTGAAGCCCTACTCGTCCTCCATAAGGATGATATGGTCCATACAGGTATCACACTTTATTCTTATTGTATCTAGATTCTCCTAATTCTCACATATCTTTTAGATGTCAAATTAGATAGTGTCTTTGTGAACTATGGCCAAAACGAGCAGCGGTTCTCGGAAATTCAGCTTGGGGACTGTAGAGGTGCTTTCTCTAAAGACTCGAAGTTCGCCAAGGAGAGCCATCTTATCGGAGGTGCCTTCGCGCGTAGCCCGGAAGCCACGTTAGGGCTTTCTTGGGGCACACCAACAGACGTCTGGTCATTCGGAAATGCAGTACGTATGAAAAAAAGTTAGCTGCCCTTTGTTTCGTTTAACTTGCTTATTCTCAGATTCTTAGCCCTGTACATGGGGGTGATTTTCACCACTTCGATCCTGGCTGGGAGGGAGTCAAACCAGAAGACCAGGAATATGAGTTGATAGTTCTACAGCGAATGTACCACTCGTTCGGCCCATTCCGACAATCGATTGCCGACATCCTCAACCCGGACACTCTTGAGATTGTCCTCTTTCTTAATCAGCAAGGACATCCACGGAAGCCGCTTCAACTGTGGTCGACGAAGGAAACCCCTTCTGCTGATAACAAGTTTATAAGGCGGATCTTAAGACTAGACCCTCGGGATACGCCGACAGTAGAGGAGACCCTCAAGGATGAATGGTTCATAGAAGAATCATATGATACCCGGGAACCTATACCCAAGGGAATAAACAGGCCAGAGGATGAAGCTGACAGCTGGTGCTAGGCTTATGGCATAGCTTGTCAGTATGAATGTATGTGAATGGAGGGGGGAGGGGCAGAGTCTGAGAAACCACTAAACAGGATATGGTGACGATTCAACTAGTTTAAGGTGCATGCCATGCTTCCTAGCAGCACTGAACCCAGTATCTTTAATTAAGTGTATTGACTATACGGTGGTTCTCTAAAGTGGCTACATACAGTATTTTTGGCTTAGAATTAGTGCAGCGGTCAAACATGGAGAAATTAAGAAAGCTTCTTCGACGCTAAAACTTGAAAACTCCTTCCTATGAATCGGAATATTAGAGGAAATTTAGGTTGAATACTAAATCGGTCTTCAAATTGACCCAGTATATTCAGTATTTATGAGGAAATTGAAGAGGAATTTGTGACAAATTACCATTCAGCCTAGAAAAGTTGCGTGTACAAGCGACAATCATTCATTATAGGGTGTTATCGTAGCGGCATCACACTGATTCACAGTACAATCTTTCTTCCCTACACTTTCTACCACATCTTTTGCGAAATCACTTCCCATAGATATCCCCTTCTTTCTAGACAGAATGAGGCATCGCTTGTATCCTCATACTATCCTGCCTTAGAATCTGTCGCTGTTGATCCCTGACTAGCCTCATAGGTCCGCGATAGAATGCTGATAGCAAATCAGTGATGTTGATTGCGTCGACGATTGCATTCAAGGGGCCTGTTGCAGGCCCACCTTGGGCTTTGTATGAACGCGGGGAGAAGGCGAAGACAAGGAGAATAGCGAAGATGGGCATTTCGCAGGCGAGGATGAGTGAGGCGAGTCCAGTGTTCACATCGTGGAAGGTCATGTACTCGGTAGGTTTGAGTACGCCATGGCCAGCGAGAATGGAAATGATGAACTGACGACTACGTTAGCATGTTTGCAGTAGAGACACTCGATGAATAGCGGGTTCGTACCGATTGAAAAAAGTTGAGACCAAGAACTCCCTTAAATGTAGCAAGCTTGAGGAGGATGCTGTGCTTCTGCAACAGCGTCTTGTTCTTCTTGTAGAATCGAAGCGAGCAGATGATAGCGACCACAGTAGTGTATGCGTTCAAGACTGTGATCCAGATATGGGCAAAGTGCACACTGTTGGACTGCTTGCAGTATGTACCAGCAGCCAAAGAGATGGCAGTTGCAACCCAGAGTATGATACTAGTAGGGATAAATTGGAGCACACCGTACCATGTTTTCTGTTGATTGTCAGATGGTGTCCAATAAATCGTAAGCAATAAGACGAGATCTTACCCTCAACCAGGCTGGACTTTGAGCTTTAAGCTCCCCTTTAGCCCTCGCATTCTCACCAAACAACGACTCGTAACCCCCTGGATGTGCAAGCACAAGATCGCACATGAAGAGCAAAAACGACGACAACGCCATTGCACACCCAAAATCAAGCGAGTGAGCCAGATATTCTCCTATACCATCTTGCCATACAATGAAGAAAGAGAATATAGCAACCCAAGGAATAAGCGAAACGATCCGAATAACTTGACGTTGCTGCACCGGATTCGAGTAATTGAAGGCGTGGAATCCAATCAACACGGCAACAATAACGGTACTGAGGATAGCGCAGCCACCGGAAAGCATGGTCGCAAATCGATGAAATGTGAGTTCGCCAACGAAATACCGAATCTCAGGCCCTTCTGTGTTTGCTTCCGGGCAGGTATGCTCCTTGGCTCGCCGCTCCAAATGGCTCCTAGCCGCGAGCACAAGAATATCCATAGTGTTGCTTGACGACATAATAGATGAAGAAGAAAAAAACGGAGAAAGCGTGATAAATAAACTAGAAGATGAAAAAAGTTTTGTAAAGCTTGAATATTGTGATGTTGAGCTGAATGCAGAATACTTCACCTCTCGCACTCAAGGTCTCTATATACTACTATTACTCTTCTCTTCATAGTCTTCCATTCAACAAGGTTGATCATAACTCGGTTCTGCGTTTGGCCACCACAAGGCTACCCATCGAGGCTTCCAACCCCGCCGAATACATCGCGTAGAATACCGAGTTAGGCAAAGAGCAGCAGTTGGCAGCTTGCCTTAGCAGTGGCAGCTCGCCTTAGCACTGGAAATACCATGTGCTTCGACGTGGCTTATTCCCACCGTGCAGAGGCTTAGCAAGATGTAGCAGTATGCAAAGCCACATGATACGACCGTTCGGGGAGATAAGGTGCTGTGGTATGAGCGGACCCGCCGGTACGAGCTTTGTCTGCGTGAGTGAGACAATCTAGGGTGCCTAACCTTTGATTGGAGTGGGCGTGTACGGGGCAGGGAGAGGAGGCACGCTAAGCATTCGGAGATGCGATTGGACAACGACGTGAACATGGCTGTGCTACTTTAGGAACAGGGTCCTCCTCGCCAACCCCAGCTCCACGTCTGCAACGTCTGTCAACTGCAGTGCAGCGATTGACGTATCTTTTATTAGTTCATTCCTCAAGACACGAACTAAAACCTATCATATCTACTACAAAATGAGGCATGGAGGAAGTTGACTTTGTCGGCGTCATTGTGATTTGATTCATTTTTGTATCAGTGTTCCTGAATTGAGTGTCATCAAGTTTTGCGAAGCCTGTATACAACGAGTATACATCTAGTCGTCTCCACCGCCTATTGGGCCACTGACTTGCTTCGCGGATTTCGCAGCTACAATGTCGTCTACCCTCAACAACAGGCAAGCGCTCTCAACAGCGGTCTTGATGCTCTGTTCCTTGACGGCTAGAGGTTCCCATACATTGTAGGTGTGCATGTCGACGACCTTGCCAGCATCGCCGTCAATACCCCAAGAGCTTCCACCGTGCTTGCCGTCTTCATAGCCCTCTGCATGCTTTGCACGTAGTTGTGTGAGTACCTTGATCGGGCTGTTTCCGGAGTTCTGAATCAGTGTGCGGGGAATGACCTCCATGGCTTCAGCAACCGCCTTGTACGGCCACTGTGCGACACCCTCAACAAGCTTTGCTCTCCTGTCCAGACCGACAGCAATAGCCATCTCGGTCGCACCACCACCTGGGCAGAGCTTTGGGTTCCATATCACGTTCCTGGTGACTCCCATGGCATCGTGTAGATTCCGTTCAATCTCATTGAGAATGTCTTTTGAAGGACCTCTGAGCATGATGGTGCAGGCCTTGGGGTTCTGGCACTTTGTGAGGAAGGTGAAGTATTCGTCACCAATCTTGGAAATTTCGAACAGACCGCACTCAGTACCGATATCTGAGGCAGCAGCAGAAAAGACAGAGTTGACAATTGTCGCACCTGTTGCACGAGCAATACGGTTGTTGTCTGTCTTGCGGACGCGGCGGATAGCGGTGATGTTGGCTTTGACAAGGTAGTGCTGTGCAAGATCTGGTCCATGTTAGTAAACATTGAATGGGAAGGTGAGTGCAAGATAACATACCACTGACGCCCTTCTCAGTGATGACGAGATCGGGCTTGAGAGCAATGATGGCATCGCACATGGCCTTAACCTGCTCCTCCTCGATTTGCAGTATCCTGTTCCAGTCCTCCTCTTTGCTGACCTCAATGTTGGTTTGACTCTCACCCTTCTTGTACTCCAGTGTGCAGTCCAACAACAGGACACGAGGGTTTTCGATTCTCCGCCTCATCTTTGGGTGTGTGATGTCCTTATTTACCATGACTCCGTCCAATACCACGCTGTCCTCAATCTCACCGCCAGGAATCTTCTCAATACGAGCATAACGCTTGATGTCGACCTCCTTCTTGGCAGCACCGATATCAAGAGAGACGGTGCGGACGGCCTTGAGGGCAAGACTGCACATCAACTTGGACCACCGCGAGACAAACTTTGTGCCGATTGACGAGTTAATGATCTTGAACATTTGCTCATCGTCGTCGGTGTCAACCTCGACGGCAATTTCGTTGATGATCTCGAGGGCATCGGCGAGTGCCTTTTTGAATGCTTGGATAATCACGACGGGATGGATATTGCGCTCGAGCTGTGGCAGAGCTTGTGCAAGGATCTCTCCGGCTGTTTGCTATCAGCTTTCTGCATTGACATGGTCGCAATTCCTACGCACCCAATATGATGACAGTGGTTGTGCCGTCTCCGACCTCCTCATCTTGTGTCCTGCTGAGCTCGATCATGCTCTTGGCTGCGGGGTGTGCGACTTCGATCTCTCGGAGGATAGCATGACCGTCGTTGGTCAGGACAATGCCACCCATGGGGTCGAGCAGCATTTTCAGCATGGCCTTGGGACCGAGACATGACCGGATGATGTCTGCGACCGTCTTGGCTGCTGTGATGTTGGAAAGTTGGGCTTTGCGGCCGAACTGCCGCTCCCCACCTGGGGTCTGCGTGTCTGGTGTTGTATTAGTGGGCTGTCAGGACTTCCAATGTTTTGGTACTATACTCATAACCACCACTGGCGCCTGCATTTTGGAGGGATAGACTGGGAAGTAGTAGAGAGAAGAAGGAGGGGCTCGTGACGAGAGTTGCGTGGGGTATCTTGCGTCTGGTGCCTTGCAGCTCCTCCGCTAACTTTTGCTACCAAAAACCGCGTCGCAACCGCCACTATGCCGGCGCGGATTATCTGAGGCCGACCTCCAGCCACAGGGCAGCGGCGCCACAGATGGCTGACTCAGCGAGCCTGACTTCAGCTGAGCGCTGAGCCAGGAAGACCCGGCAAGTTCCACCGGCAGCGAGTCGGGCCGGCCTTACATACAGCTCTTGGCGCCTGTCGGGGTCGCCAAACCTCGTCAGCCGGCCAATGCACGCCTAACCTGCCCTGGACGCTGCTAGCCGGACCACTTTACGCTACATTCTGCCGCTCCTCACCGCATCGCCGCCAGCCTCTCACGGGACTTGCGCGCAGCTTACAAGACCGCTCTGGCGCCCTCCAGACCGTCCCTCCTCCATCTCACTTTCTCGCGCCAGCCCTTCCCACGCACCCTCACGCTGCTCCCCCGCCTCGACTCCTTCATACTTGAACCCCTTCCTCCCTCCTCTTTTCTTCTTACCATTCACACCCATCCTTCATCCTTTATCTCCATTGCGCCTCTCACTCTACCTCTCATCATCTACTCCATCGCCGTCGCTTCCAGTGACACCAAGGAACATCTCGTCGCGTGCTTATTTCCTGTCTAGTAGTTGCTTTGCACATCTTTGTATCCTTACATCTCTGTCGTTCTAATCTACTAAACATACAGTATGGGTCTCAACTACTACGCCTCGTCGCCAACCGTGGTCCTGCCGCCCCAGCAACCCCAGGGTTACTTCTCCCACCACCAGAACACCGCCGCATCACCAATGGGTAATTTCCGCCCCAAATACCCTACTCCACCCTCGCTCAACTATCTAGCCGCCGTTTCCAATGCCACCGCTGGGCGCAAACGATCCATCGCCGACGTTGACGAGCCCGAGGAGAACCTACCCGTCGGATCCATCGTCACTCAAGCACCTGCGAAACCGAAGCCCGAGCCTGTGTATGGCCCAGGTATGACGCTCATCTACCCTGGCGAGCCTGGCTATGCATTGGCTGCCGAGTCGCAATCGGGCACTTGGTACGAAGAGAAGATCGAAAAGGAAGAGAAGGCTGAAGCTGCTGCTCGCCCCATTGCTATATCGCGCAAGTCGGTACGGATGAGCCCGTCCGCCAATGTCGAAGTCCCGTCCCTCAACGACATGGATGCTCAGAAGACCGAGGAGCTTATTGACGACAATGGTACCACTATCAACAAACTCATCTCGTCGCTCGGAGTGGGCTGGAAGAACGTCATGTCCAACCCAAACCTCCGCGACGCTGCGCGCGCATACTCGCGTGTCATTGAACGCCATTTCGACTTTACTGATGTCCTCGTCATGCTCGAGAAGGAATCACTTAACGCATACCTTGTTCGCGCGAAACAACACGGCGTCCAAGGCTACTGGCTGTTCTCGGACAGCCTGCAATGGTGCCAGCTTGTCGGCTGGTCACTAGAGCGTACTGTGAACAACCTCATGTTCGGTGCCACCCCTCGTGTCGAGGGCGAACGCATCAACGCTCGTCAGCTCACTCCTTCTTCACCTGCATCCACACCTGCTGCACAGCCTGCTGTCGAGATTCCCTCGACTAACGCAGACGTCGATGCAATGGAGATGTAACCCACATCTTCTCTTCCCTCTCCCTTTTTTTTCCCATCTCATACTCGGCAACAAAAATTTCTTCGGTTTTCATCGTCGGTTGCATTGATCGACGATTGTTTCTGTATCGGGTTCTTTCTTCTACGGCAAATCGGCGTCTGGCGGTGGATACGAATGGCTCACCGGAAGTGACTCCATTTGACATGTATGATATTATTATGCTCACATACGACTGCTTGATCGAATATTGCGATCGCGTCTCTTAGCACCGTGCCACTAAACTCCTCAGGCAAAATACACCAATGAATCTATGATTGTTATTACAACTGTGTTCTTTTTTGAGATGACTGCGCCATGACTTGTGATACAATGATCACACCCATACTTCTCAACAAGATAACATGACTTGCATTGAAACGGCAACACCGACCTGAAAACGGAATGGACGGACACTTCTGCACCTCCCTGTATGCGCACTGTAATCCCTCTCCCCAGCAACCAACCAACCAAACAATGATTCCCTCCATCACCCACGCAACCAATTCAAACAACCAGCACAGCACAGAATCCCGCCCGCCCCGTGCCCACCCTTCCTTCCTTCTTACACCGGAGCTGCCGCAAACTCCGGGTCCCGCATCCTCCACAACGCGAACACAACACGCCTCACGTCCTTGCCGTGACTTACGCGCCGCCGCGGCCTCTCTCTTTCTCTTTGACTCTCCCACGGAACTGCACACCCGAACCTACCACGATTAGATAATCCCCCCAATTAAACCCTTTCTCAGCGATATTTCCAATATTTGAAGCACAGACGACGTGCGTTTCATGCGTACCTCATCCCTGCTTCTCTTTCTCTCCGGCTCCCCCCTTCAAGATTCATAGCAAGAGTGCAAGTCCGCAAAAGGGCCAAGAAAGAGAGCGCTTATCTGCAAGCGCAAGGGGAGAGGGGGCGCCGCTCGCAACAGAATTGAGCGGGGGGGGGGGGGGAAGGTGCAAGGGCTAATTTTGGATTGCTAGTGTGTTTCGTGGTTGAAGGATTTAGGTTTGTGGGATCTGGACTGGGGGATTCGGATGGGATTGGATGGGAGGGGGAGTCCGTGATAGATTGGGAATAGTAGTGTTGTGCTAGGTCATATGATTTGCCGGGTTGCTGAGAGGTGAGTCTACGGGCATTGGACTGAGTACATAATACTAGTTTAATGGCTTTCGGTGTACGCGAATATGGAGGGAATGGGCAGATGCAGGTGAGATGCTGTATATTGCTGTATATGCAATGCTGCTGCGTAGGTGTAGATGCAGGCCTCAACGAACGTACGCGTGGCCACATTCTCGGCATTATGGTTGCGAAGGTGCAAAAAAAAGCAAGCTCAGCAATATTTTACGAAGAAAGTAAAGATATTCAAGCTGATCACAGACTTCCCTTCCCCTGACCCAGGTTTTCCACCACCAAAAAGTTTACTGACGCTCTTTCATTGCCCATCTGCGCGCGTCTTTTGATGTACTATATACCCGAGGATAAACTTCGAACATATTTAGGCATCAAACCTTCATTCTTCTTGCTTAGAAACGTACACTCGAATAAATAACGGTAGCCGAAAACGGTTTTGCGAAAGTTAAAAAGTGAGGCGGACCAAAGAGGGAGAAAAGTGCAGGTCACGTGAGCTCATGCAGTTACGTCATTACTTTATCTGACTTGCGGAATAAGTTCACATCAAAGTACGGTGAGACCTAGCAGCTCCCTGCAGCTTCATTCGATTTTTTTCCAAAATCGCGCGCTTGTCTTGCTACATTATAGGTTGAAAGCCGCAAGTATATCTCGGGGTGGCTATCTTATTAAATTGATGAGTATGTAGATACCAAAAACAGTCTGTATTCCAAAAAGGAAAATAGTACGCAAGTGAGCGTATGCGATAAGACAAGTAGATACAGGAACCAAATTCAAAGAAAAGCAGACGCATGGATCTAGGATTAATGAAGGCGAAGGGAGAAAGAATGTTATTTGTGAAGAAATAGCAAAGAAAAGGATTTAAGATTTATAAGTTAGTGGGGCTAAAAGTGAAAGAGAACGCCCGGGAAATGCATGTAGACAAATTTTTTGACTCCGGCTTAATATAGCCAATTGAAGCAATGCAGAAAAAAATAGCGAAAGAACAAAAAGACGATTCAAGCGATAAACAAGGAGCCAAACCACGAAAAAAAAGAACTGTCTAATTAGCCAAATCCCCTCTATCGCCAAGTGGGCCACTGTCTTCAGGGTTTTTGGTTTTAATTACTGCAAAAGATTGTTAGTTTTCCGTCTGTAAACACGAACCGAGGCAAGGAAGGAAACTTACTAAATCTCCAACGGCGCAATCTGGTCGACATTATACAACCAACCTCCACCCTTCTCCTCGCTCTCCAACCAATCATACGGCCAGAGCACAATATGGCCCTGCACCAACTCAAGCACCCTCTTTGCGTCCTCCTTATCCAACATCATATCCGCGTCAGCAGCGTGGAATGTCTTGTTAGAGCTCCTAGTCGTAGCGCGGCGGCGCGAACGCTTGGTGTTGGAGCGGTTGGGAAGATTGGAGTTTTGGGAGGGGTGAAAGGCAGGTTCGTTGATGGTGACTTGACGACCCCGCTCGCGCATCGAGTGCGATGTCTGAGGTGGGTTATGCGTAGCAAAGTCGTACGAGCTATCGGGAATAGGTGGTGGAGCAGGGAAGGTGAACGTCTTTTCTGGCGGCGCAGGGTTCATTGGAGACACAATGGCGTCGTCAGCAGGCTCTGGCGTCAGCTTCTCATTCAACGTAGATCCAGAAGCCGTGTCAATATGAATTCCGCGGTTCGTCTGGACTGATAGGTTTTGAGGCTGCGCTCTTTTCTCATGGCCAGCAGCCCATTGCTCTACGCTGTGCTCAGTAGTCGAAGTTCCGTTGTCGGTCATCTTGCCATCAGAGTTGTTGGTCATCTTCTCAGTGAGCTTCTCGCCCAACGCTCCGACCTTGTTTCCAACCTTGCTAGTAATACCTGTACCAGGCGGTCCCGTAGCGGTAGGTGCGTCCTGCTGCTTATGCACCTGGCCCTTATCACCGCCTTGCGCCTTGGCGAAGCGTTCACCGAAATTAGTATATTCCTGGTACTCTTTCCATGTCCGGACTTCATTATCGGGCATGCAGCGGAAGACCTGGCGGAACAGCTTGGTGTTGTTCTCGGCAATCTGGTGCCAGGTGTCGAGGAAGAAGGAATCGCTGATAGGGTCGCGCATACAGTCTTCAGTAACAATTGGACGTCGCATCTCGGAGAGAATTGGATTGAGAACTGAGGAGGAGCCTTGACTCCAGGTGCGTTGCAGGGCAGGTGGGCCACCAATGTCCGTATCATCCAAAATGGGCAATGCAGGCAACTGGCTGAGTTGCGTCAGACCAAGCCTCTGCGTGTCCATGCGCGGAATCTTGGGAGGCGGAAGACCAGCATATCCAGTCCCTTCAGCCAGTGCACTGATTGCGCTGCTCCTAGTGCCTGTGGTACCGCTACGCTTCCGGGTCCTAAGGGTGGCGCTCTTCTTTGGTGTAGCCGCCAGACCTTCGGCTGCGATGTCTGTCACAAGTTTTTCGTGACCATGCTCATCGATGTACGAATCTCGACCTTGAGAAATTGTGGGTCGTAGGTGTTCTACCTCGAGCATATGGTCAACACCCTCGCCCCGCACGTCCTTTGCGTGCGCTGTGTTGTTCTGGACACGAACGTCGGTTGATGGCTTCTTGGTACTCTGCAAGTGCGGATTCTGGTCTTGCGCCCAGTCAAAGTCGTGATTGAAGCTGTGTAGCTTTTCGGCCTTTTCGATAAGCTCATCCTGCATTCTGTAGTTGTTCTCCTCCAGCTTTTGCTCAGTGGTGCGCTGGGCCGTCGGCGAACCGGGGCCGGACGACTCAGTATGGAAACCGACACTATCGGCATCAGACATTTGACTGGCCAATTCCTCCTCAGAAATGCAGTCCACGTCGATACCCAGATGCTCTCGCTGAAGACGCATGCGAAGTGTGTGGGGAAATTTGCCGACCTTGTATGGCTTGCCACCCATAAAAGAATCTAGTACTTCAGTGTCGCGAACGATGGCTGCAATCTCAGAGTCTCGCGATCCCAACATGGAGCGCTCATTAATATTTGCAGATCCAATAATGGCAACCCGGTCATCGACAATCATAATCTTCGCGTGGATGTAGAGCTGCTCTGTGACGAGCATCTTGTTTGGGCCGATCTCGCCCCATGATCGCAAAGCGTAGAACTGGATATAGTCTTCGGGCTCAATACCCGCAGCTCTCAGGCGACCGAAGATGGAGCCTTCGCCACGACAGATGCTGTGATACTGGCAGGTCATAATCAGACGGACACTGCTACCTTCCTGCTCGTCGACAGTGTTTTGGTATCCAGGCATGAGGGGAAGCATGATGCATGCCCTCCAGTCTTCGTCGTTTGCATGAGCGCGCTTGATACGGTCGACAATGGCATCGTTGATCCTGTTTTCAATCTTTGTGCCCAGCACCTCACTGCTACTGATGTAGAACTGATTTTCAATGTAGACAAAATGCTCCGAGGTGGAAATCATTTGCACGTATGCGTTCATAATGCTGTGCTCGACCTTGTTGGGCGTACCCAATGACCAAGCACACGCAGAACGAAGGATCTGCACTTCGCACGTTCCGTCGAGTCCAAGAGCCTCAATGTCAGCTGGATTGAAGTCGGGCGGTGGTAGCAGGAAGGGCGTTGGCCTCGAGGGCTTACGTTGTCGTAGCAGATAGTTCCATCGCTGAACAAAGTGGCGGGTCAAGTCACGAGCTGGCTGACCAACAATCTGCATACCAACGTCGTGCCACGGCATCCTAGGGACCTTTGAGCGATCGTACATTTCCTCATATGGTTTGTCGAGCGCGAAGAAATCCTGAACTCGAGGGTTGGAATAGTCCTTGCCCGGCCATAATTGACAGTGGTCGGCATCCTTGGGTGTGTCGTCAAGCTCAAAGCCTGTGGGCTTGTCATCTATGACAGCGTGCTGGGGCGTATCCCAACGACCAAAACACAAATCAACTCCTCCACAAAAGGCAACGGTATGGTCGATGACACATATTTTCTCGTGGTGAGACCAGAAAAAAGTATTTTGGCGGATTTGATTTGGTGAACGCTGGACAAAGATGTTGGGATGCAGGTCGAGCAGAGAGAACTTGGAATACTCAGAGTCGATGGGGATGGCGGCACCGATATTGCGGTACATGATGACGAAAATCTTGACACCTTCCTGCGCTTTGCGCTGCAGCAGTCTGTCGAGTCTCCACTTCTGACTGATGGCGGCTGGACGGCGTAGGTAGAGTTCAGGGCTTAGCCACCAATCGTGGATATAGATGACATCTCGGGCCATGCTTATGGCACGTGAAACATTCCACATGTAGTCGCGACCATCGACCAGCCATTGTGCGTAAATCTTCTTACGCACAGGGGCAAAGCTGTCGAATCGTTGGCGTTGCGACCACACAGTATTTTGCGCCATGAAGCTGATAGACTCTTCAAACTGCTGCAGCATCCTATCGTTTCTGGCCAGCAGTTTCATCTTGCGCTCGGCATTGATAAGCTTCAATTGATGGTGGCCTGTTGCGGATGCCTTTGCTTCACTCGCAATATCCCTGGCCTTCTTATCTCGTATCCTGCCACTCTTGGATTCCAGGTGGAAGTCTGCATCCACGAGAAACACATCGTAGACATTCATCTCTTCAGGAGAGTCTACGCAGACCACGTAGCTGTGTCTCACTAGAAACCATTTTGGCCAATGGCGATTGATCATGGAGACTTTGGTCCAGCCTTTCCTATTGTCGACACCCTTTGAGGATTTAATCATTAGGAAGCCTTCCTTTCCGTGGTAGCCGCCTTCGGCAGCTAGTCGGACACCCAGAGCAGAGAGTTCGAGGAACTTGCACAGCCGATTGCTGTCAGGGCGGAAGATGAGATAGGTCATCAGTCCACGCAAGTATTGTTCGAGTTTCTTCCGTTGTCGCTCGTGGTGGTTCTGTTTCGCTTGTGCTGGTTGACCGACAGCTCCTATGAAGCTACCTTGTCTGACTACTAGTGCGCCGATGGCGCCCTGAGCTTGACTGCCGCTGACGCTGGATTGTCTACGGCCCAAGAAAGACGACTTGCCTCGCTTCTTGGAAGGCCGTTCAGTAGCGCTGGCATCGCCGTCAGGCCCACTGGCGGCGCCTCCTATCGCATTGTCCTCTTCTTCCTCCTCGCCTTCGTCGTCGAGAATACCGTAGCCTCGGAGACCTCGGAGATAAGGTAATACACTCCTGGGGAAACGAGGAAGTTTTGTCCTGGGGTCCTCTTTCTCTTCCTCCTCATCCTCGCCATCCTTGGTCACCTTGTCCTTGATCTCACGGGCACGGTTTGCAGGCCGATTTCGGAAAGCGTCCTGCTTCTCTTGGACCTTGAACTTGAGATGCAAATTGGCAAAGTCGGCGACGCTCCTGTAGACGACCCACTTCATACGGGTCAGACCACTGCCATATTCAAGCTCTATGCGCAAAGCAGTGTGGCGGTCGCCCTCCTTCTTTCCGGGGCGGTCCGTATCGGTAATGGTGACCTTGAGTTGTTCAAGGAGGACAGGGATACGCTTGTGGCCATGCTCATCACGCTGGAACATACTGGCCAGGAAGAGGGCGGCCGGGGCACCAGCAAGCAGCTCGGCCATGAGCTCGGCCGACTTTGCATGGTCAATCTGGCGCTCTACTTTTTGTCTGTTGCCCAACAGTTTCAGACTGTTCTTGATTGACTTCCATTTCTGAGCGCTCAGACTCGAGGTGCGCTCACTGCGCATCCTCCACGGCGAAGGTTGTGTGTCGCCATGAGCGCCGCGGAAGTTCGTCAGACTTCGCAGGTGTGTTGGTCGGTTATGGTGGCCTTCTTCCTCGTTGTTGGGATCATGTTTCCGCAGGCCGCCGTATGAAAGTCCTCTAGCACTGTGTAGCCCGCGTGACCAAGCACTCTCCTTTGCTATGCGTGATCGGCCCTCATCCTCGGAATAGCCCTGACGCTCATTCTCGGGTATGTCGTCCATTGTAGATCGGCGCAGAAAGCCCGGGCGGGTAGAGGTAGGCGTCATAGTGGGCGAGTCTCTGGAGAAAAAGAAGCCACCACTACTCATCTGCTTTGGTGTTGTAGGAGCGGTTTGTGCGCCTTCAGCTTCGCCATCAAACCAACGTCGGCTGCTCTTTCTGCGCTTCTGTCTCGGTCTTCTCGAGGCACCCTCGCCGGCACTGGATTCGCCATCGGCATCGGCTTCACTTTCGTGTCCCTCGAACCGCGGTTCGTCGAGTTCGGACGTGGGTGACAGCGGGCCATGGGGCGAGCCTTCGTAGCCGCCCGACGAGCTAGCTCCCAAACCACTCGAGCTTCGGCCATGTCCCTGAATTGGTGATGCTAGTGCCCTCAGCTTGCCCATCAACGAAGAAGCCTGTGTACTCCGCTCCCTGGCCCTAACATCACCGTCATCAATCTCCCATGACTGTTGGCGCGAATTGGCTTGTGATGAGTCGGGCCCAAGTTGTGCGGAGCGTACGAATTGGACGCTCTTTCGTTCTCGGGGTGCGTCGGAGAGCTCGCCCTCGGTAGGGTGTCGTGACATGGGCGCAAACGGCGGGTAGTAGGAGCTGTTGGATGCATTCGACATGTGTGACGAGGGCTTAGGGGCTCGAAGGGGAGGTTCAGCGTATTCGGGAGCAACGCTGCCGCCATTTGCATTGGCTGGCGCATTGAAGGGAAACTCTGAGGGTTCTTTGGGCGATAGGGGCGAGCCGGTAGGTGCGGAGCGCATTATTCTGGGGGCAGTGTCTGAGGGTGAGGGATTGTGAAGATCTTGTGTCTCGTTCCTGGGCTGCTGCATACCAGGCGGTGACAGCATTCGACCAGTCTCCCCTGTGGTCCTTTGACCAGACGGCGACGTCGACCGCGCGCTCCGAGCCATAGGCGAGGCGTCCGAGGTGTGTGAGCCAGGCATGGTGATGACACGGGGAGGGGGAGGTCGCGTGAGGCGAGGGGTTTGTGGATGGCTATTCGACGGGTAGGGTGTTAAACATGCATTTTAGATCGAAACGTGTTGGCTTTCACTTGGTGACGCTGGCGTGGTGACGATGCTACTGCTACCGCGGAAACAAGGCAAGCCGCCCTTTGATCAACGACCGTGTGATGTATGGATTTGTGATCAGCTCCGGCCGAGAGAAGGGTACACGCGGCGCAGAGGAGATCAGTATCAGTTCACAGGGCCCTTGCACGGTGGAGTACTTTGGAATTAATCTCCCTGCTGCTTTCCGGGTGAACGGTCGCGCTAATGCCAGCGACCGTGGTGTCAGGGGAGGGGGGCCCTGGACCGCGCCGCCTTCCTGACCGCCCGCATCACGTGACTTGTGCGCACTCTCAGCCTCCGCTTGTGAAAGTACTGTATACATGTGCCGTATACATTAACACGTAAATGCCCTGCACCAGTCTCGCTATCTGCACTTGAACTCACCATTGATGTGCATATATCACGGGACTATCGTGGGGCGCAGTCAGTCTGCAAATAGCCCGCCATCCATGTTGTCTCGTCTTATTTGGTGATGCCTCGGCCTTGGAAGGATCGTTCTTCCGTATTCCCCATCCGTACCTGCATCATGGCCAAACATGGCTTTCCTATTGCTTCACCTACATCTTTTATCCTGATAACCACTCGCTCCCCTGTTCTTGTCTCTGTCATTCTTAATCCCCATAAATCTCCATAAATTTCATGGCCGCAACCACAAATCCCCTCCATGGGACTCCGCGCTCTACCCAGCGCCCCGTTTCCTCTCGCACTTTCACCATCGCGGGCATCCTCGTCGACGTCCATGGTCTGGATGAAATTCCTGCCTCTGCCTCTTCGGCCGCCTGCCTATGGCTTCTTAATCCGCGCTTGCAGACGAAAGAAACCATGGAGCCAATTGCCAACCGCGTCATCACAGAATGGAACAAGCGCATACAAGAGGGCCGCGCAGGCAAGAGCCCCAAAGGTCTCATAGCCGCTGCATTCGACCAGCGCAACCATGGTTCCCGCAAAGTTGACGAGCTGCACAACCAAGCTTGGAGAGAAGGAAACGAGCGACACGCCCAAGACATGTTTGGCTGCTACCACGGCACCGCTACCGACACCTCACAGCTCATCAACCACCTCGAGTCCTACATATTCACAGCTCCAGACACCCCAAAAATTACACACCACTTTGCTCTCGGTATATCACTCGGTGGCCACGCAACATGGCACTGTCTGCTAGGCGACCCACGCATCACTGCCGGCGTCGTAGGCATAGGCTGTCCAGACTACACCCGCCTCATGACTGACCGTGCACGTCTATCCAAGCGAGAGTCATACACAAGAACCACACCGCCTGGCGCTGCCTTTTTCGGATCCCCTGATTTCCCACAGGCCCTGCAGGACGCCATTGCCCAGTACGACCCAGCGAGCCTAATGCTCCCGGGCATGTTCAACCCCACAGGTGATGACAGGCAGCCAGACCAAGCACAGTTGGATCGCATGAAGACTATTATGAGAGAGAGACTACAGGGAAAGCGCATACTGAACCTTAGTGGCAAGATTGACAAGCTCGTTCCGTATGCAGCGGGTGAACCCTTTCTGAACCACTTCAAGCGCATCATTGCAGAGGATTCTAGCCTCGATATCTCGTTTGAAGATGTCCTGTTTGACGGTGTCGGCCATGCGTTTCCACAGGCCATGGCTGATAAGGCCGCAGACTGGCTTTGTGATACCCTGGCAAAAGACGATGCTGGACTGGTGTCGAGCAAGATATAGAATGTTAGTCCAATGAAACCAATGAAACCAATGAAACACCACATCTTCACTTTTCACACCTGCTCACGTCACAAGAATATTGCAAGTCCCATATAGTAGATGCAATGGACGTTGAATTCCTTTTTTCACTTTCCTGACATCACACCGCATCGCCCCTACCATTACTAGCCACCAGTCCAGGGCATCTCGTCTTCCCTACTATCAAAGTCGCAATACCCATCCATCATCCATACCAAATCATTCCATATCCATAACGCCAATTCCCATGTCCCTTTTGTTCCTCAAACTGAACCATTTACTACCTCACAAAACCCAGAATCAAAGAATCCTCCTTCCCCTTCCATGTACTGATGTATCCCTTCCTTCAATCTCTCCTCTCACCACGTACTCGCCTCAATGTTCTTCATCTGCATCTTCGAACACGGTCCCATACTCGTTGACGAAATGTCCACCAGACACACGATACGAAGATGCCAAAGGACATGAAACCGCCAAAGTAACCGAAGAAACAGGACTAGAAGTGGTATCCTTACCTTTGCTTTTGTTATTTGCTTCCTGCTCTGTCGCAGGGGGTGGGGTAGCAGGTTGATCAGGTTCCTTGGCAGCGTATGCGTATGCGTAGGCAGTGCAGGTTGGTGCGATAGGACTATCGTCGTGTTCGATTTTGATGCGCTTGTTGCAATACGCGGCGGCGGCGATATAAGCTTTTGATCCGACATTAACATATTTGTACTTTGGATTCCTTTTTGGGGGTAGGGACAAGCGGGACAGTGGGGGAAATGTTACCTGGTTCACGGATCTTCATATTGTTGAAGTACTCCTGGGACTTGTTAGGATTCTTCGGGGTAGGAATAGAGGATGGAGAGGAATCGAATACCACTGTGTTGTACAGCATCTCAACCAAGACCTCATCGCCTGGGACTTTTCTCTCGCGGATAGTCACGAGGGGTGGAGAATACCGCATGCTTTGAAGGTACTCAAGGCTTCGAGGGGCTTGGACGTTTTGAGGGGTCTGAACAACTGGATCGGTATAGGGATTCTGGTAGGGCGGAGTGCTCGGACAGACTGGAGTGCTCGAGTACGACTGGGCGCTCAAGTAGGGCCGCAGACCATGGACAGGGTTGGTTGGCTCGTAGATTGGTGTAGGCTCGAGGATCCCTGGAGGTGAGGTACAAGACGGAACTGGTTTGTACGGCTTGAACACCTCAGGAACTCGTGTCGTTGCAGTCTCAGATGAGAGGTGATCCAACGCCGGAGTTGGATCACTGAGAGCGTATCCATACGGGAGCGACGATGTTTTGCCGTACTCTGAACAGCCCTCTACAATAGTTGCGGGGTTGGGAGTGAGGATAGTCTCGAGGGGTGACGCCTCACCTTCGTTGTACATTTCGTTGTCGTCGTTCCTCAGCCAATCGAACGCTTCGATCTCCCTCAATCCGTCTTTCCAGGTGGGTGTATCAGGATCATTGTTGGGATAGCTGGGTGGGAACAATGCGTTTGCGATACGGCCATCGTAGTAGATGCTTCGTGTAGAGGGAACATACTCCCGATTCTGCTCGTCACACTGCTGGGGTTGGATGCGTTCAGACATGGTGTCGATGTAGAACAGAAATTGCTAAACAGAAAGTGGGTGACTTGTTTCGAAAGCCCACTGATAGTTCATATTTATGTACTCTGGGGAAAAGAACGAGTGTGATGAGTGAAGAGCTAACTTTCAAAACATTGCCAAAATAGGTTGTTTGCAAACGGTCTCCTGGTGAGTGATAGCGATTGTGAGGTCACTGTGCGGGTGTCAACAGACTAAGTTTCAGATACCCACGGTGACTGCAATACTTTTCTCATTCCACTAGTCACTGTACCTCCACTTTGTCAATCTGCATTGATGAGAGAATACACTGCTGCATAGTAGAAGTGGCCAGCCCAAGGTATCTACTCTCACAATGCTTGGAGTTGGCCTACAATAACTCGGATACTTGGTGATGTTGTCACTTTTCCTGTAGAAAACGTGAGAACATTGTTGGCTCAGTGACCTGCTCGATTTCAAACAGCGCCATCCTCCAATGGGGGCTTCTCAGTCCTCACTGTTGAGGCCAATGCTATTAGATCTGAAGCTATGTCATATGACTCAATTCACTCACTGGCACACCCCTCTTCGTGGGAGCAAGCGTGACCTTTCCCATACGTAGGATCCATTGAGGGATTTCTTTGCTTTGATTGGAGACGTCACATTGAGAGAATTGGTGGTTGTGATCCGATAGTACAGTGAGAAATGAATATTGCTTGGCTGATGGGTATCATATAGAAGCCGCTAGCTCGCCGTCCGTCCGCCAACGCTTGTTCAGCCAGAATGGGAGGAAAATATTAGAAAAAGCTGGAAAGCTTCATAAGGAGAATTGGTCAGGAGAAGCAAGTTCCACCGTGAATTTTGGGCGTCAATGGTATGATTTCATATAGGTATGGCGTTGCTGATAGCATTCCCCGTGTCGACAGGCATTGCGAGGACACTGCCGTGGTCAATACCGACTTCTCCAATAGATGTGTAGAATCTTACCTTTTGCCTGCATCGGTTGCGCAGCAGCAGCACAGGAGCGATGCTGGCCAACAAACGATCTGAGGAGCGTAAGCGAATGGCCATAGCTAGAGGAGGTTGCACTTACAGCCATGCCCACTGTGACGACAAATCCAATCGTAGGCCCGATGATCTTGCAGTGGCACGGATTATCTTTTCTGTGATTACTCAATAAATGCACGTTGTGGTAATTGAATCGCATACATACGTTCCGCACTGAATACAAAGTGGGATAGGTACGAAGTCGCACATGGTGAGGGTTGGCTAGAAGAACGTGATGGGAACAAGACTAGCAGCTACTGGACTGAGTATGAGTATGTAGTATATCAGTATGCAGAAAGTTCGAATAATGGAACAACGCTCAGAATCTGCAGAACAAAGGTAGGGTGATGTTAGGGGAAGGCTGATGCTGCCATGATTAATGCTGCACTAGTGCCCACGTCATCTCCGTTGGGTCGCGATCGCCGGATACACGCGTCAGCCCCATGCCAAGTTCTTGCTCCAGCCTGCTGCATGCATGCACCGCTCTCTTCTCAAGCATTCCTTGAATTCATTGTTTACATGAGTGGAGAAGCAAGCGCATTGTAGCGAGACAGCACTCACATGCGCCTTGTTTTTGCGCATAATCCCGAACATTGGCCAATGCAGTCTTCCGGTGTTCCTGGATACGAGAGAAGCCAACCTTTCCCTCAGCGTCGAACCCGGGCAAATGCAGACTACCGCTTACTACCAGGAAACGCTATTGTGCATATATCTCGACGGACCGGTCCATGATCTCTCGTTTATCTGGATACATCTACGGGCCGGGGGATCTTACGGATCCTCGGAAGGCAAACACCAAACAAAGGAATCGCGCAACATGCTGTTAATCTTCTATTTCTTCGCGTACAAGCTCCAATTCTACCGTTCTCTGGCCTTGCCGTATTTTCCCTTCCAGCCCATTGTCGTACTTGTCAAAGCATAGCTTCCATAAGCCCGGATCGTCTTCATTTTCCACGGCGATGAAGCCTTCCCAGTTTTCGAATAGATATCGTTTCTCTCCATTAGAGCAAATGCGAGCACCCCATGGGCCGACAAGCCCTTCTTCAGCCTCGATGCGTAGTCCATGGCTGAAGTGGAAGATATCGGAGTCGGTGTCTAGATATATCCAATTCAGCTGTGGAGGATTATCCGAAATGGTGGAGACAATGCCATCGAAATTTGAATTCGGGAACGGTAGGTAGTAGCCAGAGAAGGGATGAAGGTGCGGTCTTTGATATATGGATAGCTGAACATATAATCGGCCCCCGGAAAGCACTACATGGCTGTCTTTGAACATTTCTTTGCGGTCTTCTGGCGTTCTTTCGGTCGCTCGACATCGTATGTGGCATTTGTCATGCTTCCATTCCGAGCTGGGGCCATCGCTATCCTTTCTTTCGGCCTGCTCTTGTAGCGTCAAGACGGAAGACGCTGTCATGGGAATCGTTGCAACAAGTGATATAAGACCAAGGACCATGTTGAAATGTTGTGTGTTCAGTGATTGATTATCTATCGAGTTTCGAGGACAATGGGTTGTCAGGGCAGATATGCAGTCTCAAGTGCCAGTACAAAGACCGACACTACCGACCCCAAGAGCTGAACCATAACATGCCAAAAGCAAGCATGCACGCACCAACCACAAGCTGTACGACCTGCATGCAGCTATGATGGGAATCATATGCGATCATGATGCAGATGTATATTTCCATGGATAAAGACCAATCACGTCGTAGTCCACGGGTAGCTCCCGGCTCCCGCTCCACTTTTCGGCCACGATGATCGACGGGAACAACAAGCAATGCGGAAGCCAATGACGACCAAAAAGCCACCAAATGCTGATCATAAGAGCGATGCAAGCTGAGATACTGCTTTGAGCTGCGCTTTAACCGTATTGGGAGTGTACGCTGGTGACAACAGGACTAGTCTCATGCTCTATGTACTTTGTGCATTAGAGCCTCAAAAGTGCTCGAATGGCTTGCAACACCGAAACCACTCGAGCGCTCTCTCGCGCGAAGATCATGTCGCCGACTACCTGTGTCAATGGTACGGCTCCTCGGAGACGAGTGAGCTTCAGCTGGGCCCGTGAATTAGCTTCTCTCCAGACATGTTTATGAGCGGATGCACGCCTGCGCCAGTCGTTGAACTCTGCACACACACCCTCATCCTCCATCTAGCTCACCAACAGACCTAAGAAGCAGTGGCGTGGACAGCCCAACTACCGCAGCGCACGAAGCCAAAGCCAGAGTTTCGATTGAAGTCGCTCCCCCTCTCTCCAGTCCTGTCTCTTCCCACACCTCCTCTTTCACCCGCACCGCCGTCACCCCCCGTTTTCGAACTCAAAATGGCGGACTCGACTACAAAAGAGTGTGTTGCCTTCAAATTCCTTACCTTTATTGTACAGCAATACTTATCGCTTTCTTAGTCTTACAGGCAGCGTTGGCAACGCAACCGGCGGTCGCGGCCTCCCCGACGTAGGCGAAACAATGGGCTCGGTAACCAACTCGGGCAACAAGACTAAAGGCAAGAAAGGAAAGGGCAAAGGGAATGAGGATGGAGAGGATGAAGAAGGGTTTGGGCTGGATAATAATAAGGATGTCAAGGGGAGCTTGAAGATACATATCAAGTTGGATCTCGAGGCTGATATCAGGATTATTGCGCGGGTCAAGGGCGATATTGCGATTGGTATCTTGTAATATCTCAAACAATGCTCTTATTTTTTCTTCTCTTCTTCTGTCTCGGCGAAGGTGTTTCCTCGAACAATGTCCTCGCATATGCTAGGGTATTTCGCACGTGAATCCTTGGCCAGCGCGAACCCTGATTCAAGTCGTGACTCCCCAACTCTTACGTTCATTACGTCGGATATCTGTTAGCCTAGATTCAGAGTATCTCAGCCTGGGTCTTGATGTACCGAAAGGACTAGAATAAGAATAAGCTATCCAGCAAAAGAAAATATATCACTTACTTACGTGTCGCCTTTCCTCCTCCTCTACACTTTAAACAACCCACTCTCTGTACAAAATCGTAAATTTTCACATACAGTGGTATTTACTATGGTAAGAAGACGCACTAATATTCACTACGCTCATGTAAACTGTACCCCCATCGATACAAGCAAGATTCCCACCAAGAGCCTCCTCCCCCCGGTCCAACATCGGAGCCTCGGCACACTTCATCCGCAGTGGGGCCCCCAATGACATATGACCTGATTCGTGCATTCACTTCCGCATTTGTAGCTGCGTTCCCGGCGCGGTGCACGTGGCGAGCCTCGTGGGCTCGTATCGAGGGTCAAGCGGGTAGGGTGGTTACCTTATGGCGCTAGGCGTTAAGTCATCAGGGTTTTTGTGTTTGTCGGGGAGGAAAGCCAACGTGTGCGGGCCGAGTGGTCCCTTGTAAGGCTGGCTCTGAAGGGCGTTCTTTGGATGTTGGGGTCGGGTCTGGGGATCTGGGGGTCTGAGGGGGTCTGGGGTTGCTGCGTTGGTTTATAGAGAGCTGCATGTCGAGCTGGGCGCATGGTGAAGACGGTTGGTGTATTCACGGGTACTACCAATAGAACAGGTGGGGGAGAATCTATAAAGTCTGGGATGCTGATTGCTATGGGCTGGCATTGCATATCCGATACTTGAGGCTAAATGCCTGTTCGAACGTTGTTGAGGGAACTTAGAGCATCAAGGGTGCTGGGATAATCCATTAGTACGGGCAGGCGGATGATTGTCTTACGACTTGATTCTAGTCCAAGGGCAATGAAGCGTAGTAATTGCGTGTGAACCGATTATGACAGGAAATATTTATATATACTACTGGGCGTAGTGCATCAAATATACTATACTGGCTAGTTCTGCTATGACACTCCTTGACATATTTTCCTCTATCAAATATTATTGTGTTCCAACTTTCACCTCGGCACTGACGTACATACTGGGGTTGAACAAGGGTGCGTCATTCGGAACTTGTCAGACCCTCGTCGATGCACAAAAAGTCCCCGTGTTTGCATATGTGTACATAGAAAAGGGCCGTAACGAAATAGAGTTCGCTACCCCAGGTACGGCAACACAACGGGCGACGGGCGACGGCTATAACCCGTACGGTAAAGTATGTAAGACGACGATTTTCACCAAGGCATCGTCAAACAGAGCCGCTTGAACGAAAGAACACATCCGATGGTCAGATGCCAAGTTGGCCAGGTCCCGCCCGCGGCTCTTAACACACACCGGCGTTGGTACCGAGTCGCAGTCGCCTGCGGCTCGGTCATATGCCGACCTACTCCATTTCGTCCCACTTTGCTCCAGCCCATTCACCGCCGACTGGCCCACGAAGCCTTAGGACTGGAGCGGCTACTAAGATCGGCACATCCACCCCTCTATTGGCTTTGGCCATGCATCCGACAGGCGACCCCAGCCGACGTCATGCAGTCGGACGCTTGGTTGATACGGGGGCCCGTACCCCGCAAGACCGCTACCATTTACCCCGGATAACCTTACATGGCGTTTTGCCATACTCCACAACGTCAACAGCGACAGGTTGATGCCAGTCCAAGGGCGCGTTCAGTGTGGAGATCACTGCCCAATAAAGCATGCCGTTGTCCTAGTGCTTTTCGGGCTTTGATTCAACCGAGTGAATTTATAACATCTGCTGTGCCCCCAGGAAACATGATCCATGTGCAACTGCCCATCGCGCTGTTCGCCCTCCTTTTTCGCTTCCCGAATTGCCTAATTGAAGAAGAGAAAGAGTACCCTGGGGTGTGCAAGTAGCCCTTTACAATGACCGCAATGGCCGAAGACAAGGTCTCAGTTGAACACAAGCGGGACGAGGATATCGCCGAGAAGATATCGCACTCTTCTAAGTCTGGCGAGCTCGAGGCCCAACCTACAGAGTACGATGAGGCAGAAGCTGCGCGGGTGTTGAGAAAGGTCGATGTAAGACTTGTGCCTATGCTGGCCTTGCTCTACCTCGTCGCTTTCATCGACCGTAGTAACAGTGCGTATTGCGATTATTTGCGTCACTCCTTCACAATGTAAAACTAACATACGCCACAGTCGGAAATGCAAAGATTGCTGGTATGACAGACGACCTCAAAATGAACGGTCAACAATACAACACAGCCGTGACCCTCTTCTTCGTGCCCTACACCCTACTCGAAGTCCCTAGCAACATCATTCTCAAGATGATGCGCCCTAGTTACTGGATGGCAATTCTAATGGGTTCCTGGGGTCTCGTCATGACACTTATGGGCCTGACATCGAGTTACGGCGGTCTCCTCGCTGGACGATTTTTCTTGGGTGTCACGGAGGTATGTGTGAAAAATACCAGTCTCTCAACTACAATATACTGATTTTGCCACTCAGTCCGGTTTCTTCCCAGCAGCAACCTTTCTGCTTACTCTCTGGTACCGCCGCTTCGAACTCCAGCGCCGCATGGCTGTCTTCTACGTCGCCGCCTCTCTCGCCGGCGCCTTTAGCGGTCTCCTCGCCTACGGCATCGAGAAACTCGACGGACGTTCTGGACTCGCTGGATGGCAGGTACGTAGCAATTCCAACCCTTTACCCTCTCAGGAAAAAAAACGTCTATTTTCCTAACACGCAAAAAAAAACAGTGGATTTTCCTAATCGAAGGTCTCATCCCCGTCGCCCTTGCCCTCGTCATCTGGAAAATCCTACCCGACAGCCCCGAAACTGCAAAGTTCCTTACGCAGCCCGAGCGCGACTTGCTCGTTGCCCGTCTCTCAAACGACTCGGGCTCCGGACAAGGTCAAACTACAAACAATGATAAAATCGGTAAAGAGCAGATTCTCGCCGGTCTTAGCGATTGGAAAATCTGGGCTGCTACTCTCGTGTTTTGGGGTAACACCGTTGGTGTGTACGGGTACGTTTTTTTTCCTTCCTCTTTCCCGCAAGAATTCCCAAGTCCTTGGTCGATTTTTGTGCTGTATTTCGCTTTCCGGCCCGAGTCTTTCGCTAACACTTAAGGCAGCTTCACCGCCACCGTCCCCAGCGTAATTAAAGGCCTGGGCTACACCTCCGCCAACGCCCAGCTCCTCACAATCCCCATCTACGTCTTCGCCGCCATCCTTACCCTAATCTTCGCCTGGGCCTCTGACCTCACTCGCAAGCGCTCCCCTTACATTATCGCCGGCTACTCCATCGCCATCGCAGGCTTCATCGCGCAACTCGCTATCCCCAAGCCAAAATACCCGGGTATAACCTACGGTTTCTTGTTCCCCGTCGCAGGCGGTCTATATTGCCCATTCACGTGCCTGGTATCGTGGATCGGAAATTCGCTGGCGCCGTCGTCGAAGAGGGCGGTGGGTATGGCTCTGCTTATTTCTGTAGGCAACATGGGTGGTATTATGGGCAGTAATATTTACCTTGCCCGTGAGGCACCCAAATATCGCACGGGTTTCGCGGCGAGTTTGGCTATGTGCTGTCTGGCGATTATTATGACGTTTGTGCTGCGCTGGGCGTACTCGAGGGAGAATGCTAAGAGAGATGCGCTGATTGCGGCGGAGGGAGAGGACGCGGTGCGCGCGAGGTATAGTCCGGAGGAGTTGTTGTTGCTCGGGGATAAGAGTCCGTTTTATAGGTATACTTTGTAAGAGGGGGTAGAAGATGGCGGGGGTGGTAGTGTAGAGAGGTAGTTTTTATATATATGATTCTGATGACATACTACAATGGATGACATAACTTCTGATTTTTTTCTCGTTGAGAGATGTAGTGAAATGTGGCTATGCACTTATCTGTTGAGGATACTTTGGTAGTGATGCCAAGAAAGTAAGGAGACGGGACAACCTAATTCCAACCTCCCAAGTCAATTCAAAAAAAAGAACATTTATAGGAGATGGAGGAAAAAAAACCTTGTTTCAATACAACATCTCCCACGCTACCCCTGCCCATCTTCCACATCCCCGCCCCCCACCAACTCCCCACTCGCATCCCTATCCCACTCACAAGCATCCACCCTCGTAGCCCTACAAGGAACACACGCGCTGCCATCCCCCAAACTAAGACAATCATCCACGCCCATACCCCTCCTCTGACACGTCTTACAAACCCTCAACTTTTTCCCTTTCTTAAGCTCATTCCTCCAAGTCTCATCATCCATGATGCGGTAATTGATACCGTTGAAGCGCCAAAAGTCGTCGCTATTATACATGACCTCGTCCACCGGCAACTCCTCGCCATACATGTATGGCGGAATAAATGATCTGCCGCTGCGGAAGCACTCGCGCGAGACGATGAAGCGCGATCTAGGGCTGTAGGATTTGAGCATAGAGGCAATTTTATACGTGGAGGGGCGGTCGAAGAAGAGGGTGCTGAGGAGATGGGATTGATCGGCTGAGCTGGTCATTTCGACGAGGCGGAAGAAGGAGTGGTCCGAGAACTTGAGATGTAGTGTGAAGTCGTCAGCTAGAGTGCGAGGCAAGCAGTCAGTTGTGAGCGAAGTGAGCGAACGGAAGACGATTGCGGATAGAGAGCGCAGGTCGTGCGCGGCGTTGTTGGAAATGGCCGAGTCGAGCATTTTGAGGAATTTCAGGGCTGGAGGGAAACCGTCCATGCGGAGGTAGTAGTAGAGGTGTGATTCGAAACCCAGTTCGAGGTGCTCGAGGTTTACAAGTGAGCGTAGCTTTGCCGTGCCTTCTGGATCGGTTTCGCGGGGAGTTAAATGACCGAGATGGCCTCCACAATGCGCTAGGCGCCGTAGAGAATCGGCTTGTCTTTGTAGTGCTGTAAGAAATAACTTCGAAGATGTGCGGTGTTCTGAAACCATGGATGGTTGACACCCCTCAAAGGCGTGTAGTCGTTCACCAATCGATAGCTCCTTTAGGGCTTTTGGAAGGCTCAAAACGGTATCTAGAAAGAACACATCGACGTTACATTCGATTAGTGTTAGTGACTGGAGCGGCGTAGTTTTGATTTCCTTTTCAGAAACCTCAAACGGCGCCCCGATTCTGTTGTCGAAGTTCAAGCACGACAATGTAATGTTGCGTAATGTTGGATGTCTAAACATGGCCGTCGCCCGGCCAAGAGTGAATTTGTTATCTCCTGAGCCATGCGCATGCAGTGTTACTATCGCGAGTCAGTCTCACTCTATTCGTACCAGCGTCTGAACATACATGACTGCAGCATAGGCAACGCTCTTTGCATATCCATCCGCGGATACACCGCACTAGCTAACAAGTTTGAGTAATCAATCCTCGAGTACCCATCGAAGTAGATATTGCCTTGCTGCCATTCTGAATTGTTTGGGCAAGGGCTCTCAATATGCAGGTGTCGCAGCCTACTCATCAAGCCTATGAAGTGATTTAGCTCCTCTATGCCATCGCGATATTCGTCCTGATATCGAATGGCAAGGCTTTGAATGCAATCCGGTCGCTCGTCTCGGCTGTCAAGCGCTTTGGCAATCCTCCGTGCGTGTTCGCCCTTCAGCACTTGAAGATCATGCCAGATGTACGGCTCAACAAGACCCTGGAATCTCGTACACGTCGCAGCAAGATTGCACAGTGCATCCCGGGCGTTGATATGATCGATAATGTTGAGAAGAAGTTCATCGACAAGCTGTAAGAGTCCGCTCTTTGCTGGTCCAAGCATAGTGATACCAGGTTCGTGGCGTGCTCCCCTAAAGGTATAACCCGAATGACGCGTTTTGCGTTTTTTGGCTCCAGCAAAGGATATGCTTGGCATTCAGCGATGTACAGTCAAAATATTGGAGATGTGCAGACACGGGGATAATTCTGTAGGTTGCGATCGGATTAGTATCTGTGGCTGTATGAGCGTTCATCGTTTGGGCCAACGAGGGAAGCCTTTGGATGATGTCAGATGATAGCTAGTCCCAGAAGGGCCATATGTGGCACGTGAGCACAGTAGTGCATTGCTGAGTTTCTCGGTCGGTCGAAATATTCGGAGAAACTACACCGACTAAAACAAGGTGGAACTATGTACTAGTATTATAGAGGAATATTTTTTGAGACATTAATCTGGACGTAAAGTCTAGCATTTGCATTGTATACAAGATAATGTTTCTTAATTACGTTCTAGTGAAGGCGGCTGATCGCAAGCAACAGCTTTGTTTTACTAAGGGCTGTTTTTATCTGAGTATTTCGGTCGACCCCTAGTTAGGGTGAGGGGCTCATAGTTTGTGCATTACTCATGCAGGATCAGTGAGAAGCAAAGTTGCGAGTCATCCAGCACAAATAGCCTCGAAGAAGATGAGCTTTAATCCTTGTATTCTCATCGTAAACGAATCTAACAAAGCAACTATTATATGGTAACCCAATCTAGATAGCAAGCGCAATACTTCTGATGCGCAATAACCAGCTCTAAGTTGTATACAGGTACCTTGGGTTGTCTTCTCCCATTTCTTCGATTTCCTCCTCAGTCTTGCCCTCGATTCTCCAGTCTTCTTTGCCAGAAAGCTTCCTCTTGTTTTTCATACGCAAGTACAAATGTAATGACGTATAGATGGCAATGCCTAGTGCCAGCAACCCAATGGTAGCGCCGTATCCTGGCCGGTATGTAGGGGCCGTGCTACCTTTGTACAAGAACGGCGATGCAATGCCAGCACAGTTTCCAATGGTGATTTGCATGCCACTGGCAAAAGCTCGCTTTCCGTATCGGGGGTTGTTGACAGCAACCCAGGAAAAGGCGAGTCCAGTTGCGACCCATAGACCGAGGGCTACGACGAAACAACCAGCGAAACTCAGACCAAGGCCTTGGTTTGCAATTAGGAAGATGTATCCAAGCATGCTTACGGAGAGTCCCGCGATGCAGAAGAGACCCCTTTGCTGTGTCTTGTCGCTGTAGTATGCTCCAGTAACGTAGGTTATGAAACCAACAACGTATACTGGAATTGTTAGGGCCTGGACCACTTGACGGGACCAGCCACCTCCCAGCCCGTTGATGATGGTTGGGAGGAACACCGAGAAACTGTAGAGCATGCCAAGTCCGACGAACTGAGCGATGGCGAAGGCATACACCTTCCAGTCTTTGATGCCCTTCATGACGTCTTCCTTCTGAAGTTCTTGACCCGATACCGTTTGGCCGACTTCCCTCATTCGTAGCCTTAGCAAAATTCGTCGGTCGTCTTCGGTCAGGAAAGTGGCGGTTTCCGGACTATTGGGGAGAATCCAAGGCACGGGAAGAGCGCTCACTACAGTCAGAATGCCTATGATTAGAATAACTATGAAAGGTGATGTTAGCAGGCATCGCAGAGTATGATTTTGGTACAGACGTACTCCATCGCCATCCTCTCCATCCAGCTGTACCGTCCATTTCGCCAATAGCGTAGGCGACCAGTCCCTGAAAACCATCAGAACAGTTGACGCATATCTTGCAGACATGGTACTTACACCCAGTCCTCCAGCTATAGCAGAGGTACCGTAGAACAAAGCTTGCCTGAGAGACACGTTCCTTCTGTTGTAGAACATTGACAGGTAGAGTATAACTCCAGGAACTATAGACAAAGTAAGCGGGATGGAGACGTGTGGATGTTGTATATGATTGATACTTACATAACCCTGCTTCAAACATTCCCAAGAGAAGTCTGCAGGCGATCAAGGCAGCGTAGTTGTTGACAAAAGCGGTAAACGTGGACACTATTCCCCAGAAAAACATGAGTGCTGCAAGATATCGTGCTGGTTTCATCCCTTTTCGTTGAGAAGCAGCGCATTAGTATATGTTTATACGTAGTTAGTGTACGTGACTCACTCTTGATGATCATATTACTGGGCGTCTCGAAAAGCTATTGAAGGTAAGCGTTTGGAAACGAAGTTAACATTTGGCGTGTGACTTACGACATAGGTGACGAATAAGATGGAGACTGCGAGCTGGAATTGATCGCTGTTCGGGTCCATATTGAGATCTTCCTCCAAACCGTAGAGACGAGCATTTCCAATATTGACTGATGCCTTTTCAGAGAAGCTCCAATACCACTACATCTGTACACACCTCGATCCATGAAGTTCATCAAGTAAATCCAACATAGCATTGGTACAATGCGAATATCCAGCTTTCTCAGTACTTTCGCTTCAGTAGCCGCATCGATTTCGTCTTCCACTACAGAACGTTCAATATCCTCAACCTTTGTGGGTGGAGTCATCGATGCATCGGAGCCTTTTTCATCAATGAAGCCCGACGCGTGAGGCGTCGTTTCCTGTGGTTGTGTACTCATCTTTCAAACACAGAAAAGCAGTGCTGAATGATGTAGGAGGTGCAAAGAAGGCTACGACAGCAAAGAGGTTCTGGTATGGCAATCGTCGACAAAAATCATGATAGACAGGATCCAGACTTGAACTTATAACCCGGCCCCCCGGGATAGGCAGATCCAACCCCGTGGGGTAACGAGATATGCCACGGCCTTGGTATCGCACAGATACACCGTTGGTCCACCAAGATTGCAAGCCACAGAGTATTTTGAATCCCCATATGGAAACTGCCGATGACCGTTCGACCGGCGTGGCATGCTTGGAAATTCTACACGTTTGCGTTTCCAGGCTTCATTCATTCTTGGACGGCTGACCGCCAGACGGCTTGGGCGCCATGGATATTCGTCCAAGATTGCCAACCCCTTGGACTTCACGTGATGACGGCAAGATGAGGAGTAGATTGACCCCACAGATCAGAACCATTGCTGGACCAGATACTTAGTTACATAACTTCTCTTCCTCATGTGTGCTTGGAGAGACATTAGAAGGACTGGTTGGTGTCTGGATAGAGGTCTGCGATCAAGTGATGAAGTAAGATGCGAATTCCATGCTCACCCCATACTTCCTAGAAGCAGACTAGCAAAGACACTTTCTATGAAATCTCAGAAATTGTACTTTGCTATGATATCAGATGCACAACAAGTATGCTAATCAGGACACGATGTGCACACCCTGTTAATGCTGTTGTGATGATCAGTCCAAGACGCCAAATTCTTAGCCTACGTGCGTCTACATCTTGGCATGAAGCATGCACGAACAATACAAATAGTCAGCTTGGAGACTTTAACCCGGTTGTAGGGACAAACATTTGATGGCAAGGAGCGAATGGCTTTGGAATTGTAAAAAAAAAAAAGTTGGAGATTGGGACCAACACAGCTGCAAAGGTTCGCCATAACGTGTTACATAAGGCAGTCATTGTGATGTTTCGCTGAGATCCTTGCCGAGCCGGGTCAGCCGGTATATTACACAGTAGAACTGAGGCGTCCAGTACAAGAGGTGCTGATTCGCTGACCAAGAATCAGGACGCTTCGCCGACACTGTGTTTTGTGCTGGCTCTTGGACGGATGCTTGGTTGCACTGCCTGCTATTACATCCTCGGGTCATAGCATGGATGTTGTGAGGGGCGGACAAATGGAAGTAACATTGGGCCAAGAGACTGGAGTGCGGCTGAGCACCTTGGCTGATAGGTATTTGATGGCCTCGCGGAAGATTGTTGTTGGCGACACGGCTGGAGTTGGAATGTATGGTCAGTGGGAGAGGAGAGAAGAGGCACGAAAGATGGATGCATCTGCTGCATTATTGCTTAGTCACCGCGCCTGTGCCTGTTCACTGCATCCATCGCCTCCCGAATCGAAAGACGACTTTTCAACCCAGTTATCCGCAATGATATTTCTTACTAATTGAGTGCTTTTGTTGGCTTATGCCTATGAGGGAGTAAGCTCTTCAATATCCATTGTCTTGGTTGAGGAATAAATTGGTAAAGTAAACAAAAGGCGGGGGATACGTGTTCGGTGTGACGGGAACGTGGCTAGTTTGCTCATAGACGAAGCTGTTCCTCACAACACAGACGAGCGCTATACAGAGCACGAGGATGGGCGCATTATGTTTGCGCTCAAGATGGTCTCAAGTGCATCCAGGCATCGGAGCTGTACTGTCTGTCGACTGTGGTTGCTGGAGATGGCGTGGGGCTGCCCCGCGAGTTTGCTACGGGTCCGGTAACGGCGGCGGCGACGGTGACGGCGGTCAGCTCAGCCATAGTGGGTAGCGTCACGCCTCGAACGACGCAGGGACTTTTGAAAAGTGTAAATCTCGCCTTGACTCATACGGACGCGTTCGATTACAGGCAATGTGTTAGGAGACGGGCCTTTTCTTTTCTTCGTCAATTGACTTTTTCTTTTTTCAAGAAATAAACCAACGCTTCTTCTCACGCCGCTCTGCCCGCAGGGTGACGAGCAACCAGACAGCCCACTATGGCGAGCAACGGCGGTGAGCCCACCAAAGTCAACATCCTGGGCAAAGACTCCATTGTCGTCGGCCATGACATATGGAGAGACTATATTGCTCAGGATTTGCTCCAAAATATCCCCTCATCGACGTACGTCCTCATTACCGACACAAACATCGGCCCTCTTTACATCGATACGTTCGAAACCGCCTTCCAAAATGCTAGCTCCTCGCTTCCCTCCCCACCACGTTTCCTCACCTACCAAATATCGCCCGGCGAGACTTCCAAGTCACGACACACAAAAGCTGCAGTCGAGGACTGGCTGCTTGCTCAAGGATGCGTGCGCGACACCGTCATAATAGCCCTTGGCGGTGGTGTCATTGGCGATATGATCGGCTATGTTGCAGCGACATATATGCGCGGCATCAAGTTCGTTAATGTCCCTACGACGCTTCTGTCAATGGTAGATTCGAGCATAGGCGGCAAGACGGCCATTGATGTGCCTGCAGGAAAAAACTTGGTTGGCGCTTTCTGGCAGCCAGAAAGAATCTACATTGACCTGCGCTTTCTCGAGTCGCTACCCAAGCGCGAGGTCATCAACGGCATGGCCGAGGTCATCAAGACGGCCGCCATATGGAACGAAGAGGAATTCACTACCCTCGAAGGCAATGCAAACGACATCTTGGCTGCCATTGATCAGAAGCCTGTAAACGGACGCAGAAACTTTGACGAGATAGCAAGCATCCTCAAGCGCATAGTGCTAGGCTCAATCCGAGTCAAGGCCGAAGTCGTCTCTGCAGATGAGCGAGAAGGTGGTTTGCGCAACCTACTGAACTTTGGCCACTCCATCGGTCATGCTTATGAAGCCATTCTCACCCCTCAGATTCTCCATGGCGAGTGCGTTGCGATAGGAATGGTGAAGGAAGCCGAGTTGGCACGCTATCTTGGCGTCCTGGATCCTTCTGCAGTCGCGCGCTTGACTAAATGCATTGCAAGCTACGGACTGCCTACATCGCTGGCCGACAAGACTGTGCGAAAACGGTCAGCGAACAAGCCATGCCTGGTTGATGAGCTCATCAAGATCATGGCTGTAGACAAGAAGAATGCCGGCAAAACTAAGAAGATCGTGCTTCTCTCGGGCATCGGTAGGACACATGAGAAAAAGGCTAGCTCTGTCGAGGACCGCGACATTAAGATCGCACTCTCACCAAGCATATCGGTGCACCCTGGCGTCCCGTCCGACCTAAATGTGACATGTACACCTCCTGGATCAAAGAGCATCTCCAACCGTGTCCTTGTACTTGCTGCGCTCGGAACTGGCTCGTGCCGCATTACCAACCTGCTACACTCAGACGACACGCAGGTCATGTTGGATGCGCTTGCAAAAATGCAGGGCGCAACCTTTGCATGGGAAAATGACGGCAAGGAGCTGGTAGTGACCGGAAATGGCGGTAACCTCAAGGCATCAAGCAATGAACTCTACCTGGGAAACGCTGGTACAGCAGCGCGTTTCTTGACTTCAGTGACTGCCCTTTGCCAACCTACAGATGGCGCCACCTCGACTATCGTCACTGGTAATGCTCGTATGAAGGAGCGTCCCATTGGTCCTCTTGTAAAATCGCTCCGTACTATGGGTGTTGAGATTGACTACCAGGAGAACGAAGGCAGCCTCCCGCTCCGAATCTCAGCCTGTGGCGGTTTCGGCTCTGATTCTTTCACGGGCGAAATTGAGCTTACCGCAAATGTGTCTTCACAATATGTCTCTTCAATCTTGTTGAGTGCCCCATACTCTAAGAAGCCCGTTACACTCCGCCTGGTTGGCGGCAAGGTCATTTCACAGCCCTACATCGACATGACTATTGCGATGATGGCTTCTTTCGGAGTGCAGGTTGAGCGATCCGAGAGCGACCCCAACACCTACCACATTCCCAACAGGCCATACACCAATCCATCAGAATATGAGGTTGAAAGCGATGCTAGCTCAGCTACTTACCCACTCGCCATCGCAGCCATCACCGGCACCACGTGCACAGTTCCCAATATCGGTTCTGGCTCCCTGCAAGGTGACGCTCGATTCGCCGTCGAGGTCCTGAAGCCCATGGGCTGCACTGTTGAACAGTCCAAGACGTCAACAACTGTCACCGGCCCACCACGCGGTGAACTCAAGGCTGTCAAGGAAATCGACATGGAGCCCATGACGGATGCGTTCCTTACAGCGTCTGTTTTGGCTGCGGTAGCATCTTCAAACGGCTCTAGTGTTACAACTCGCATCTATGGTATCGCGAACCAGCGTGTCAAGGAGTGCAATCGCATCCAAGCTATGGAAGATGAGCTGGCAAAATTCGGCGTGACTTGCAGACAGTTTGACGATGGTATTGAGGTTGATGGAAAGGCCTACCAGCTTGATGCCCCCAAGGTCGGCATTCACTGCTATGATGACCATCGTGTTGCAATGAGCTTCGCCGTTCTCTCGTTAGTTGCTCCCGAGCCTGTGCTCATTCTTGAAAAAGAGTGCACAGGGAAGACATGGCCAGGATACTGGGATAGCCTGAACCAGGTTTTCAAAGCCAAGCTCGAGGGTGTAGAGCTTGTACCAAAGACCAGCACACGCAAGGCTGCGTCAAAGGTCAATCATCGATCCATCTTCGTCATCGGCATGCGAGGCGCTGGCAAGACAACCATGGGTAGTTGGGCAGCACGCGCTCTTGGATGGCCTTTGATTGATTTGGACACCGCCCTTGAGGAACATGTCGGCATGACGATTCCCGAACTCATCAAAGAGCAAGGTTGGGAAGGCTTCCGAAGCGAAGAGCTCAAACTCTTAGAGAGGGTTGGTAAGGAGAGACCCAACGGACATGTCTTCGCTTGTGGTGGGGGGATAGTCGAGACACCAGCGGCTCGCAAGTTACTCATCGACTACCACAAGAGCGGCGGTATCGTTCTTCTGATCTCACGAGATATCAACAAGGTCATCTCTTTTCTTCAAATTGACAAGACAAGGCCAGCATACGTTGACGATATTATGGGCGTCTGGCTTCGACGTAAGGGTTGGTACGAGGAATGCAGCAACTACCGCTTTCATAGCCAGGCCGCTGGGTTGAATGACGTCCCCCAAGCACAGGCAGAGATGGCACGTTTCCTGAACATAATTACAGGCAGGGTATCAGTTTTGGAGGGGTTCAAGAAAAGAAAGCACTCTTTCTTTGTCTGCCTTTCTGCGCCACGACTCGAGCCTTGGATCAAAACGCTACCTGCAATCGTAGTCGGTTCGGATGCTGTCGAGCTAAGGATTGATTTGCTTGAGGATCCGGAAGGTCAACCAGGCCTACCAACACCAGACTTTGTCATTGAGCAACTCACCATTCTACGGACAGTCACATCGATTCCAGTCATCTTTACATTAAGAACACAGGCACAGGGTGGTAAATTTCCCGACCAAGCATATGATGAAGCTCTGACACTTTATCAAACGGCATTGCGACTGGGATGTGAGTTTGTTGACCTGGAGTTGACCATGCCCGAACATGTGCTGCAGGAGATATCTGAGAATCGCGGTTTCTCCGAGATCATCGCAAGTCATCATGACCCGAAGGGCGAGTTGAACTGGAGAAACGGCTCTTGGATATCACAGTACAACCGTGCCCTCCAGTACGGTACTGTCATCAAGCTGGTCGGCGTCGCCAAGTCGCTAGAAGACAATTTTGCGCTCGCCGAGTTCAAGAGCTGGGCGCAAACAGCCCATCCTACGCCTTTAATTGCCATAAACATGGGGGAAAAGGGCAAGATGAGCAGGATACTGAACGGCTTCATGACGCCCGTCTCGCATCCTCTGCTTCCTTCTGCAACTGCACCAGGACAGCTATCAGCGGTAGACATCCGTCGTGGCCTTTCGCTGATGGGTGAGATTCCGACAAAGAAGTTTTACATTTTCGGTTCGCCCATTGCGCAAAGTCCCAGCCCCCGTCTGCACAACACTCTCTTCCGTGAGACTGGACTGCCTCATATTTATAGTCGCCACGAAACCACAGACGTAAACTCGTTCTGCGACATCATCCGTACACCGGATTTTGGCGGTGCTAGTGTCACTATTCCTCTGAAGCAGGACGTCATACCTCTGCTTGACGGAGTCGGCCCAGAGGTAGAAGTAATTGGCGCCGTTAATACCATCGTTCCCGAAACCTCCATCGACGAAACCACCGGCAAGGAGGTAACCCGGCTCATTGGCCGCAACACAGACTACCTAGGCATGGTCCTCATCCTGCGCAACGCCGGCGCCCAAGGAAGTGGCTCTGCCCTCGTCATCGGCGGCGGCGGCACAAGCCGCGCAGCCATCTACGCCCTGAAGGAAATGGGTTACAGCCCCATCTACCTCCTCGGCCGCAATCCCTCCAAGATGGAAGTCCTGAAGAACGCCTTTTCCCCAGAATACAATGTCCACGTCCTGAACTCGCCAGATGATGTCGCCGCCCTTGACGCCGCACCTCAGGCCGCCATTGGCACTATTCCCGCCGACCAACCCATCGACATTGCCATCCGTGAGACGCTGTGCTCGCTATTTGAAAAGGGTAAGGCGTCAGTTAGGGATATCGATGTAGGGGGTGAGAGGATCCTACTTGAGATGGCATATAAACCGTCTGTTACCGCGCTTATACAGCTTGCTATGGATAATGGGTGGAAGACGGTGAATGGGCTTGAGGTCTTGGTTGGTCAGGGTGTGAATCAGTTTGAGTACTGGACCGGTGTAACGCCGTTGTACGAGGTTGCGAGGGTAAGTTCTGTGCTTATTTGATTATGGTGATGAGTAGGGGCTGACGCGAAGCAGGATGCTGTTATCAACCAGACGGACTGAATGATGATGTGTTTGACGAGGTTTTCGCGTGGCAATGAGGAGTAGGATTAACGGTGTGCTGATGATATTGTATTCTGACGTGCTCAACGATAAAAGTTACTACGACACTAACGAATAAAGCGTTTACATGCTACACCCTTTGACAAAAGTATCTACCCGTCATGTTCCCTCTAAATACAATGCGCTAACCTGAAAAAAATAATCTATACATGTGAAAAAACAATCACCTTCTCCTTTAAATCTCTCAAACTCCAATACAGCCATATTCATACAATTGAAAAGAAAAAATCAACAACTCCCCTTCCCTTCCCCGCGCCAAAAAAAAAGAGACATATCAAGCCCCCTACTATCCCTCATATCCCCGTATCTTCCTCGCCTCCAACAAATCCCTAACCCGATTCCCCCCCGCCGTAACTACAACCCCCCTCGCCGCATCTTCGGCAATCTTCTCATCAATCGCCTTGTCAAGGCTGTGTACAATGGTCTTGCTGGGTGTGCGGAGGGCGTTGCGGTCGATGTCTTGCGGAGCCAGATACGTCGATGCAGCATCTGCAGCGGGTGAAAGCGTGGGGGCGGGCGCAGGAACAGGGATGAATAGCGCAGCCGGACGGCGTTGGCGACGCCGGGGAGGACGCGTTGGAGATACGTTTTGGGTCAAGACTGCGGGTAGGGAGGGGAAGGGGGGTGGTGTTGGGGCGGGGAGGAGGAGGAGGGTAGGCGGGGTTGTGGAGGGGGTTGTTGATTCCTGTGGTGCTTCTAGTTTTTTCGGGGGCGATGGAGGAGACTCTGCCTTTTCAAATTTCGTGGGTGAGCGTCTGGGTAGAGTGGCGGCGGTGGTGGTATTCGGGCGAGTTGATTGCAGTGGTGTTTTCCGGGGCGATACTAGGGAGAGAGGGCGTGGGGGCTTGGGGGTTGAGGGTTTTTGTTTCAAAGTTGGGATAGAGGCGAGTTTGGGGGGGATGTGGAGGGAGAGGGGGCGTTTGGGCGGGGGAGGGGTTGCGAAGGGGCTTTCGAGCTTCCAGGTTGATGTGGCGGGAAGGCGGCTACTAGGTTGCTTGGTTGAGGTGCGGGTGAGGCGGGGAAGGGTTGAGGCGGTTTTGATGGGTGTGGTAATGGATTTGGTGGGTTTTTGGGATATTGTGTTTGCTGGGCCTTTTGTCTTGTTCATGTTTATGGCTTTGGAGTTTGGTGACTCGGTTGTGGCGGGACGATTGTCTTTTTTTTGGGCTGATAGGTACCCGCTAGACTGACACCGCGGTATCGTGGACTTGCTAGGGAGCTTTGTCGAGGCCACTTTGTTTGGAGAGTTCGTCTTAATTCTTGGTAGAGACGACATGTTGTAGTTGAACTTTTCGAGTGTTGCTGACTTTCCAACTGTACCTGAGCTACTCGAGTCTTGTCGGTCTCTGGTGGAGTCGCTGTTCGGTATCGGCAGTACCTCGCTCAAGTTGACAGGTTCGTAAAGTGCTGGGGTTGAAATCTCCGAAGGAGTTGTCTTTGCGTTGTCCGTATCTTTCTCCAGATCCAATGATATTCCGAGACTCATCTCTACGAGTTCGTCCCGGCCAGCAGTTTGTGTATCGGACTTCTCCAAGGTATCCTCGTTTGCATCACCCCAATCAACTTGCTTCCCCGAATCCGCCCTTGTATCGCGTTGTCGTTTCGTATTCGGACAATATGAAGACGAGTATTGAGATGTCTGCGCTTCTTGTGTCTTGTCGGCGAAACACTTTATACCAGACTCTGATAAAATTTGAGGGGGTTGCACCTCGGTTGACATGTTGACAACCTGCTCTAGTCCCTGGAAAGGCAGAATTGAAGACAACTCCTTCTCAAAGTTAAGTCTAGCAGCCACATCCGATGCACATGGAGCACCATCTCCTGACATCCTCTTGTAAGAACCTGACCCCACCAGCTGAAGCTTTTCAGAAGCCTTGCGTAACGGGGTAAGCGTAGGCGAAGCAAGATTTCTTTCCTCGCCCGGGGAAAATGGCCATTCGAAAGCCGGACTAGTATTGTTGCTTCCAAGTTTCGCCGTGAGACCACCAATGTTTTTCGGCTGCAAGTTCACCGGCTGTCGTGTTTTTTTGATTGGTGTAAAGTATTCGCTCGGGTTGGGGATAGCTCGTCTAACGGGTATCGCTGCTGAATCGTCGTCCATGGTAGCGTCTGCTAGACACCCTGAGAGCATCCGGAGCAAATGGTTGGTATGTGATACTAGATTTCTGGCCAGATCCGGGCTCATATCAACAGATGAGGAGGGCGAGTCTAGCTCAATCGTTCGCTTCACTGGACTGCAAGGCCGTTCGTGGTTGGGTGTTTCCGGTCTACCCTTTTCCAAGGGAGTCTTGAACAAGGACTTATCGGAATCCTGCTTTCTAGCGCTCCGGTTTTTCGAGGGACTCGACGGCTTTTTTGTTGGAGATCCGGTTCGAAACTCGTGCTTTGGGGCGGTGGCTTTTGGTGGCGTACTGACAGCGGCTCTCGCAGGGCTCGGCTTCATGGAGATCATCATTTTCAAGGGACTGGTTGACCGTATTTTCGTGGGTGTCGTCACTTCTTTTGCGTTCTCCGCCGTGCTATCCCTGGCCCCAGTTGCATCCTTCTTTGGCGAGATCCTACTCGATGAACAATTCATTGGAGGGCGAAAGGTGTTCTTCCCTACTTCCAAATTGGTTGGCAATGGGCTGTTTCGAACTCTAACGCCCATTCTATACCCTCCAGTAGGCGTCCGAGGCTGTGGTGTTACAGACATTGTCGTTTCACATAGGAACCGTTCGCAAACCAGAGGTGACCTCAGGCTCGACGCAGCGGGACAGACGCGCTTTTGAGGTGAGGAATGCGCACTGTTCTCCGCGGCCAACGGGTCTGTGTTCTCATCTGGTGCGGGGTCTGCTATCGATGTTGGTGCTGTAATCGAGGCCATAGCTGCTATTGTTGGGATAACCCCCAGAGCAGAGGTTCATATCAATGGGAGCGGCCATCAAGCGGTCTATTTTTCAGCTGGATTGAGCATAGACCGCCGGTGAGGCCAAAGGGTGACTTTGACAGAGTGATCGGAGGGGTTCGAGGGTTCAGCAAACGGCTGTGGCGCTGGTTTGGCCTCAACATGTGTAACAAGCAAACATAGACCCACTTGCGTCACCGTGGAACAAGGGAACCTATGCACGAACTATCGTTTCGGCATTCGAAAATAAACAAACATGTCCCGAGAATTGATAGGTTTGATTTCTACATGGGAATAAGCACTCATCCATCCATATGCGCTCAACATTGGATGTGTATGGTGATCACTCAACCATGCCATCTTGTCCTTGGCCTGCTCCCTGCGTTTATAGCTTTTCCTTCAAACTCGACTTGAGCCTTCGTTCCACCGCGTCCAGGTACTCGTTGGTTGTGACCCAGCTAGCCCTGTCCTTCTTTCCACACGCTAGCGCCAGATCCTTGGTCATGATCTTGTCAACGTCGACCGTGTCAATGCAGGCCTTCTCGAGCGTCTCAGCAAAGACGACAAGTTCAGGGGTGTTGTCGAGCTCGCCACGCTTGGCTAGACCTTGTGTCCAGGCAAAGATGGAGGCAATGGGGTTAGTAGATGTCTCCTTGCCCTTTTGGTGCTCACGGTAGTGGCGGGTAACGGTACCGTGCGCGGCCTCAGCCTCGAACGTCTTGCCGTCTGGGGTGATGAGTGTGGAAGTCATGAGACCAAGAGAGCCGAAACCCTGAGCGACAATGTCCGACTGGACGTCTCCGTCGTAGTCTGGGGATGTTAGCAGATATCCCAGGGCCATGCAGGGCAAATACGTACTCTTCATGGCAATAACATAGCCACCCTCGCTCTTGATCATCTGAGCGACCATGTCGTCAATCAGACGGTGCTCATACCAGATGTTGGCGGCCTCAAAGTCCTTCTTGTACTGGGTGTCGTAGATTTCCTGGAAGACGTCCTTGAACTTTCCGTCGTATGCCTTGAGAATGGTGTTCTTGGTGCTCATGTACAGTGGCATCTTCTTGTCGAGCGCCATCTTGAACGAGGCATGTGCGAAACCCGAGATGGACTCGGTTGTGTTGTACTGGGTCTGGGCGACACCGCCCTCGGCAGGGAAGTCGTAGACCTTGATCACCTCGGGCTTGCCGCCCTTTGGTGTGAAGACCATTTCCAGGGTTCCCTCACCAGGAATGACACGGTCCTTGGCGCGGTACTGGTCGCCGAAAGCGTGGCGGCCAATGATGATGGGCTGCTTCCATCCAGGGACGAGACGAGGGATGGTGGGGATAACAATGGGTGCGCGGAAGACGGTTCCTCCTCTAATGTGCTGTTAGCGAGTTTTGGGCAATTCGTTGCAAGCATGTGACCTACAGATGGTTTCGAATGGTGCCATTGGGCGACAACCACATTTTCTTGAGCTTGAACTCTTCTACACGCTGCTCGTCTGGGGTAATGGTTGCGCACTTGACACCAACCGAGTACTTTTTGATAGCCTCAGCGGCATCGAGCGTGACTTGGTCGTCGGTCTCATCACGGTATGGCAGGCCCAGGTCATAGTACTTGAGGTCAATGTCGAGGTAGGGGTGGATAAACTGCAGTGGTAAGTATGGTGGGCGCGCATTTTGATTTTCCGTGGTGTTGGTGGTACCTTGTCTTTGATGACTTGCCAGATAATCCTGGTCATCTCATCACCATCGAGCTCCACGACGGGGTTCTTGACCTTGATCTTCTTGACTGGGGAAGACGATGCCATTCTGTGCTGTGCGACGAGAGTGTATAGGCTGGTGGGCGTTGTTCTGGCAGTGATTGTTGCTGGTCGTCGCGGGCTCAGAAGTTGGGCCGATGTCGCAGGCGAGTGAGAAGCTAAACAGCGAGTTGCAAAAGCACAAGTCTGGCGACGGGAGAGATGCGCAATTGAAGATGCATGGCGGATAGTCGCGGAGGCAGCAACGGCCGGCTTCATGGCGGAAGATGAGTAAGACAAGAAGATAGCCTCGGAATTGCAGTTCCAGCGCGTTTCAGAAGGTGATGGTTTCCGGCCGCGGTCTCGAATGCGAAGTCAGAAGGGCGACGATGTTCGGTTGATGGGACGAGCAGCTCTTAGTCGAAGAGTCGCCTAGCGGGATAACCAGAGCCGAGGGCCACAGCACAGCAAGCCGTCTTGAGCTCGTCGCAGAGGCCCAGAGCCCACTTACATAGTGCTTGGAAACCTGAGGCCCCACGGCTAATACCCCTCTTGCTCTATCGCATTGCGATTGTGCGTTTTTGATTGCCGTTGCGCGCGGCATGTTATTCAGTGTCGCATGTCACGCGGGGTACATGAAGCTTGGAATGACGTGTGCGGGTGTATGCGGGACCGGGCCGGACATGTCATGGTAGTATGGTGGTATAGTAATGTAGTAGTAGTAGATGAACTAGTAAATCGCCCCTAGCACGGGTCTGTGATGTGCATACTCAAAACCCTTCTCCGCATACTGCGGGGCATCGCTGTGGTATATATACGTTCGCATGTATGCACATACACAGCTTGCCTTGTGCCCTGCATCCGGGACCCCTCATACCGTTTGCGGGCGGGTAAAGTCGGACTACTCTTTGTAGGCTTCGGAGCTGCAGTGAAGGACCATAGCAGCCAGGTGAACAGGTCTTTTTCCCTGTCTTGATGTTATGCACATTGAACAAGTAGAATGGAAGACACCATAGTGGTACTGGAACAAGATTTTATTACATTACCGTCCCATTTCTACCATTACTACTACTAATAACTACTACTATCTCAAAAAGAATATCCACAAAAGAAAAGGGGTATCTTTGACATTAGCATCACATTCGTCACGCCCGGGAAGTATCCCCCGCATTTATTCCATCATCCGCCATCTTGGCTTTGCATCCATCGCATCCCTCCCTTTGTCCGCCATCACTTCCCCGCCGTCATTTCCCGGGCTATAATTGCGCTCACCCTCGGCATCCGTCTTCGTGGTCGAGTGACTCGGCACCGGACTGGTTGGCCTCCGGAACAAGCTCGTCACACTATTCGCGCTTGTCCGCTTCGAGGAAACAGTAATATGCGCCATGGACGGCGAGGACATGGGACGGCCATCAATGTAGAAGCCACCGTTTCCATCTTGTATAATGGTCTGCGGAACAGTCATGAAGTTGTTGCGTTGTTGAGTGTGATTATACAAAACTGTTCGTGCGTCCAGTTTATCAACTAGACCCGATTCCAGGTCAAAAATCCTGACGCCGTCATTAGTACTGCGCAAAACTACTGGCGCAAAGTCCTGAAGCCTGATTGCTTCTTCCATCAAATCTGTTCTGGCGTCTTCAGATTGGTGGCTGTTCTTGGGTGGAACGACCTCGGTCGACATCACCAGACTCGTGCTTCGTCGCGTTCGGCTTGGGTTGGTGCTGGTGGCGTAAGTGCGATTGGTCGTGCCCATCTGTTGGTTCAGTAGCTGTGTTGTTGTGCGGCCTCTTGCTGTGCGAGCCGAATGATAAGTCCACGCCGGAGGAGGAGACGCGTCAAACTGCCCGACCTCGAAGATTTCTCTCAAGACATTCCATGTAAAAGGTAAGTTGGCCACCAGGATCGCTGTCGACGACTCCCGAACATACCATGAGATCCACGTCGCCTTGTACGGATGGGTAAAGGAAGAGTAAGCGTTTGCGATACTGGCAATCACAACAAAGAGTCCCAGAGAAAAGATGGCGCATAGGATAATCTTCCTCTTCATCGGTAGTAGCGATCGCACAAGCATCGGCAGCGATATGAAAAGCATGCTCAAGTCCGAAGATATACTGAAGACCGCTTTCGTGATGCGGTGGTTAACTAGCGTCGTGCACTGCAGCGAGCTGGTTGGTACCGCGTAGTATGCGGAAAACGGACGACACCAGGCTGAAAAGTAGAGAGCCTCTATGATGACAAACCCAATCGCGGTATATACGGCCAGAACCTTGATCGCAATGTTCTCATAGTGGAGCGCCGTCCGTGTTATGCGGTGGTACATGATCAAAAGACAGGCCTTGCATGACCAGAGCACTGCAATCTGCATCTGCTCTACCACAACTACCAACTTACTTCCATACACCCGTCTCGATAATTCCTCAGGGCTGAGGGCGCCAAAGTCAAATCCTGGGGGTTCCAGGTTCGAGTCGACTTTTAACCATCTGTTGGAAAACACGAGCAAGACAGTGTAGGCGGCCGTGACAAAGAGGCCCATGATGCAATCATCGAATTGGAGCCCTTTGATGGATCGAAATAGGATTTTTCGAGAGATACTGATGCATATGGGTCAGTCATTGCATACCAGTATTGTGACGTATTGTGCGAGTTGCGATTAAATATAGATCGACCACGCTAGGAAAGCAACACCAAGGCCATACGCCGGCGTATCCGAGCAGAAGCCACCCCCAGCCATGTTGCTGATGTAGAAAGCTTATTTCCGTTTTTTCGGACATTTGTTCAATGTCCCGTGAACGCTACCCCAATATTATAAACCGGAAAAAAACCACTTACAGCCTCGCTCCGATCATGCAAACCGCGCATGTGTACCAGATCCATGATTCCTGGTTGAACGGCAATGTCATCGTCGGCTTGCAAAAGGGCACTTCAAGTCGCTGAGCGCAAACAGTATATCGCTATCCGCCGGGTTGTTTGAACGTGGGAGGACGTATCGGTTGTCGTGAGGTCATAGTGGGCTCGGGTTCGACGAGTAGTGCATCGCATATACTACAAATGTTCTTGTAGTCGGCGCAAACAACAGCTGGCAAGAGAGTGGTGATATTACGCAATGTTCCGCACAAAGAATAAAAAGAAAGACAGAGAGAGGTGAAAGGGTGAGAAAGTGCTGACGAGCGGCAGATGTAAAAGCGCGGTGAGGGGCTTAGGCCTTATAGCACATGACTGCATGGCAATACTGAACTACTCGATTTGATCGTGGTAGGGGAAACCTTACAGCCACTCGTATGCTCACCCATGGCTTATCTGGATCACCTTTGCAAACACGCCAGAAGTTCGGAAATCTTGGTGGGGGATTGCCGTGGATTAACTTCCGACAATCCTTGTGACCAATCACGCACGCGCAGTCGTGCCAATATCCCGCTCATTTCTTTTATGCGCCTCTTGGCTCCTCCCGCCTATATCTTCCACTCCGCATCCACGCTGTTTTGAAACTCGCTAGGTCGACGCGATTGGCTTGCTCCAAAACCATGCCATACCTGCAAGGCGCCCACGATTGGCGTGATGCTGGCTGACTCGAATCGATCCCGCAGCCAAGCCATGGATGGCGTGGCCAGCGACAGCATTGGAGCCCGCAGTCTGGGCTGAGGCGGCTGCGCCCGTGACAACGCTACAACAGCATGATATCTGCACCGCTGACTGCGGCGCAAAGGTAAAAAAAAATAGCCAACATTGGTCCAGTCCACAGGCTTAACAGGGGTCGACATGACAATGAATGTGTATCGGAAGGTGGCGGGATTTTTTTGGCTTTCCAAACCTGAAGCCTGTGAAAGGAGGTCGACGTCCCTGCCGCTATCCTCCTTGAACCTGCCTTCGGGCCGTTTCTCACAACCCGCGCATGCTATTCCCTCGCACATAGGCACACTAACTAACGTCTTCCCGGTTTCAGACACTACCTTTACGTAGATCGCGCCGGCTTGTCCTTGTACTCCCACGTCCCCCTGTCCCCTTTTGTCCCATAATACCACCCTACTGCTACATTGTGCTTACATTTCTGGATTAGAAAGAATAGGCCTGGGCTAGGCCGCAGCAACTTTCTCCGCAGGAATGGTAGCCTTGTCGGCCAATATTGTTCCAACGCAAGCGACATGCGACTCTCTGCCAACCAACGCAATCCTGCGACAAGGATGAACACAGCTGAATACGCCTCTAAGCTGTCCAACCACAACCTACGCTGTGACTTGTGCACTCAACGTTGCCTATCCGAAATGGCGTTTTTCTTTTCTTTTCAGGCCACGCACAGATCGACATGGAATACAACAAAATAAAATGGTCCAACTTCGAGCCGGCCCGGCTGCATCAAAAAAGAGAAAGAGAAAGAGAGTCAGTTCTTGTGCACATTTCTGCTCTAATTCAGAAATTGTGAGGCGTTCTGTTAGCGAGGCAATGATAGTCAACCACATTGTCCCGATTCATGGGGCAACCGCGCAGATCACAAGGCTGCAATCGCAATCCTTCCAGACTCTAATTTCCTAACGGACACGCTGCACGTACCCAGACGTAAGGGTCCAACTAGCTTGCACGTTGTCAAAGTTTAAGTTTTTTTGGTGGGAGACCTTTTAGTTTCGAACCACCGTACGTGAGGCGGAATAACGTTTGCAACACCATCTTCTCATTTACAACAAGCGAGTCATTGTATCGGATAGTAGTCGCCTTAGTGACTCCTGTTTCATAGTTCGGAATTCGCAATTTGGTAAGAAGACGTTGTATGACGTATGCTTTATTTAACATTGGAAAAAAGATGTACCTACGTACGAGAAAAAAAACCTCGAGCCATAACAGACATCCAAAAGCAAAGATCAGTCAAAACGCCTCCATCTCACCCTCTCATCAACCATAGCAAAAAGTTAGATTTTTCATTTCTTCCATTAAATTTTAGCATCATACATTCCTAAAATAAAACTTAGCCATCCCTAAGCACCTTCCTTCCCCGTTGCACCCATTCCTCCACGTTCCCATCCCCAACCTCCCCCTCCAACCACGCCCGTCCCTTCTCATCCACAAGTTCCCAGCTCCCCCTCAATCCCTCCAACTTCTCTTCAAACATCGCAATCACAAGCGCAGTCGCCACCACCCTCTCATCCACTCCCTCTCCCTCCATCTTCACTCGCACGCCAGCCTCGTCCAAACCAAGGACACCGGGTAACCCGGATGTCAACGACCACGACCCTTCGAAAGATTGCAGCGAGATAAGGTGGTGAAGAAGCGATTCATCGCTTAGAGGGGATGCGAGGTGCGGGTCCGCTGCCGCTGCTGTATCGGGGTCGTCTAACTCTTGTCTGGCCATGAAAAGCCGTTTTCTATTTTGTTGTTCCAGAAGCATGAGACCGGATTGATAGTCTCTCAACGATGTATTACCTGTAGCGGGTGGTGCTGGGGTACCAAAGAGCGATGAACCAGAGTTGGATTGGGTCTGGGCGGGTGCTGGTGCTCCGAATAGAGCGCTGCCGCTACCGGAACTTTGGGCTGAGAAGAGAGATGAGTTACCTGGTGGAGGTGGGGGCGGTGGTACTGCGCCGAAGAGGTTGAAGTGGTTTGAGGTAGAAGCGGAAAAGAGAGATGAGCCGCTTTGAGGGGGTTGAGAGGGTGCTCCGAAGGGAGTACTGCTGCTGGTTGGGGGAGCGGCGCCATAGGCTGTATAGTTGGAAGAGCCTCCGAAGAGACCACTGCCGCTCGAGCTAGAAGACCCGAAACCAGCACCACCAACTGCATTGGCAGATCCAAACAGACCACCACTCTGCCCCAAAGACGCATAAGCCGCATTCCCAAATGCCGAACCACCTCCATACCCCACCAGCCCTCCTGTTCCTCCAAACAACACCGAATTGCCCTGCTGTGCTGCCGCACCAGGCATAGATCTGAACAACGTTTGCTGGTTACCCTGTCCTTGAACCGGATGTACAGCATTGACCTTATCATCCATCCACTGCCAGTCCTTTGCTGCTTTCCTCTGCGCCTCGGCTTCTGCTGCGTTGGATTCGGTAGCAACAAACGAACACCACTTCCCCCCTACTTGAAACTGCACGCCTAACCGGACTGCCTCACGCTCAACCATATCTTCGTAGCGGCCCTCACACTTCTTCTTCACCAAGTCTCCTGTCTCATCGGTGGCTTCGGCTAGCCATCCGCGGCCTTGTTCCAGCTCTGAAATCGCCTTTTTCGCGGCGAGCTGGTGGATGGTTTCGCCGGGGTGGGCGAGGGCTTGGATGGGGATCTCGAGTTCGAGTGGGCCTTGCAGGCTCGTGCCGCGGAGCGTGAGTGATGTGGGTGTGCCTTGGGGCGCGGAGGAGCCGAGCAGGAGGTAGATTGATGTGCGGTGGAAGGGGAAGAGGGAGGGGATGGTTTGAGGGGCTTGGAGGATTTTGGGGATGGGGAGCGTGGGGAGGTGGGCGTAGCGTGATTCTCCTGTTTCGTCTAGTACAATTGGTTCTTCTGCGTCTGGGTCGGCGTGGGGGTCGAAGAGGGAGATTGGAGTTTTCTGTTTTTTTTTTCAGTTGGTTGGTGGAAAGATGGGAATAATTGGGGGTTGGACTTACAGTCGGTTTTGGCTCGGGCTTGTCTTCTTTGAGATCGAGTTTGACCTTGAGACTATCAGGTACTTTTTCGATAATTTCGAAATCATCGTCGGGTTCGACGTCGAGGTGTGCGGAGATTTCGTCATTGTTGTACTTGACTTCGAGGGTATAGTCATTGATATGTGGGGATAATGCTCCCTTGAGCATTCGTACAACTTTCGTATTCATCGGCTCGTTTTCGCTGACTGATTGCGAAAAGCCATTCCCTGCCTTGGCTATACCTTCAATTAGTGCGTGTGAGACGCCATTCCCAACGCCCAATGTGAAGACCCGGATTGGAGCTTTGGTTGCTTGGATAGATTCATTAAGATAAGAGAAAACCCGATCCTGTCCCCAGTCCTCACCATCAGTGAGCAACATGATATCAAGATCCATGTCCTTGTACCGTCGCTCAATCGTAGCTCGTAGTGGCTGCAACATTTCCGTACCGCCATAGTTCGCCGCGAAAGAACTTACATGGTTCATTGCCTCATCGAGCGTCTGCTGGTTGTAGCTAGCACTCTTTTCCCAAAGAAACGAGTAAGACGAACCGAACGAGCATATGTTGAACTTGACTCCAATGGGGAGCGATTTCAAAAACACTTTCAAAGCTTGTTTTGCAAGCTCAATCCTGGTAAGCTGCATGCTTCCACTGCGATCACACACGAAGACAATCTCGGGTCGCGCAGGAGGAAGTGCAAACTTTGGCACTAGTGTTGCCATTACTGCCCTATGATTCGGAATCCTCGGATGAGTCTCGAGGATGGCTTTGGGCACACCGGTGTGTTTGGCAATGACTTGCAATACGAAGTCCTTGTCCAGTCCTGCGGTGTCGAGGGCGAGGGCCGCTGATGCCTTTGTCATTGCGGGATCGTCATTTGCCGCAGCAGCTGAAGTTTTGCCCATTGTCACTGCAATGGGGTGTGTGGGCGACTGGATCTTCTGGATGAAGGATCCATCAGCCATGTCGGCATCGACAGTAATCGAAATGCTAGTACCCATTGCATCGGTTGCTGAGCTTCTGCACAAGGTGCCTGGGTAGTCGCCATATCTCGGGCATATGATGTTTGGAATTGTGAATCTGATGCCGTCGACCTCCATGTCGTGCTTGAGTTCGCCTAGGTATGTAATTGCGATGATGACTTTTGCTCCAGGAGGGATGTTCCCAACAGTCGTGGTGAACACGTCGGAAGCTTCTGGGAGTTGCTCAAACAATCCAGCCGTCTCGCCTTTTGAGACTGCGTCTTGGAATACAGCTCTTGCTTTTTCTCTCTCCTTGACCTCACCAACTATTTTCCGCCCTCCGACATGACAGGTAAAGCCTATTACACTGACACCATCATAGAGCGGAAAAGTGTAACGGCACTCTTTGATGGCTTTCTCTGTCGACGGATTGGCAAAAGTCTGTGTGAGTATGGTTTTAGAGGTGGTAGCAAGAATGGTAGCTTTTGCTTCGAGTTTAACTTGTGGAAGGAAGTGCTTCTTGAGGTTCCATTCATCAGATCGGACAACGTAGTGTAATCCACATACGTGAGCCGGACCTGAAGAACCAAACATGCTATACATTTTGAGGGCGACCCGAAGTACAGCAAGCCTCAGAAGTTGGGTGAATTTATGAAGATAATCTTGACAGGTCACAAATTCTACGGCAATGCAGTGGGTTCACAAGAAAAAAGCAGATCCTTCAACACGGGCGTTTCTTCAGCAGAAACGGAAAAATGGCGAATGATGTTTGGGAAGATGGAAGAGTGTGGTATGAGATGTGAGTTAAGAATACAAATGTAAGGGCTTGTCGAGGCTTAAATATCCCCTGAGGAGGCTGTGCCTGAGTGCTGCCTGCGGGCTGCCTGGTCTAGATGGCTGCCTAAGACTGCCTAGTGTGTACCATGACTCGTGCAAACAGCGGAATGCCACACGCCAGTCCAATGAATGCGATGCAATTGGAGCAAGAGTTGAGGCCGAAACAGGTGAGTGATAATGGTGGTTGCCGGACTGGATGCTTTTTCGGGGACGGACGGGTCTGTGGAGGCGCAGGCATTATGCGCGCAGCAGACGCGCTCGAATGACGGTAATCGAGGCGTGAAGTGCACAAAAGGCGGCTCTAATATTACCACTCCATTCGAGCATGGGAACCCTCAACGTCTAGAGTAAGATCAGATGGTCAGTGAGATGAGGCTGAACGTGGGGTCGCCGATCAGGCCATGCCTTGTTCGGCTACAAGCACTGGACCCTGAACGTCAGGCTGCATGCCAAAAATTATGACTGTCATCCACCATGCCACCAAACAATGGGTGGGCCAGTCACCCACGCCTTTCCAGAATTTCACCGTTCACTACACAAACTGTTCTGTGCCCAGCGCGGCTTTCACAAACTTTCGAGGGTGCCGCGACGCGTTCTATTTCGAGAATCGTACGGGAGAAAAGGAAAGATGGCGGGGTATGAAGAGTGGTCTCAGCAGCAATTGATTGCAAGAATACAAGAGTTGGAGAAGCAAATAGGTACAAGTGGTTCTGACACATCTACGGTACAAAATTTAGCAGCGCCTGTTGTAGCTGCGGACCAACAGACATCATTATCCACAGAGGACCCTAAATCATTAGAAATTCGCAAGGCCGTCAAACCGCCACCAAAAGTATTTGACGCCTCTAAATACAGCACGCGTCTGATAGCCCTCAAATTCGCATATCTCGGCCAAAAGTACAACGGGTTTGAGCATCACAAAAATAATTCAACGCCACTACCAACAATAGAGGAAGAGCTATGGAAAGCATTGGTAAAAACACGTTTGATAACTCCAGCTACCACGAGTGAAGGCGAGAAGGCATATGAAAGAATTGATAAGAAGACATTCGCAAATTGGGATAGAGAGGGCGCAGATGTTAATTGGGATGGCTGCGAGTACTCAAAATGTGGAAGGACAGACAGGGGAGTGAGCGCTTTCGGTCAAGTCATTGGTGTCAGGGTCCGGAGTAACAAGCCATTACCAAAGGAATCTCGGCCATCAGAAGACACCCCACAAGCAGATCAAGAAGATGATGACTCAATATTGCCTTCGAAACAAGAGCCCGAGTCTCCGCCAAAACCCTTCAGCGACCTCATAGACGAGCTCCCCTACATTCAACTATTAAACCGCGTCCTCCCACCTGACATCCGTGTATACGCTTGGTGTCCAAATCCACCACCAGAATTTAGTGCGCGCTTCTCATGCAAAGAACGACGATACAAGTACTTCTTCACAAACCCCTGTTTTGCACCAGTACCCGGATCTTCAGGTCTCTACAACTCCAACATCTCTGCATCCTCCGAAAACAAGCCCAAAATGCGCGAAGGCTGGCTCGACATCGCCGCCATGAAAAAAGGCTGCCAGCACCTCATCGGCCTGCACGACTTCCGCAACTTCTGCAAAGTCGATGCAAGCAAACAAATCACAAACTTCCACCGCCGCATCTTTCACGCAGACATCGAAGAAGTCTCCCCCTTATCCATCCCAGCATTCCTCTCACACCCCGCCCTCCAAGCCCCAGACGGCACAGACACAGAAACCCAACCAAAACTCTACTCCTTCACACTCCACGGCTCAGCCTTCCTCTGGCACCAAGTCCGCTCCTTAGTGGCCATCTTATTCCTCATCGGTCAAGGCCTCGAGTCCCCATCTTTAATCCCTGCCTTACTCGACATATCCGCCAACCCCACACGCCCGAAATATGAAATGGCAAGCGACGCGCCCCTTGTCCTGTGGGACTGTATCTTCCCGCACCTAGACGAAGTCCAGAGTTCCGAGGAGCGCGAGCATGGGTACGAAGATCGTCTCGATTGGATATATGTAGGCGACGAAGGCGGGTCCGAACCTAAAGCTAAAGGCACGGCGAAAAAGGGCGGTGGACCCGCGTCGATTGGCAAGGGCAAATGGGGGCGAGGAGGTGTGGTAGATGATGTGTGGGAGGTGTGGCGGGGACATAAGATTGAAGAGACGCTTTCTGCGCTTTTGCTGGATAAGATTGCGGGGTTGGGGGAGTCGACACTGGATGCTGAGGTGGGTTTGTCGGAGCAGAGTGTGGGGATTGCGAGGGGTGGGCCGCGGGTGTTTGATGGCGGCGATTTTGGCAGGGCGAAAGGGAATTATACGGAGGTTTTGAAGAGGGAGAGGCAGGATGCCGTCGACGTGGTTAATGAGCGGTATAGGGTTCGGAAGGGGATTATGGATGCTGAGAAGACGAAGGTAAAGGAGGAGGATGCGGATGAGTAAGGTTGTTGGGATATATACCCAAGTCCATTTATCGCAGAAAATCCCAAGTTTTCAAAATTCCGTCAAGTACTACTGTACCAATCTTTTTATGATTCCAGTTGCATAAATCTGCCCTGCAGATTCCCTAACTAAAAAGAACCTATGTTCGAATCTGGGTATCATGTATCCAAACGTATTCTCCTTCTTCAATCTTTTCCAAATAATCCTGCTTCTTCTGGAAACCGTCCCAAACTCGGCTTTGTAACTCTCATTTCCTACCACCCAATAACACGGCGAATACTTCTAATCACCAGTGTTCAGCTCCAAATCAATCTGCACACCATTACTAATGGCATAATCCGCACACGTCAGATTGTCATGGAATGGCCTCTCTCCCTGCCTCTTAAGCATAATCTCGTGGACCGGTCGCCCAATCTTTGCCGCCACCATGGCTTTGAGCAGTTTGATGGGGTCACTAGGCAGACAAGGTACTTGAGTCTTTGTGCCCAGACGATCATTGATCGTGACGAGAATCATGGGCTCGGAAGGCGTCGAGGCAGCCAGAGCGGGTTTCTTGTTTTCCTTGGTAGTGGTGGAGGAAGCGTCGCGCGGCTTGCGGTCTCTTGGGGAGCGAGAGCGGCGCCGACTGTGTTGATCGCGGCTTGAGTCTCGGTGGCGGTAATGCGAGGAGCGCTCGTCGTCGCGATAGCGGCTGTTGCGGTCAGAGTCGCGCGCTCGGCGATCACGGTCAGAGTCGCGCCGTCTGTCGTTGTCTGAATCTCTTGGCCGCCTTTCTCGGTCTCTGTCATCGCGTCGCCTGTCAGGGTTGCGCTGCTCGCGTTCGCCTTTGTACTTGAGGCCGCTGAAGTTCTTGGGTTTGCGTGGAGCTGGGGAGCGCCTTGGGGAGCGCGACCGATCACGATCTGTTTGTCTCGAGGAGTCCATAGTCTTCCTTTGTTTTTATAGCAGAATGGTGTGCGTATGCTGATTTTTAGTAGGTTAGTATGTAAGCTTTTGGTGAGGCAAGTACGATGTTGGTGTAGAAGGTAGAGTGGGTTGTAAGAGGAAGAGCGAAATATGTAGAAAGACAGTGGTAGCAATGCTTTCAAAAACAGGTACCAATCTGAGAGTAGAGAAATGATCTTATCGATAAGCCCACCCAACCAAGCGCGTCATTCCGCTTGCTTGTCCCCTACCGTCTCTTTTTCTCCCCCACATCCCGCTTCGGGGGCTCATATCGTTTGGTACTTTCCTGATGACGCTTCGTGTATAGCAGCTAGTTCACAATGTCAAGCTTCTTGCACAGCCTCACCTCTCCACCCGCCCAAACACTGCATGCGCTGCAGCCTACGCCCGCCACAATCACATACACGGTCTCGACGCGTTCTGTGTCCAAGACACTGCCAGCGCATGTAGGATATTATGTAGGAATACTTGTCCGAATATTCTTTGGATTAACAAGTGGACTGCTACTATGGATGAAATGGCAAATTACAAATAACCAACCAATGCTCTTCTTGCAGGCCGCATTGAGTAGTGAAGGAGAAGGGCAACTAGTAAAACTGGTGGAGTCGTTCCAATGGCGATATCTTATTCCAAGTGCACTCCTTACTCTCTTCTTAGTTTTTCGAAGAAACTGTACTGGTACGCCGTTTCTACCATTCTCACCCTCATCAACTCAACACATTGTTTCCTCAACAACGAGTTGCTAACGATGTCCCTAGAGGAATCCCTAACTGTGATTCGTGGCCTCGGCGTCCAGACTTCAACTACCTCTTCGACGTACCTTCAAACACCCACAACGCGCTTCATTCCCACGACCAATATCCAAGACATCTTCATACATGAGGCATTCAAGGGCTTCGAAGTGAGGTTCTACCTCATGATTGTAGTGGAAGGCGAGGACGAGGTGGTTGTCGTCTTCCCGACATTGTTACCAAAGAGGGGAGTGTTGGAAGTCGTATGGAGAGGAGTGAGAGGAGGGCTGTGGGAGCAAGGATGGTCAAAACCAAAGGTCGAGGTGACGGAAAGCAACGAAAAAGTAGAAATATGAAGCCATATACGGCATTGCTCTTGTGGTCTTGTTGTAATCGTCATCTTCATCTGTCTTTGAAAGCTTGAAAAAAATATTCTAAGAGAAAGGATGAGCAAAAGTTCTCGTGACAGTGTCTATTGTCTCATAACCGTACCTTGAGTCTTGCGAAGCGACCATACATCAAAGGCAACATCTGTTGCCAACGCCACACTCCAGATGCATCCACGTCACTGCGCGCGCAGGTCCCTCTCCTATAGCAATAGCGGTATCCAGAACAACAACGTAGCGATATCCTCCTCTTGCAAATCCATAGCCCATATCCATCACCCTCTAGTACCTATATCTTGTGCTGTAATCCTTGGGACTAACCACCAAACCCCTACCCTTCTTCGCACCCCGGTATACCGTCTCAATAATATCTATGAACTCCTGCTTATCTTCCAGCACCCAGTTGAGCTTGTTGTTGTTACCCGTGCCAAAATCGCACATCATGTGCTTGTTGCGGAAGAAGAACATGACGGTGCACGGGTCGTAAAGTTCGTACATGGCTTTAAAATCGGGTACTTCGTCCAGGTCGCACAGGTAGATGGCGCAAAAGTTTTTTACGCGGTCGGCAATCTTGTAGAGTACTTCGTCTTGCGACATGCAGTCTGGGTCCGAGTCGCGTCCGAAGCGAATCAAGACGAGTCGGTCTTCTTCCGAGAGAATCGCTTGGTCGACGTGCCAGCCAGTGCGCAGGTGTGGGAGGACGACGGAACCCATACTGTAGGGATATTCGTGCGTATAGGTGACGGCGTTTGATTTGAAGTAGGTGTTGCGGTGACGGTGGTTTGTGGAGGTCTGAAAGTTGCGAGTTGCAAGTCTGATCACGGGCAAGCTAGGGTACAAGGATCCGTGCGTTCCAACTCTCAGCGCTTGGTTATAGTCAAACAATATATCTCAGCAGACAATGCAGTTGGGACCAAATTGCGAGAGGGTCAAGTGTGGGTTGGCTTCATGTTATAGAAAGCTAGGCAAGGCAGCTACCGGCTGGTGATCTAGAATGTTCCTGAACAGACCCCGCACTTTATCCATCAGCCCTACCGTGATAGCAGTCCTTGTCTCTGCAATCCGGTCCACCACGAGTGTGTATGCTACCATTATCGCATTGTGATGAAACTAAAGAGGCTGCCCTGAAAGAGATTTTGATGTGGCTGCGCGCCGTTCCCAATCGCCTCAACTCCTTCCCGAATGTTCCTCAATCACCCGCCCTTAGATGGAGCTGGGGTACATCATAACCCTGACACTGGCACCGAAGGACTTTGGTGGAAGGTTGTGCTGGAAAGAAGCGCGAACGAGACCAGAGTTGCCTGTTTATACATTAATCACCGCTCGTTATGCATAGCCCAGCGAATTGTACGCACCGTGAGTTCGGCGGATCTTGCCCCAGATGACGCGGATGGGGTTCGACTTGCTGCTGCCAACGCGGTATACGTAGGCGACACGCTTTCCGAGGTACCACTCCGCGTCCTTTGTGCTTTCGACGCCCTCGAGCTGGAGCAGGCTGATGTTGGGGTTCGAGTTGCGCTTGCTACGTTGGTAGCTAACGTGGCGGCCCTTGACATAGACTGAATTTCAGTCAGTATGTGTGCATGCAAATTCGTCGCGCCGTCTACTTACGGCGGTGGCTCTTTTCCGAAGACATCTCGAAGGCTGTGGGGGGACGTGTCGTGATGGGTGACGCTGGTGCTGCTGAAATTGAAGACCCAGGGTTTTCGATGTGGGAGGTTTCGGTAAATCGCTTAGCTAATATCTTGGCAGAGCTGCGTGTGGCGCATGCCTAGTAGCATGCAATCCATTCGCTTAGCGAACAATAGCCCAACCACTCTGGTCAACATGGGTTTGTGCACAACAATACTGTGGGGTTCCTTGATTGTGCGCTGACGTTGTTTGGCAGGTTGGAGGAGAAGTGCTTTCGACTGCATTTTTCAAGATATTGGATATACACGAGTGAGCCTTTGGGACAATTTCTCACTCTTGTGGTAATCTACTATCGACCTCTTATTCACAGAAAAAAACATTCGCTGTAAAAGATTTGCTTTACTACAGCTAATCAATACGGGGACTATCCTTTGCCATCCTATCATCTGTGCGTATGTATGTTCTCTGTAGCCTCTGTGGCGCTATCAAAACCATGCCAAGCCCAACTCACGTGACCTTGATTCACAGCAAAAGAATTCTCTCTTCTCGCTGAACTACAATAATCTCTCTTATAATAAACACGAAAAATTGAACTACGTAACTACAGCCTTGTACTATGTAAAAATACTATCAGAATAAAGTTAAAATGTGCTAGAATCTAACCCTGCTTTTCTTTTTGCTAGATGAGGATTATCTAACGTGAAAATAGGGGGGTAAAGGTGACCCTTTTCGTCTGTGCGTAGGTAAACAGGGTTATCGGAAAATCTATATCTCCGTAGACTTTTAAGAATAGTTAGTATTACCCTTTACTACTCTATATAACCCTTTTATCATTCTATAATGCCTCGTCGAAGGAAAAATGCAACTAATAAGCAGTCTTTTGCACCTGCCTCTAGTGCACCGTCATCTTAAGTATTTTATAATACGTGTTAGTAGTATTATTCTCTTCGTAACTTTACTTCAAATCGCGTTGGCGCACCGTACCAGCCATGCAAGACATGCAAAAGTTTAGTACGCTTACCCCCCAAACAATAAAACTTGGCCCACAGGTATGGCATTGCTACATGATTAGACTAGCCGAACACGAAGATCCAAGCCTCAACTGCCACCACAAATGATTCTACCAAATAAAGAAAACAAGGCGAGTATTTCAAGGAAGAGAGAATAAGAGAAACAAAGAAATGAAGGAAGGGAAGGTTCGAAGGAGGATACAAATCAGTGAGAACAGAAGAATGGTGACTTGTTCCAATCTTCTCACTTTTCTTCCTCCTGCTCCTCTTACTCTAGGGTAAACCAATCATTCCACAACTCCTCATATCTCTGAAATTAACCCTGTCGGATAGGGTTACACGGCCTCTCAGCGCCAGTCATCGAATAACACCTTCCGAACACACGCCAAGCATGGGCTGGCACACCAGGATGCAGTGAGAACCGGCCCCGATCGTTTACCATCATATCAAGGAGTACGTACTTCCAATAGCGGCATCCAGTTCCGCCACTTGAGAAGAGATACTGGTGGAGATGCCAGTCACGTCGAATCGCTCGATACAGAGTTTTGACTTGGACTAGCGCATAGAGGTCGTAGTCGATACACTTGACCCCCGAACTCGAATACCGATAATTGACTAGTTTCCACTGGAGCTAGCCTCGCCTATCTCCATTGTCTGTTCGCATGTTGATTTGGACTGCGCCGCCCCTGTCAAGGAGGAGGAGAGTCGTGACATGGTTGTTACTGTGCAGAGAGTTCTGTCAAGCCCCGGTCGTATGGCTGGTAACGCGTATCTTCGTAAATACCGAGGTGTTGTTGTCGAAATACTCTCGGTTCTATTCCTCTAGTGCAACAATGTGGCTGATGCTAGGCATTCTGCAGACGATCCACCTTCTCCTTCAATTGTACGATGTCGATAGTGGTGGGGCAGATAGTTGACTAGAGCTGGACAAAGGTACTAGAACGATTGGAAACTATAAATCGATTCCTTATCTACTATGCGGAAAGGCCTACATAGTTTGGATATAATTTGAGGGCAGCAAAAAGACTGTAGTGAAATAGCTGTTTGGATTCACTACTCCAAGCCTGCAAATAAAGAAGACCATCTATACCTTGAACACGACTGGTTTACGGTCGAATCAACCAGTTAAGGACCGAAGAGGGTGTAGACGTGAACTGGTAAGTTGCACTTTTCTTCACTTTAACAGTTCTGCAAGAGCTCAGGCTCTCTGATGGCAATGAATATCTCGCACACTGAACGAGTGGAGATAGCATCGAGCCGCGAGTCGTATTATGATAGATATGTGTACGAGGAGCTGGGATTGTAGAAGAATACTAAACGGGCTAAAACTCATGAAATTGGATAATATTTCTCCTGTCTAGGAAGTCACTGTTTTACACTCAAGGCTGGCTCTTGGGATAGTGAAAGATCTAGGGAACTCAACCGCTTTGACGACTATAGTTCACTTTCATTCTTCCAGATTTAATCTGTGTTACCAGTAGTATTCTCGAACCAGCTTTGGTTCACCATATGAGACTAAATCAGGCATAGCGTTTGGTGCGTGAAAGCACCATGAACAGATGGTCCAATTCACTCCGACCAAATCCAGGGATCGACGCTTTCTTGGACAACGAACAACGCACCTGCCTGGCCGAGAGGGTGAAAGCTGAACGGATGCCTGAGAAACAACCAGACCTGGTTCACACACTACCTTTGACGAAACAGGAACACGACATTGCACATTGCACATTGCACATTCACATTCACATTCACATGAGCGATAGACGAGGGCGGGACATGCAACGAGAAGAATGCACACAAATGTACATGTGACAAAACTGGATATACGAACCTAACCCTAACGCCAGCAGAGACCCTTTACGGTTGGACCCAAACATGCTATTACTACAGAGGAGCTAGTAGCTCAGAAGACGCTGATGTAGTTGCCAATGCGCTCCTTCTGGTTCTGCGCAATGCACTCGGCTATCCAGGTGATGTTCCGGATCTCCTACAAAGGATGTTAGCAACCATACCCACTTGATTATCACAACCTGCAACGTACCTGTTCTCGAAGCTTTACCCATGCGTACACAATGGCGTGAGTGAACTGGTGGGTAAAGGCGAGTTTTGAAATCTCCATCTCCTTCTGGTAGAACAGATCTTCCAGGCTTCTTGTCTCGCCACCAGCACCACCTGCCATGTTGCCTACACCACCACCGTTCTGGCTGAGGCCAGTCTGGTCGAAGAACATCTTGTAGTCGGAAACACTCTCGACAGCGATGCGGACACCCTCCACGTCATCGGCTCTTGATAGCATCAATGTTCCTTCGGGGTATAGCTTGCCGAGCTCAGGATAGAGCTTCTTCCTCTCGTTCTTCGAGAGCTCGGTACCGAAGGAGTTGAGAGAAATGTTAATGCTTCGGCGGTCGGCCTCGAACTCTAGAACCTCAGACATGACATCGGAGGTCGGTGTACCGGCAATGTCTGGGCAAGAGTTGATCCACTGGTGAAAGTCCTCGAGGTAGTTCTTGTACAGAGTGTTACGGATAATCTCAATGTTCAGTTCGTCCAAGTCCTGGTGGCTGAGCGAGCCCTTGAAATAGGGCGCAAGCGGCGTCTCGATGAGGACGGAGTTGTACAACTCCTCAATGTTGGTGGCCACGCACAGGACGGGCATAGTCTCGAACCAGCCAAGCGGGTGGCACCTCTCGAGCAGCTCCCGCGTGTCCCTCTCGTGCAGCGTGCCCGTAATCAGAAGCGCGACGTTATCAATCATGTATCCGTAGGTCAGGTACTCCATAAACTTGGCCAGCGAGCCGGTCGCGTTGGCTTGGAGATAGCGGAACTCGGCTACCAGCTTGTCCGTGGTCTTCGCGGCGAGAGCAGACGTCGAAGGATTTGGGGGCAACGAGTTGAGAAAGTCGCCGTATGCGGGCGCAAGCTGGAGTTTGACATCTAGAGTATGGTCAGTCCGTGTGCAGATGCAGGCGCGATCGGATCTGATATACCATCGATGGTCTCGCACTGGGTCAAGTTGCTGTAGTTCTGGCTGGTGAGCAGCGCATTGCGGTAGCCGCGCACGATGCCCTCGATGTAGCTGGGGAAGAGTGTTAGGAGCGGCGTCAGTTTGGAGATGCACGGAATGCGTACCCGTATTTGACGTTGTAGTAGAGACCCTCCATGTTGTGCTGATGCTTTGCTGCTGGCGACATTCATTCATTCACTCACGAAGAGCTCCAGCTAGGGCGTCATGCCAAGCCTTGGCCCGTGTCGCGCCTGCCTCGACGACCGCCTGGGGTGTTTGCGCGCTAGCCTTAATCGCCGAAGTGGCAGTGACAACTTTCTTAAGTCCATCGTCACTTCCTCGCTCGCATCACTCACACCCAACACACCCAACGCGCCCCATCCCGCACCGCCCACAGCAGTTGCGTCGCCCATCTTAACATCTTCCGATACCAGCAATTGTATAGCAACTGCCCAGTAAGTGACTCCCCGCGCCTGCGCAACGCGCCTACTGACCTCGGCCTTAGACATGTCAGCTACCGCTACCCGGCGCTCAACGCGTCGCACGGCGGCAGCAGCAGCCTCGACTGAGGCCGCACTGTCAGCCTCGGAACAGAGCTCGCAGCAGGGAACTCCTCCACCAGAGGTTCCCAAGAAAAAGGCCCGAAAAACCAAGGCCACCTCCACCAAGGCTGAGCCGCAGGTCGTGATCGAGTCGCAGCAGACTGTCACCAAGACTCGCGCCTCGTCACGCGCAAACACTACATCCACATCGGCCGCAACCACCGCCACGACCCAGACCTCGACCGTCACTGCACAAGCGCCTCCCACCGGGAGGAAGCTCACCAGGGCCGCCCGCGCCGCCCACGTAAAGGCAGGTGGACAAGCCTCACCACAGCGCAGCCTAGAGCAAGTCAGACCCGTGAAGCGTGCGCGCAGCGCCGCCCCGACCAAGGATACCAGCGTGAAACGACAGGCGACTTCCGCAAAGTCGACGCGAAAGAGCGTCGTCAACGACGAGGAGAACGAGGACGACTTGGGCCCCTTCTTCACGGCCGGTAAGGATAATTTTTTCTCAACCCCAGAACAACAAGCCGAAGTCACCAGCGAGTCACTCGAGGAAGAGAACGCCAAGCAGCGCAAGGAGATTGGTGAGCTCCGCGCCCGCATCACAGATCTGAAGACCCTGAACCAGGATCTCGCGTATAAGCTTATGAACGAGACCAGCAAATGCTCGCACTTGAGAGCAGGAACCTGCGTCTGCAAAATGAAAACTTCCGTCTGGAAAACGAGAACTTCCGTCTGACTAAACTCCCCAATGATAGCTATCGTCCACCAGCTGACCAAAACGATGCAGAATTCGACAGTGATATCTTTGATTCATCTGATCCCATCCCACAGCCTGTCTTCACCAATGGCAGTGAGTCCGCACTCGCACTCCTCCAAAAGATTGAGGAGTCCGCCAAGGAGACGATGCGCGGCGAGCCTGCGTCGAGTAACAATGACACACACGCTGACAACAGTGTTGACGCTGTGCCTTCACAGTCCCAGTCCGTCAAGAGGACATTTACTGAAGCCACAGCTACTCCGGATCGTTCGGTTGAGAAGTCAAACATTTTCAGCCGGTCCTTCTCCGCAATAAAGTCACGACTATTCTCATCAACCCCTAAACCCCCGCCAACCCCGGAAGTCGCCTCGCCTACTCCAACAAGGTCTTTGCCGCCTCAGGATTCATTGACGGAGACACTTTCACTCCCACCGACACCTGTTGGTGAGCGCGTTCAGACCCCAAGTAAGAAGCGGGCACTAGGCAACACCATGATGAAGATACTGCTCAAGGGTATTGATCAAGAAGACAAGCGCAAGGCGGAAGATTGGGCTAGAAGGGCCATTCCTGAGCTAAGGAACGACAGCAACTTCCGTGAGAAGCGTCGACGACTCGAGACGCCCGTCTTGTGCAAGGATCTCGTCCACTTCCCCGCAGCCAAGCCTTGGGAGACTGGTTTCGGTGACCCACTTGGTGATCTAGACGACGACGATGTCGTTCCGGTTTGGGCCGTCTATCTTGAGATGAAGACTGAGGAAGAGGAGCACGCTGCAAAGAAGCAAAAGAGGGCTACAGTCAGCTCCGCGGAAGACGAGATCCCCACCATTGACGAGCAGTTTGCGGCTAGCAACAGCATGCGCACATCACAGAAGCTTTACGACAGTCATGGTCAGTCTACATCTTTGTATGACTTACATCCTCGTCGGTCGATTGATCCTTCTCCAATGTTCTCCAACTCTCTATCACACAGTGAAGGCGGTAACATCTTCAGTGAACTTCAAGGACATGAGAACGCTGCCAAGATTCGTGAGAATGACCGTGAGATTCTCAAGAATGCAACCAAAGAGACGGTCAATACTCAGACGCAAAGCTCCGTTGGACTTTCATTCAGCGTGCCCGATGACTCTGATGACGAAGACTCGACCGCAGATGCTGAGACTTCAGAAACCGAGACTCCTGCAGGCGAAGCCAATCCAATTTGGACCCAGCCGCCACCCCCGGCGCCTGTTCCTGCGCATGCACCGCTGCCGGGAGGATCTCCAACCGAGCCGCCTCTCAGCCCTCCGAGCCAACAACCTGTAGACGAAGTCGCGCGACAGCGCCAACGTCTCATGAAGCACACGCCTGCCAAGCCTTCTCGCCTCCGTGAGGCAACATACCCTTCACCGAGTGTTTTCTCGGACGCTGGTAACGAGTCTCTTCTTGCTGCTACCCCTGCTCCGGTCGCTGCTTCTGCGGTTTCCATGTTCGACGACATGCCCGCAGCGCAGACCATTGAGCTTGACGCTGAAGAGAAGGCTGCCCTTGAGGAGCTCATCGACTCGGATGAATACAAGAAACAGCTTGCCGCCAACTGGCCCGCCGCTACCCTCACGTACGAGTCGGACGAGGAGGAGCTCAGTCCCATCTCTACCTAAGTCCGTGCCCTGCATTTTGTTCTATCGTTCGCCCTTCCCACCCCCATCCCAAAATTGATCGAAGAGGCATTGGACCGGATCCTTTGCCCCCAAAAGCATGTTTGTATATACTGCATAGTTTGCGTGTTTTGCATAACCCGGGTCCGATTCGTTTTCGCTTGCTCTTATTGATTTCGGCATGCTCTTCTTATGTATTATATATTACGGACCGGGCTTGTTTCTTGTTTTTCACTCGGGCGTTTGTTACTAAGGGGACACATAAAAAGATGGATGATTCATGACTTGCAGTATACCCCCTCTTGTTTTTTTTACTTTCCCCGTCATCATCACCATCACCATTATCACCATTGCTCACTACACGACGACTACTTGTATGGGCTTTTTGTCGGGATCAGAGGGGCCTATGATGTAGTCTTGTTTTTTACACGTTTGCATTGTTTGGGGGTTTTATCTTGTCGTTGTACCTGCTCTTCTTGATTTCTTGCGCTTGCTCTTCTTGCTCTTTTTTGTGTGCTCCTTTTGGCGCCCTCCAGCAATTGCATCGTGTTTTTTTGTTCTTGTTTTTATACATTCAGGGGGTTTTTCTTCTTTTACTTTACACACTTCTTCCCCCACTTGCCCTAATTATATACTTGGTACGGATCGGAATAAACACTTTACATTAACATTTTGTGCGCTTCGTATCGGTGACTGACTTGAGGGGAAAAAAGTTGGGTTTTGCTATACTACTACTACACTACACAAACGTTTTATCCAGCCTGATATACTGGATTCTCCGTCTTGTAATATATCGCCTTCACCGGTTGACCCAACGCCCGCTGACTCACTTTCTTTTGCGCAACAACTTGCTGCCGCCGCATCTTCCTGTCCAGCGTCGCCAGACTAACGAGTTGCGCAGTCGATAACCCAGATAAGCTGAGTTCGGTGTTGCGCCCGGTTATCGGCGGTGCAGGTGTAGGCGGGAGAAGCGAACCTGAAGATATCTCGGAGCGGGAGGACGAAATCACCGGCGATGATACTTGTTCCGCACGCGACACAGCAGCATCTTCCTCTTCCCGCTGTTGCAAAGATCGACGACGCGCCACATGCTTCCCACTCTTCTTCTTCTTCGCCGTCTTGCCCACATCTTCTAACCGCCTCATCCTTTCTCCCTCCCCTTCTTCTTCCTCACCTCCCTTCTCTTCCTCCTCTTCCTCTCCATCAAAAAACTCATCCCACAACCCCCCCTCAACCTTACAATGCCCCCTATCCCGCATATGACTCTGCACACTCTTCACACTACCTTTTTCACGCGCACAGAATATGCATTCGTGGTAGGTGTGTATGAGGAGGGAGAGGTAGGAAAGGAGGGGTTCGATTGAGGAAGTGTGTGAGGGGGAGGAAGGAAGGAAGAATGAGTGCGTGCTGGACATGTGGGATAGGTTTGTGGAGAGGGTTGGGGAGGTGTGGGGACAGAAGAGGCAGGTTGATAGGTCTAATTTTGGCGTGGAACTCTGAGGATCGGGGGAGGAGGATGTGGTGGGTGATTCTGGTCTTGAGCCTTGATGACTTGTGTCGGGACTGGTGCTGGTGTGTCTGATATTTTTCCTTTTGCCAGTGCTATTGTTCTCGTTTTCAAAGTCTGCGAATTCGGATTCGGATAGGGCTGGTTGGCTTGAAATTTTGCGTTGCAGGTTGTGGATACTAGGGAATTATATGTTAGATTCTCAATGGTTTTCTTGGATTTGTAGTGATATTTGCGCGAATATCAACATTCGAGTTTAATGGGGGAGAAAAATAAGGTATACTTACTGCCACGCGCCTCTCATGTGACTTCTCTGCAATTTACTACTCTCAAAAGAAAGTGAGCAAGTATTACACGGAAACGCTGTCCGCAATGTAGTTGCTCCAGTTGCTCCAGTGGCTCCAGTTTGATCCACCATTTTTGTTACTTGTTCGAACGTAAAGTATTAACTTAAAGTAAAGTAAAGAGGTTTTCGATATAAAGTCGTAGATATAAAAAGATAAGGCCGAGTAAAAGCTATTTTGATGTTTTGCATCCTGGTAAGGCATCAACGCTATTATATATTCAAGATACCATACTATCGGAAGTATGGTAATGGGGGTCGTGTGATATCACGTGACGGAGCTTCTGAGGCGCAGCCGTCTGCAAGCCACAAAATGAGTCATTTTGAGTTCATGTGTATTCACCCAAGCACATGGCGCCAAGCGAGCATCACACTGGATGCAGCATGAGTCTTTCACGAGTTTAGTCTTGGACTCCAGATCGAGCGCGCGGATGCTCGTAGATCGGGGTCAAGACTGGGGAGAGGGAATAGAGTGCAAAGAGAGCCAACCGCACTATGTTGTCTTAGGAAAAGTAGCTTTTCTCAACGTCTCCACAGGAGCAATGACAGAAGCCTCGGCAGTCGATTCTCCAAGTCAACCTAGCTACTTCAACCACCCTGATGAAACACAAAATCATCTTCAGTATTTATTTCATTATTGATATTGAGAATAAATGCCATGCAAAACGGGCATAATATCATCCAAAACGCTTACCAAACAGAAACCAAACCCCGCTCTTGATCAGAGCCACATCTCCCAGCGTTGCCCAAAACGCCTTTAGCACTAACTGCTGTTATCCGTAGATTTACCCCATGTTGATATTATATCTGTACACCTTTGCCGTGTGGCGCAGTGTTGCCACGAACGCCATGAAGAAAGGCGAGAAGGTGGTCAATAGACACCCTTTACAAGAAAAAGGTATCCGGAAGGGTGGACAGAAGGGCGAAAGACACGACTGCACCAGTGGCGCCAAGAAGAGGGTAGGCAGCCTTGTTAAGAACCTTACCAAGCACAGAGCGAGGCATTTTCTTTGGACGCTGAGCAATTTGAGCTGCTGTCTGAGCGGCCATGACCTCAACAACTGGATCCGAATCCGTTGGGTTGCTTGCACTCCCATCAGGAGCAACTGAGACCGTCTTCGGAGCATCCTCTTGGAGTACTGTTGGCTCCTCTTCGAGTACATTGGCCTTGCGCTTCATGTAGTTGACTGATTCTGGCGTGGGCGGATGTTCTTCGACAACCTCTTCGACAATCTCTTCGATAGAAACCTTTGTGCGGCGACCTGGCTGCAATGGCGTAAAGACCTCAGCTTCTGAAACAGGGGCTGGTGGAGGTGTTTGGAGTCGGTGAGCTTGGGATGGCTCGCTGGGTTGAGGATAGAAAGACGTGGACGGTCGAGGATCGACGGGTTCTTGTGCAAGAGGTTGTGCAGGGTTGTACATTAGAGACGGGTGTTCATAGGTCATGCCCACATAATTGGCTGGCTGGTACCAGTCTTGAATTTCGTTCTGACAAAAAGGGGGATACGACCAGGAGCCCCAGGGTGCAGGTTTAGATGCGGAACGAGGTGGCAGAGGTGGGGCCACCTCGCAACATGAAGACGTAGGATCGATTTTGGCAACCTTTGCCATGCTAGCCTTGGAGGACTCGCCGCATGTGTTTTCATGATTATCAGAGCGTTGCAGCCCGAACATGTCAACACAAGGAAGTCGCAGTGGGACGTCCTCTGCACCTCCAAAAGTGTAAATGTGTCGAACGGGAGAATCAGTTGGATGTGTGTTGGCAGACTGCTCCGAGGCGGCTAACGTGTCCCTGTTCGAGTACTGGATTCCATGGGTGGTTGAGGCTCCGACAGGCTCAGAGTATTCGGCCTCATTCATCTCGCCTTCAGATTCGGAATCAATTTCAGAGCTGTCAATGCTTTCAGACTTGCTGTCGAGGTCACTCTCAATAGGTTCCCCGTCGTCTTCTACACTAGCAGGGCTGGGAGTGCGAGGTAAGACTGACTTGTCGTCATTTGATGCGTAACCAGCTTCATGTACGTCTTCGCCTTCCCTGTCCTCGTTATAGACATCCTCGACAATCGTCGTACGCAATATGGACTTGGTGTATATATCCGGACCAAAACGGCTTGTCTTGGCTGGCTGCCCCTGGAGCAGCATGTCTTCCATGACTATGGTAGCGTCTGCCTGATCTGCAGCCTCTTCGGAGTCGTCTTCGATGACAAATGGATCGGCGTGGCTGCCACGACGGGGGACTTGTTCCACTTCTACCTCCTCGTCCTCGCTCTCGGCATCGGGGACAGTAAAACCAAGGGAGAAAGGGCGAATGAGCTGGGACTCGAAGACGTATCTGCGGGCTGGAAAGAATTCTGCATGACATGTCAGCCTCAGGTGAGGGGGTCAAGGCTGGATGGGGGGCATTGCAGACGTACCCTCGTTACGATTAACGTCGGTGCCAAACTGGAGTTCGTCGCCGTACGAGAGCTTGGTAAGTGTGTTTGGTGTTAGTTTTTCGCCGTTGAGCATAGTGCCGTGCATGGAGCCTTGGTCGCTGATGTAGACTTCAGGTACGCCGGTGGTGGAGTTGGCGGAGAGGACGGCATGTTGGCGAGAGATGACTGGGCTATCGATATATGCATTGTGTGGTGCGGCCATCAACTCTTTCTTGGTAACACTGCTCGAGGCACGGCCAATAGAGAAGGTTGAGTTCAAACGCAGGTCGAATTGGCGGGTCTCGTACGTGTCGTACCGCATCACGTCCCGGAGGACGACACGGAAGACTGGATGGTCGGTGAGTCGGGAGGCTTGCATGAAGGGCGATGCAATGGAATGCTCACTGGATGTCATAGGGATAGTTGTGTGCCGTGGAGAACGACCAGGCAGTTGGGAGAGTAGGGAGCAGTTGCAAGGGAGAGTGGAGTGAGAGTGGTAAGGCAGAGTAGGCGGGGGCGCAGTTTGGCGGGGAGGGGGCGCTTGGTAGTACCAGAGATCAAGAGATGGTTGCGACAACAATGTGTATTGATTAGGTTTCTGGGAGAAAGAGAGTGTATGTTAAGAGGCTGTGTACATGTAATAGGGACAGCCAGCAAGTCGTCAGTCGAGGCCGCCCTTAGGACATGACAAGGCGGGGCAAGGCAGTGAATGGACAAGGCAGCGATGGGGTGGTGATGATGGACCAGGTCACTAGGTCACTAGAGGCCCTGTGGGGTGCTATCAGCTTATCAGCCCGCATTAGCCCTGCACGCCCATGTTAGCGTGAATTTGCGTCCCCCACCCAAAATCTTCAGAGGCGCGCAACTGAGAAAGTACAGCCAACGCCCCGAGTCCTCTTGTCGCCCGGAACATGACTCACCCCGCCACGACTATGCAACAAGACTGCCACGGCCTGCGATAGCACGACATATACCCATTGTAACTTGATCATCAACACCAGCCGCCACCATGGAGGCGCCGCGCACGACGGCCAAGCAGCAGGTCGTCGACCGCATCCCCGCGCGCATAAAGCACATCCAGTTTGGCATATAGTAGGCACCTCGGCCGTGGCAAACATGCTGCAACCAAGCACCTGAAGAACTCCTAGTAACACCCTCCAGCTCCAACCAGGACATTGTCAACCAGGCCGTCCTCGAAGTATCCGACCGCAATGTCTACGATCTCCAGCCCGCCGCCGACAATACGCGCACCCTCACGGCCAACGGGCCCATGGACACGCGCATGGGCATATCCAGCAAGCAAGGAACCTGCGCGACATGTGGCGAGGGACTCGACACTTGCAACGGCCACTTTGGCCACATCAAGCTGGCGCTGCCCGCATTCCACGTTGGCTACTTGAAGCACATTATCGAGGTGCTCAACTGTATATGCAAAGACTGCTCCCGGGTCCTGCTTGACGAAGTTGAGCGCCGGAGATATCTGCGCAGCATGCGCCGCCCGGACATGGACACCCTGCGAAAAGGCGCAGTGACTAAGAGGATTCTAGAAGACTGTCGCAAGAAGAAGACCTGCCCTTACTGCAACGGTCTCCAGGGCACCGTACGCAAGGTCCCTGGCCATCCACTCAAGATTATCCACAACCGATACGATGCTTTCAATCGATCCACAGCCAAGACCAAGAAGGCGCCCCCAGGAAAAATTGAATTCGACCAGTCGTTCGAAACCGCAAAGTCTGCAAACCCAGATCTGGACAAGCACTTGAAAAAGGCTGTCGACGATATGCACCCGCTGCGCGTATTGAACCTCTTTAAGAAAATATCTCCCGAAGACTGCGAGCTGCTAGCCATGATACCTGAAGACGCGCGACCGGAGATGTTGATCTGGGAATACATGCCAGTGCCGCCCGTGGCGTTGCGACCATCAGTCATGCAGGAAGGAGGTGCGACGGAGGACGACGTGACCAACAAGATCGGAGATATTTGCCACATCAGCAGTATAATACGCGCGGGACTTGCACGGGGCTTTCCGCTCCAGATCCTAATGGAACAGTGGGATTTCCTGCAGCTGCAGATTGCCATGTACATCAACAGCGATGCGCCAGGTCTCAAGCAACAGGGTCTGCAAAAAACCATGCGTGGATTTTCCCAGCGTCTCAAGGGCAAAGGCGGTCGGTTCCGACAAAATCTTTCTGGAAAACGTGTCGATTTCTCTGGTCGTACAGTCATTGGTCCAGATCCAAACTTGAGCATTGATGAAGTCGCGGTGCCAGAGCGTATAGCTAAGAATCTGACGTATCCTGAAAAGGTTACACGCTACAATATTGACAAGTTGCGGAGGCTTGTCAGGAACGGCTCCAACAAGTACCCCGGAGCCAACTACATCCTCGATGACCAGGGTCCGAACAAAGACCGAGGCAAAATTTCCCTTATTGCCCTTTCGCGATTCGATACCAAAGGCGAACGCCTCGAGGGCGCCTCGAAACGACTCAAAATTGGCGACATTGTTGAACGCCACATCGAGGATGGCGACATTGTCCTCTTCAATCGACAGCCGTCTCTACACAAGCTCAGTATTCTGAGTCATCGAGCAAAAGTGCGACCATGGAGAACGTTTCGACTGAATGAATGTGTATGTAATCCTTACAACGCCGATTTCGACGGTGACGAGATGAATTTACACGTTCCCCAAACCGAAGAAGCTCGGACAGAAGCTACCGAGCTCATGGGTGTCAAATACAATCTGGCTACCCCGAAAAACGGAACACCAATCATTGCCGCTATCCAAGATTTCATTACAGCTGCGTACCTTCTAAGCAACAAGAATAACTTTTTCGACCGGCGCACCTTTTGTCAGATTGTAAATTACATGTTCAATGGCGAAGGAGCATTCGATCCGGACACTGGCAAGAGGCACCCGATTGAAATTCCACCCCCGGTCGTATGGAAGCCTCAAGCACTCTGGACCGGAAAGCAGGTCTTCAATTTACTGATGCGCCCGTACAAAAAGTGCAGAGTCCTAGTCAACCTCGAAGCTGCATGCAAGCAATTCAAAAATACCCCTGATCAGCCTCCCGACCTGAACGAGAACGATGCCTACCTTGTCATTCGCAACTCTGAGGTCATGTGTGGTGTTATGGACAAAGCAACCGTCGGTGACGGTAAGAAGGACTCTGTCTTTTACGTCATGATGCGAGATTTCGGCCCCGACCACGCTGTCCAAGGAATGAACCGGCTCTCCAAACTTTCTGCGCGATGGCTCAGCAATAACGGTTTCTCACTCGGAATCAGCGATGTGACTCCAGGAGAAAAACTTAACAAGAAGAAGCAGGATCTTGTGCAAGAAGCGTACGCCAAGTGCGACAAGCTGATCAAGGACTTCAAAGAAGGAAAGCTGCAGCGCGATCCAGGTTGTGATGAAGAGCAAACAATGGAGAACAGGATTGGTGGTATTCTGTCCGGCGTTCGTCAAGCTGCTGGTGATATTTGTTTCGAAGAGTTGAGTAGGTGGAACTCTCCCCTACTCATGGCCAAGTGCGGTTCAAAAGGTTCCAACATCAACGTCTCCCAGATGGTTGCTTCTGTCGGACAACAGATGATTGGCGGTGCACGTGTAGCGGATGGCTTCCACCACCGAACATTACCTCACTTCCCCAAGGCTGCACGTCAGCCAGCGTCCAAGGGTTTCGTCAGTAACAGTTTCTTCTCCGGCCTCACCCCATCTGAGTTCATTTTCCACGCGATGAGTGGTCGTGAAGGTCTGGTTGATACCGCTGTCAAGACGGCCGAGACCGGTTACATGAGTAGACGATTGATGAAGTCTCTTGAAGATCTTTCCGCACAGTACGATGACACTGTCAGGAACTCTTCTGGTACTGTTGTGCAGTTCCAGTACGGTGACGACAACCTTGACCCCGTGGACATGGAAGGCAAGGCAAAGCCTGTGCATTTTGACCGAACCTTCTCACATGCTGTCACTTCTACTTGGGATAACTCAGAGTCCAGTCTAACGCCTCAGGAAGTCCGCGAATACACCGAAGCAAGACTGAACGCCCAACGAAACAAGTATCCTAGGTACGCACTAGACGGTGTAACGCGGCTAGAGTATCGAGATCAGACCGATAGAGGAATTGACCAAAAGGAGTCCATGCGTGACTTCCTCGACACGGTACAGGATTACGTCTTCAAGAAAGCCCAAAAACTTGAGACGACGCTTGCGTACCTCGGCATTGTGCAGCCCAATGATAGGAAGGATAAGAAACAATCGGCAGCCGATGCGGAAAAGTACAGTCTTGCTGATGGTATCGCCAAGATCTCGGAGAGAGCCCTCGATACTTTCATCACCCTGTGTTTGACAAAATATCATCGCTCCCGTGTCCAGCCCGGTCATGCTGTAGGAGCTATCGGAGCTCAGTCCATTGGTGAACCCGGTACGCAAATGACGCTCAAAACTTTCCATTTTGCTGGTGTCGCTGGTATGTCCATCACCCAAGGTGTACCCCGTATCAAGGAAATCATCAACGCCTCTTCTACCATCTCCACTCCTGTCATCGCTTGCGAGCTTTCCAACAAGATCTCCGAGTCTGCGGCGCGAATTGTCAAAGCACGTGTCGAAAAGACTTACCTCCGCGACGTCATCTCGTACGTCGAAGACGTTTGGCACCCTAACGGTGCCTACATTGCCATGCGCATTGACTGGGATACCATAAACAAGCTTTTCGTTGACGTACAACCCTACGAGATTGCTGCGGCTATCAACGCCCACAAGCCTCTCAAATGGGGCAAAGCCGGCGCAAACGTGCGCATCTCTTCCTCCATAATCCGCGTCGAAGTCCCTGACCCCAACGCCGCAAAGAAGCGACCCGTCAAAACAACACGCAACCACAAAGAATACTTTGAGCGCGTCCAACAAGTCAAATCCCTCATTCCGGATGTCGTCATAAAAGGCTACCCAGACTGCTCCCGTGCCATTATCAAAAAAGAAAGCAGCCCCAACGCCCAAGGCCACTACGAATGCCAACTCCTCGTCGAAGGCTATGGCCTCCAAGACTGCATGACCACCCCTGGAATTGAACCTTACAATACAAAATCCAACCACGTCATGGAAGTCAAGACAGTCCTCGGCATCGAAGCCGCCCGCGCTACCATCGTCCGCGAAATCGGCGACGTAATGGGCAACATGGACATCGATCCTCGTCACATGCAGCTCCTCGCCGACGTCATGACCTTTAAAGGCGAAGTCTTCGGCATCACGCGTTTCGGTCTCCAAAAGACGCGAGATTCCGTCCTCCAACTTGCCAGTTTCGAAAAGACGCCCGATCACCTTTTCGAAGCTGCGGCGCGCGGAAAGACGGATACGATTGATGGAGTCAGCGAGTGTATTATTATGGGCCAGAGTGTTAAGCTGGGTACCGGTGCGATGCAGGTTGTCAGACCGCTGTTTTTGGGTGAGGAGATTGGGGAGAAGAGGACAATGTTTGAGGAGGGGTGGGAGGCTTTGTGAGGGGGTGGTTTCGTTGCGGTGGGCTTTCGGGGAAAAGAGGAGAGGGGTTATGTATATATGCATAGGATTGGCGCACGCTTGTTTTTCGATGATGTATATTTGATAATGGATAGCATGCATACCGGAGTAAAAAATATGACTTTGTAACTTCCATTTGACTTCGTATTTGTTTTTCTTTTATTGATGAACCGGGGTTTAGTTTGCATAATTGATTTCGCAAAGAGAGATTTTGTGCGCAGTAGGTGAAATAGATGAGTATCAGATACTCAGTAAAAGATCAAGCCAAGGTGAGGATCGTCTTGTTGGCCTGAAGAATAAGGTCTTGTATTTGCGTCGCTCCGGCGGTGCGAGATCTTGCTACTAAAAGGGTCGTTCATAGGTGGACCAATGGTGGATTTTATAATGATATTTGATCAAGATCGAGGCGGAAGGTATGGGGATTGGAGATTAGATCAAGGAGGGGAGGAGGGAAGATGGGTTCGTGCGTAGGTGTAAGACTAGTATGTATAATAGGGCTATGTGAGCAGGTGTAAGATTAGTATAGTAGTGTTTCGAGAGGGATGCGAATTTCAAACACCATAGCCGAACCCCTTAATCTGTGTCCTTTGTAAACCCATTTTCAAGTCTCTTACTATACAGATTTCTAGTCTCGTTGTTTGTCTTCGTTAATACATATTCTCAGAGGTGCAATGTTGTCCACTAGCGTGGGCCCTAGGAAGCGCCGGTGTGAAGCTTGTACTTTGATAGTGCGTAAGACTACACTAGTAATATTTGTTATGTGTTCTAGGACTGTATTTTCTTTTTTTCAAGGGGAGAGGGGGATTTGAATTTTGATGCTGCAACCTGCATCTTGAAAGATTTGCGTATGGCTGTTTTGGTGATGTTAATGATACTGAGTTCGTTTTATTTTAGTTCGTCAAGATGGAGACTGCCTGGATTTCTATCGGATTAAGTTGGCAGCAGTCAAGCGTTTTGGTATGTCTCTTTATCCGAAGCTCGGAAGCTCTGTTAGGGATTTATTAATACGCTTCTTTCTACTACTCCTCTTTTCTATCTGATGTGCAATTTTGGGCATGTGCGGAGGTGAAGTTAAGAAGAACAGTTTCATTTGCTGGCAAAAAGTTGATTCATGACAGAGATGAAATGAGGTAGTGCGGATTAGCATGCGCATTGCGCCGGTTGCCTGCTAAGCCTGTTGCTTTGAGTATAGTCATTTTGTACGCAGATGCCATTGATTAGAGACTAGTGAAAACGAAATAAATGAATCAGTTGCAGTCTACAGATCCGCAATGTCTAGCTCTACTTCATGACCTTGCCTATGCTCAAACACCTTTCATCCATGTAGAGGGTGGCTCTTGTCCCCAGTCAGCTTGCACATGAGGCACAAATCAAAATCGAAGCATATGAGGCATCTGAAGCGGGGACTGAATATTATCTCCGCCTTGTTAGCATGCGATGATGTTGGCAGTGTTTGAGGAATACCTACCAGAAAGCATTCGTCGCAGGTGTTACCGCCACAGCTTTCTGCCTTTTTGTTTGAAATGATGCCTTCATCCATATTCAGTACTTTTGGCAGTGAGTTTTGTGACAATTCGCGCAGATTCGCGTTGCGATAGTAAAGGCCGATAGAAATTGGGGTCCACAGGCCTGCAGGGTGCAAAGTGTGGATGACTTCCTCGTTCGAGTACATGGTTTTGAGAAGATTCACCACTGCATTGCTCGCACTTCTATACGCCCAGTGCAGAGGGGACCAAGAACCGGACAACTTTTTGGGGGTAGCAAAACCGTGATCGAGGATGTACTTGATAATCGGGCGAGAGTTCGCACAGGCTGCGTAGTGCAAGACTGTGTTTCCTTTGACATCAATGCTGTTGATGTCTATGCCTTTTGAAAGTAGAGACTCAAAAGATAAAAGGTGGCCACTCCTTGCGGCAAAATGGAGAACATTACGTCTCAACTCATCGGTCAAGTCGATGCACGCAGCGTCTCTCTCAATGAAAAGACGCAAGATATCCAAGTGGCTCCTGAAGGCTGCTGAAAGAAAACGAAGGCCATATCGCCGACTCCTTCGGTTGGCATCGGCTCCATGATCAAGCAGCACCTCCACAACATTAATGTGACCTCCTTCACAAGCATTATGAAAAGCGTTTCCACAATTTCGTCATGCGCGTTAACATCAGCTCCCCTGTTGAGTAGTACCTCCACCGAATCCTTAACTCCAGTTCCTGCAGCCGCGATCAGAGCGTGTTCGCCTGTTATCAGGGATTCTGTGTCCATGGAAAGCAGCCACGCAACAGTTTAATACTGTTTGTTATTCGCTGCAACCTGAGAAACAGTGTGTCCAGCCTTCTTACGGGCGTGTATATCTGCTCCAGTTTTTTGCAAGACCTTTGTAGTCTTTAGATCTTCTCTAGCTGCACTGTGCATCGGTTTCCATCCCTTTTCGTCAGTGGTAGAGGGATTTGCCCAAAGTGACAGCAGTCACTCTACAATCTCGCGCTGGCCGTTTGTTGCAGCTAAACTTATGATACTACACTGACCTTTACTGAGAGCGTGTATATCTGCGCCAGCCTATTGCAATACCTGGGCTATTACCAGGCCTCTTCCAGCTGCACTGTATAGCGGTGTATATCCATTTTATCAGCAGCACAGGCATCTACGCCATTGGATAACAATACCTCAATAACCTTGCGCTTGGATTCTCGTACAACTGCATGCAGAGGTGTGATATTTTCCTTGCACCGGGCATTGGTCTCGACACCACTGCCAATAAGTAACTCTACCATATGAGTGCTGTCGTTGTAGAGAGCCTCAGTTTATATGTGGAGTGCGTTCTTGTGCTTGTTGTCTCCTTCTTGAACCTTGACGCCCCTCGCTAGCAGTTGCTTCATGATATTTGTATCGTTCAGTTCCGCTGCTATAAGAAAAGGTGTTATGCCTAACTTGTCTTTTTGCTCGCATTCGATTGACTCTACGCGTAGGAGAAGCTCAACAACACTTGCACGGTTGTTTCGTACCGCCAACGCCAGCGGTTTTTGAAGATCATCATCGGTCGCATTGACGTCAGTGTCACTCTCGGAGCAATGACTGGACATGATGGACCATTCCAAGCATCGATGTCAGATGAAGTGCGGTGGTGAATGCGTACTGTGGCGGAGTGTGTTTTGCTTCCGATGAATACCACCACCATTGCCGCCGGTCTTTTGACCCTGAATAATACCCTTCGTTGTTGAGTTTTCGAGCTTGTGCAGTTGCTCTGAGCTTATTGAAGTTGTTGAGGAACTTCATAATGATGTTTTTCAAATCGTTGCTTACACATTCACCTAAGTTATCGTGCCGGTATTCAGTTGCGTAAAGCAACATTGGGCAATTCTCATAAAGTGTTTTGGCAGCTGAGTACGTCTCACAAGGTCCGCTCTCGAATTCGTCGTACAGAAGAATCGTGAGGCAGGCTCTAGCTATGATGTCTTCCTGTCGTAGCATTTGCTTGATACTTGACTGGCTGAAATGGGCTAGAAGGTACTACTAGGTTGGGAAATGTACTAGACGAAATTTTTTCCCGTTATCAACAAATACAAGGCTCATACATGCTGTGGATATGATACCTTGTTTGGATTCTTTCTTGGGATTTCGGTGGCAGTCGCCGTCTCTCATTACTGAGTGAACCAGCTCCTCATAGGACAAAGGACGTCGGGCTCAAGACAGCCACCAGAGTATACGATACGAGAGATCGAACTTTTTCGGGTGCTGATCCCTGATTCGTTCCAGGGTCTTTTCATATGAGTGATTGAGATCAACTGGCATTTGCTCAAGCGAATCTTCGATGTCGCTTTCGCATTTGCTAGAGGCAATGCTATTCAGCATCAAGGCCACGAAGAGAAACCTCAATGTGTCAACAAGCCCACAAAATCAAGTTACACTGCAGTGCCCTTACATCCCATTCCCCTTTTCGATAATTTTCGATACAACTGTCTCTCCGAGCAATGGATTGTACTCGAACAACTCTGCCAAACCTGCTTCATTACGAATTCTTTCAAGCACAAGTTTCTCAACATCATCATGATGAGCAAAGGCGATCAACTCTGAACATGATGGAAACTTCATCGAAACATCTAACAGATGCGACCGGCCCGTGATGAAGAATCTCCATCTTGGATCGTCAAGACTTTCAAGCTGCTCGAGGAAAACTGTACGAATCTTATCTGATCATTCGTCCAGAGCGTCGATGACAATAAAGACCTGCTTGAAATACCGAGACATCTGCCCAAGAGTTTCTACTAGAGCATCAATTTCCGGTCTTTGGGCACCCATGTTACATGCACGATACAGGCGACGCACGTCCTCGATACCTTCCTTCTCTTTACATAGTGTAACCTGCTTGAGGAGACTAGCAAACACATTCTCGAGATTTTGTGCTTCTTTGTCGTCGTAGTCAAGGTGAATGTACGCAACTCCAATATCCCGCTCCATGTGGTTAGTAAGGAGTTCATCGATTACCGCTGACCTGCGAGATATCCATACTGTCCCTTCTTCTTGGCCCCAAATGTGAGTGCGTACGCTATAAAGGTCTTGCCAGCCCCAGATTGTCCATGGCACCAGAGTAGTTGCGTTGAACCAGTGTCGCTGTACCATTCTTGGTATTCTTGCTTTTTCAAGAGCCATGCACCACTGCCCTCGACCCTTTCCCTTCTGATCTTCTTGTGCTTGGAATCGTAAGACGATTCGTAGAGCTAGTTAAGAACATCAATGAATAGAACTTCTCTTGCTATTTGGACAAGTCTCATCAGATGAATCTCCATGTGAGGCTGGTGAATATTTACCTATTTGAACGATATTGGCATTGATGTTGCCAACCTGGACAATATTTCCACCCTGTGTCTGATTTGCGCGTGAATAGGTAGAGCCATGCTGGGCAGATACTGTTGCCCCTGAATGAGCCGAACGAAATGCATCTGCTTGTCTGCTTTCGACTGTGATGGGGCTGGGGCTAGTTTATGTGCCCAGTCGCTGCCATGAGTAATTAGAGTGCTGAATAGGGACTTCCATCTGGGGCTAAATCCATCTGAGGCCTCTCATTATGTGACTTTGCATATACCAGACTGCAGTTCTCACAGCGAGAGCTCAATACTGTGACGGGATAAGGCTGCGGCGCACTTGTTGGCAGAAGCAAGGTGCGCTTTCCACCTCTAGAGATTCAACTCGATATGTGGACGCAATTCAGGGGCTGTCCCTAAACTTTTATACCATGTATAGATCATATAGCATGGTCAGCTGCTTGTTGGAAGTGGCGTGTAGACCTTTGTCCTCGATAGAGGCTTCGCCAACATTGTCACGGGCTCTGCTCATCCATTAGAAGTTCGGCACAAAGTCACAAGGTGATCCTCATTCGACATGTAGATATGCACTTCAAACAATACTTAGGTGCATATCCCATTGGACTGTCATATGAGCATCTGGGGGCGCTAATGGATTCATCCATAAACTCCGCTTCCTGCGGCCACTGGTAGATGTGTGTGATGTCTATTTTCCTCGTTGTCGCGCGGCTGGTCTACTGTGCAGTAGCTGTTACATTTACTTGATGATCTACGACGATACCCATCCGCGCCTTCATCCTGCCCTCTCTCGTCCTATCGTTTTGAATTGGCACGCTGCATAATCCTACACTCATGTAAGGTCGACTCAATTGGCGTGAGGCACAGTAGGCTGGACTTGGTGGCGCTAAATCCCTGATCGTTGAGCAGGTGCCAATACAATCCTGGCAATGAGGCCAAAGTGAAACACAACCACAACTTGTCCCTTGATCGTAATGAATAACTCTAAGACTACATTCTGTAGGTGAAGATTCTAACTAAGGAAGCCCAGTTGTTCCAACTAATTCACTCTCCTAGTATCACTGCCATGGGGCCATATGAACGTGCGAATGAGCGAAAGCGGTTGGATGCATCGATTACCACGTCGCGTGGATCTGTGCGTTACCTGACGTCGAACTACTGTCCTCAAGATTGATGTTCGACGAATTTCATCTCTTGCCAGAATATGACGCAAGCCAAGATTCTAATCAGTATTACTGCGGTGTTGTCGCGGACCACAATGTCATTATGGCAACCCTGCCTGTTGAATACTCAGACTACCACCACGCTGGCCACTTGAGCAGCGCTCTACTCGACCCATTCTCCAGTGTCAGAACAGTCCTCATAGTTGGGATTGGTGGTGGTGTCTCGTTACCGAAGCCATGCGAGAATCCTCTGGAAGATGTTCACCTTAGAGACGTCGTTGTAGGATAGTCTCGAGATGGCAAAGCTGCTTGTATCCACTGTGGGTGGAATATGGATAAAGGCGACGCGGGCATTGAGATCCTCGGAACAATAGAGAAAGGGGACTGGGTCATTGGACAAGGTCTCGCGAAACTGGTATCAGACCATGACTCTGGCGAGACAAACTTCCAGGATCACTTGAAGCTACTGAAAAACGACCGAAAATTTGCTCATCCAGGTCTTGAGCACGATAGACTGCTTCATGCTGCTTACAAGCACCGGGGTGATCAGGACCCTGGCTGCCAGACTTGTATTCGTAATCCATTTGCATTAGTCCAAAGGCCCCCACGTACCAGCAAGCATATGGAAAGATTCGTTTTTCATCAAGGGAAAATAGCAAGTGGTAACTCTGTCATAAAAGATGGAGAGCGTAGAGACATGCTTAGTAATGTCTGTAGGGGCGTGATTTGTGTCGAGATGGAAGCAGTGGGCGTTGATGTCAGCAGCATGTGTCTCGTAATATGGGGCATCTCCGATTATTCAGATTCTCATAAGAAAGATTCCTGGAAAATTTACGCTACCGGTAATGCAGCAGTATTCTTAAAAGAATTATTATGCAAGATCAAGCCGATAGCCCTCCAGCGTAAGATGGCAAACCACCGAAGTCAGTATCCTGCTTCCCAGATATCTATCGGCTAGCAAAAAACAACAGATCCAAGTCCAGTTCCGCAACCCGAATGGAAGCAACAACAAGGCTTGGTATCGCAGGGAGGTTCCGTTTTTTCGGGTTTCAACCAAATAATAAACGGGAAGATTATGCGTCTTGGGAACCTCAATATGAGGGATGGAAATGTCTCATTCTGAAAATATCATCTCCGTCATTATTTTCATATTTTTCTTATAATGATATGTAGCTAGTCGACTTTAGCTATATGTATTTCGTAAAGACCTGCGCTTGAAGACATCTGCAGAAATTGCTTAGCTGGTAGAGCTACTGGCACAACATTGTAATATTCAAAATTCACTAAACATAGCCAAAATCGGGTAGTCTCCCAATGCGGTAAGTCCTGGACGTCGCCAATCCGCACCCCATACGGGAGGTTTCTGTAATAGCATCAAAATGCAAGTAAAATATCTGAGTTCGCACTCGAATGATTGTACAGGATGAGGGCGTACCGGAGAAATCATAGAAATTGCTCCCTCAGATCTCGCTGATTTCAATTGTGTAACCTTGCGCTCGTTTCAGGACAGAATAACACGAGCAGGCAAAATTGACCCCATGTATCGATGAAAATATGCTCTTCACAACTTCAAGTGTAGTTTCTGCAAATCTTGATGTCTCTCATGCGGATCATCACACTAGGTGTGCCAGACCCAAAAGCGTCCGTAGATATTGTCGATCAGGTCTGTGCTGCTGACAGCTCAACCTTCTTTCGCCTTGATATAGTTTAACTCGGGTCGTAATTTTTCCGGTCAGATGTCGGGCTATGTCATGTTTTTACGATCCAATACACACGTTTTTACGTCTCGTGAAGATTCGGTGTGGCAATGCCTTTCGTATACGTACATCCGTTTTGTTCCTCACTAGTCTTTTCTTAGCACTAAAAAGATATTTCAGGAAGAGCTATTGCGTCTTCCAATTTTATATACGAGCATTCTGGCTAGTGTATTGGCTAAGCACCACGCTAAGTGGCCCTGCCGAGCCGGGATGGAACGGGCTCAAGAACCTTGTAGCTTGCATCTTAATCTCGATATTTGTCCGTGCATAGGGATTTGCAACGAACTAATAATGCGGTGGAGTACCATCACTCCACCCCTGAATGCCGTATTAAAGACAATGGTATTGCTTCAATTGAGATAATATCGACCATCATAATGTATACTTCACGCTCGTTACTTCCAACTTTAGCAGGTTTCCTTTCGCTAACAACATTCGTTGTATCATCTCCCACCAATAATCAGCATTTATCTAGCTCGAAGCGCAATGCCACGGTTGAACAGAACGTGTTCTTCAACATCAATGGCAAAGAGGTAGAAACCAGAATCGCAAAACTGAAGGCAGAGGGTTACCGACCAACTTCCCTAAATATTCATGGCACGCCTACCGATGCAAAATACGCCGGCATCTGGACAAAACAAGATGGCAGTCCATACGAGACTATTGTAGGTGCCAATAAAACCATTTATGATGCTTGGCTCGATCAGTGGAAAGCTAGTGGCTACGTTTCGACGCAAGTCTCTGCCACTGGGCCTGCCCCCAATGCTGTTTTTGCAGGTGTGATGGAGCAAATACCCTCGGTTCGCAACTGGACTCAACTATGTGGCCTGAACGACCCTTATGCGTACTTGAATGCGACACAGGATCTCCCGATGGTGATTTTGGGCATGAGCTTGTACGGCACTCCAACCGAGCGCCAATACTGTATCCTTGGACACGAGAACATAGACAACCACCAACAGACCGTGTGGTACCCGACGACCTTTTCGCAGGACTACAAGTCGATAGTAGCTGGTGAGACTTCAAAAAGATTCTGGAGACCAGCCTTCATCGATAGCTCGGAAGACAAGCTCCTTTCATCTATTTTTGACGACACGAGTGTTGGAAAATGGACCGTTCGCACCGACCTCACCGCATCGCAATTGCAATCAGAGATTGTTGCGCAAAGGGCGAATAACATGTATCCTATTCACATATCCGGTGCAGGGTCCGTGGAGACTCAATACGTTGTGATCTTTGCAGAGCGAGTAACCCCTCTGGAACGCAATTGGCACGCTGTAGGCGATATTACTGGCTTCCCGGATAATGCTGGAGTGAAGAAAAATTTGGATGAAATACTTCAAAAGTTTATGAAGCGTAACAGTGTCCGACAAGCCCAAGTCTCCGCCTCAATCAACGGAACTGTCGTCGCTTCGCGCGCCTACACATGGGCCGAGAGCGACCGCGCCATTGTCGAACCATCTGACAAGTTCCTTCTCGGGAGTGTTTCTAAAGCATTCACATACGCGGCAGTAGACCACCTCGCCTCCACTGGCGTGGTCAACCTGACAGACTACATCTACCCGCTCCTTGGCTACACTAAGCCCGCTGACCCTCGCTCGCTAAACATTACCATACAACACCTCCTCGACCATACGGGGGGATTTGACCGTGGAAAATCACCCGACATCGGCTTCATCTTCACAACCGTCGCGCAATCGCTCAACCAATCTACTCCCGCCACATTACGTCAGCTCATCGAGTACGTCCTTGCCAAGCCGCTCGACTTCGAACCCGGCACGAATAGCGTGTACTCAAACTACGGAACCCTGCTCCTCGGCTACCTAATTGCTAACAAAACCGGCGAAACATACATGTCCTACCTTGAGAAAAACATCCTCAAGGATCTCAATGTGGAAATGTACACCACACCCGCGGAAGACCACATCAATGATCGCGTCGTTCAGGAAACAAAGACTGCCAGCATTTCCGCTTTGACGCCGCTATCAAAAAAGAGAGCACCTGGTGTCCATGGTGGAGACGGCGCAGTCAAGGAAGCGGCGGTCTCGTCGTTTGCGCTAAAGGCTTCGGCGGATACGGTATCGCGGTTCATTGGCAAGCATGCGGTGTACGGACTTGGTCCCCGACGGCTGTTTGAGTACCGTGACGGTACGGTCGCGGGTGCGCGCGCATTGGCGTATAGTATGGCCAAACTGGATTGGGCGATAACGTTGAATACGAGGGAGTATCTGGATGAACAGGCATGGAATACGTTGGTGTTTACTGATTTATATCTGCTTTGGGGTAGCCTCGATTCGGCGCTTCCTTCATGAGAGGGTTGAGCGATCTTTCCTCTATGATGTAACTCACTAGTGTGCTTTTGTGTACTATTGGTCTTCTTCGTTGTGAATTCTTTTAGACTACATATACTCACATTACATAGAATCCACATACTTTCTTGACGTTGTGCATATCTTCGGTGAGACGATCCGACGATCCGGTGGGGTGTAGCATTAGGGGGAGTCTAAATCTCGATATTTTCTCTCAAGCGGTTTCTATAACAATCGCTTGGTTTTTGACTAATAGCTTTATTAGACTACCGATTTTGAGAGCTTATCATAACTAGATTGTTACTTCACCGTCACAGATATTGATCTAAAAATGACCTCTTCTTACTCGACGCGGTTGGATCTATGTATGGAGGTAATTACTGGGGGCAACCATTTGTCAAACCCCATTTGCTAGTAGATGTCGAGAGCGCGGTAGGTGCGGGTGATAGATAATTACTCATTTTAGAGATAGGTGGCAGTTTTCCATGACTTGATTCCGGCTAAGAGTGTGGACTCCTGTTCACTTGGGGAAGCGAATAGTGCTTGATTCGAGAAGGTTCGCCTCGATCCACTGGGGGAAACGAAAAATGTTTAAGCTCATAGGGTGGACTCCGATCAAATGGAGGAAGCGAATAGTGTTCGAGTGGAGGAGGGGGGTATCGAATGAATGCTTCCCGAGATGTGTTAATTCCCAGCTCTGTACCAATGTAGACCGTGAAATTCCCATAGTCTCTCGGCTGGCAATCATAATTTTGCAGTTGTGGGTAGAATGAGCAGGAGATACCAGTTCGGCAAGATCTTTGAGAAGCTCTTTTAGATCTCATGAACTCCATTCGTCAACACCATCTATAACAAGTCTCACAGAGCCCAACCCTAAGAGAAGTTCAGAGAGAAGACTCAGTAATGCTTTCTTCGTTGGCATTGGGTGGAAAGTGAATTAGACGTCATGAACGTAAACTGCGAGATCCTGATGCTTCTGGATGACTTGTGAGACGATGGATCGTAGCAGACGGGTTGGGCCATTAGAATGGCTTCCAAGGAATCTACAAAAGTAGTAGAAAATGTGAACAGCATTCGCCTCTGCATGTTGCACAAGAATGAAGCATATCATGGATTTTCCTTCAAATAGTTATACAAGTGATCAGCAGTGGTGGTGTATGAACATACCTGCTCCCGGCTTTCCGCAAAGCCACAGTAGAGAATTTTTTGCGCTATCTCCCAGCCGTAATTGGGTTTATTTGTGCTGTACAAACCACCCGCAGCTTCCCGGCAAGTAATCTCCCATATACTGTTCGAGTATGTCGGCTTGGAGTGTTTCATTTGTTCCAAGCCAAGCTAGGACTCTCTGGATTTTGGCCTGGAGTTGGCGTGCTAAATCAGCCCGTGTCTCTTATACATTCATAGAGCTGTTGTATACTTATAGTGTTCCACTCACGCTCTTGCTGCTCCCACTTCTCGTCGTCAGCCTTGCTACGTCGAACAGCTTCGGAGATTTCTGCTGCAGCGGCTTCTTTCTCAACCAGCCCTCCATGGTATGCTAAGTTTTTCAGTATCCCATTGAATCGATATTCAAACCCAACCCACATTGAGCTGAAGAAGATAGCCCATGCTATTAGTTGTGAGTACAGCACAACATGGCACAACTGAAAACCCTACATTTTCTTCACACAAACTTGTAGGCTCGCCAGTGAAATTCTACAATGTCGAAGTAGACCAAAGCAAAGAAATTCTGAAAGTTGTGGTCGTCGGCAAGTGCATGACTGAGTCGGTCCAGGCGAGGAAGCATATCGGCGATCTTGCCGTATGCTTCTATCGACTTTTCGAAAGCATTAATGGAATCGACCGCGATCTGTTGATATACAATAAGTAATACGAACTGGACGAAGACATGAGGCTCATCATATAGTAAGGATGAGTCTAACTGGCGCCCAGATCCAGGCAAGATAAGGTGTGCCATTGCACAGCATCTCAACGACCTTGGAGTAATGCTCCATTCCTCGTAGGAATGGGCTTACTTCTTGAACACAAACAATATAAGAGTTCGAGAAGGAGTTGAGTAAGGTGACCAGCAGCACACTCGAGGCTGGCAAGTCATCTGTAGGGTAGCCTTGCGGGTCGCAGTCATGCTCAGCCCCAGTGGCTGTGTTCATGCATCTACGCAGCTACACTAGATACAGGCCAGCTCCCGCAGCTCTCAGACGTCCACCATGACGACTCGCAAGACATCGCTTCTTGCACTCGTACTCGGCCGACAGCATACTGTCTTGTCTTCCTGGTATCGTCGTCGATTTTAGTGCACACTATACGCAACCACAATACCTCGACTGCGCAAGCAATGACCGCACTACAGGCAACTTCTAGATGGGCTGTCTCGGGAACCCCGATCCAGAGTAGCCTGCTCGATTTTTATGGCATGTTCAAATTCCTTCACTTCTCCCCATACGACGACCCAACAATTTTCGACGACGATGTCACGAACTTGTCGCGTGTCAGGCTCGCCGAGGAAGCTGCTGAGGTTTTCAAGAAATTGCTGTCGTGCGTCATGATACGCCGAACAAAAGCTATCTTGGACCTGCCCAGCAGAGATAACAAACTAATTCGTGTGCCGTTTAGTCATGAGGAGGAGAAACATTATCGCCAAATCGAGTAACCTGTTGTTCATATGTTGGATCGTGCCACAGAAAGTGGCTGCCAAACTAACGTACCCTGGATGACCGCTATACAACAGATCAACAAACTCCGCCTCATTTGCAACCTAGGAATTTCCGCTCCATCATAATCTCATCACTTACCAAAGCTGGGGAGTGTCGATGAGAGAACGGCTTTGATGAATTCGCGCTATTCCATGGGTGGAGAACTATGCGCACAGTGCTTACAGCCAGTTGAAGCATCCGCGTCTGGGGATGGACTCCGGAATGCTACACTACCACAAGTTTATCTTTCAGCTTGCAGCACATTTTACTGCACTGATTGCTCTGCGCTACTCAGATACCAATCACCCGATCCATGCGAGTGTATGGAGCAGCCACGACCCTGTCAAATTCGTCCCTTGACATCCTTCTTGCCCACCCCTAGGCTTACACCCGTTGGCGATCTTTCTCCCTCACCAATGGAGTGGGACCACACCAACGATATTTCAAGTAAAGTATTGACACTTGTGTCACAGATCAGGTCTTTTCCAAACGAAAAACAGTAAGCCTATTAGGAACCACACCACATCTCAAAGCTAACCCACCGTTAGTGTCATGTTCTCGTCATGGACGTCAAGTCTCGATATGGTGGAGAAAGCGCTTGGGTATGACCCAAACCACATCATTGAATCAGTCCGAATCGACGGAAAAGTGCAGCTGAAGAACCGCAGCCATGCTATACAGCAGCTCCACCACAATTCTAGCATAAGCGTCATAATGATCACGATTGCTTGTGGTGCATGTGGGTATGTTCATGTAGTCAATATTTGCTAAATCAGTCGATTTTCTGACAGCTATCTTAGTTTGGACCTAACGGCAGCTTCGAGGGCACACCTTCTCGAGCCGCAATGGAAACCATCTCTCGAAGGTCAAGCACTTGCTCGAATCCATCGATTAGGGCAGACCCGTCCCGTGACAACCATACGCTATGTAATGGAAGACTCGTTTGAAGAGGTACTTGAGAGCGAAGAGCTACTTTCCATTGAAACTCGCGACATAAGCTGACGTGTTCATCGATAGCACATTCTCAAAGTCCAAGATCGCAAGAAGCTGCTCGCCACCACTCTATTGTCAAATGGCTCTTCCCTCGAGGTAAGCAATGGATATGCCAGCATGGACGGATTAGCAAAAATATACTAACGATACACTTCTAAAATCTGCGCCAATTACTCCACGAAAGAAAGAAAGGCCAATAGTGTTGATGAGTGACAAGGTCATAAAGATACTCAATCCAACACATTCTTCATGTTCCTTGTTCATCATCCACGTGACCGTACCGAAAGCCTTGACCCAAGTTCCTCCATGCACACAACTCGATAATTCCTCTCAACTAATCTCCAGTCAAATCGGGGGAATGAGAGATAAAAACTAAAACAATCCCATCTAGCCGCTCAAGATAAGAAAAAGAGGTCTCCCAGAACCCCCCAAACCCCCTACAAACCATGATACCAAACATATATCATCCCTCTGTTCTGCATCTTCAGCGCAAAAACCAACACCAACAACAGCCATAACCATACACAAAAGAAAATGTTTACTAAAAAGAACCAAGCCAGCAGCAACCCCAGCTCAACCTACCCAACCAACTATTTAACTCCTCACCTAACGAAAAAAAACCCCCCTTTACCCCACGTGCACCACCACATTCCTCCCTCACAAGCGCCACATAACAACCATCCCTCACCTACCAACCAAGCAATCTCCGCCCCTTCCCCCACAAAAAAATCCCTCCAAACCTCCCACGGCCCCCAAGAAAAAGCAACACCAGTAGTGACACAAGAAACTTCCTCCTCCGCGGAGCCTAGTAATCAGCCCTACGCACACCCGCTCATATATCCCTGTCACAAAACTAATGCTTTCGGGGGGGAGGGGGCGAAAAACGCCAAACGCCCTGCGAACATGCAGGTCCCTGCTTCCGAATTCCTTCGGGAGAGAGGGGGGGGGGGGTGTAGTAAGCGGGTGTCCGACGTCGAGCTCGTAAGATTGTGGTTACGCGTCTTTAGTCTTGGGAAGGGGTTTTTTTGGGAGTTGTTATGTTGTGTAAGGGAAGAGAAGAGTAGGGAAGGGAGGGAAAGAAGGTAGGGTGGGATGGGTGTGGTGTAACGGGGAGGGGGGGAGTATGTCAGATATGACGGGTGTGGGGGTGGCTGGGTTGGAGGTGGTGATGTATGAAAGCAAGCAAGTATGGGGGTTGAGGGAGTGCCAAAGAAAGCGGATTTGTGTGGTTTGTCGGGGGACTTTGGAGGGGATGAATAGTTTCGTAATTTTCAGTCACTGTATGTTGTATTTATGGCGTGAGCAAGCGTAGACTTTGTTGAATGGTATACTTCGTACGTGTGTGATGGAGAGATAGAGATAAGTCGGGTTCGGTACTTTTCTCCTCGCCCGCGGCAGTTTGGAATGATGACCTGTGTTATGGAGAAAAGTAAGCGGTATCCCTGCTCGCAGGTCCAGGCTTTTTTGCCTACTATATATTGGGGGCGAGGATGGGAGGCCTTGTTGCGTCAGCTGTCTAGGGTAGAGAGCGTACATTGTGGCGACCGGAAAATCGGTATTTGTGAAGGCGATGTGATGAACAGTCGAATCAGAATCTCAGAGAGAAAAGTCTAACTTTTACATGACCAACATGGAATTCTGTTTTATAGCGTTTGTGGCTTGCGAAGTCAGAAAGTACTCTTGATACAAAATAGAAAGTGAAGTAAAGAGTAATAAAACTGGGGGGCTTCAGGATGAGAATTTGGGCTTCATCCTTTTTGAATGTAATGAAATAGAGAGATAGTATGATACGAGCTGAATACCAGATCAACCCAAAAGATAAAGACGTCAAGCTTCCAGAGATTGAATCCCAAATGAAAATCGCCACAGGTTGCGAATATAGTTGATGATGAGATGGCCGAAACGAAAACGACTAATGCTGGGTAGAAGTGACTGCCTATCGGGCCAAACCAAGGGAGCCAGCCTTGACTGCAACCCAGTGTCGGACTTTCAAAAACACGCGCAAGGCATAGATCGTGCCATCGATATGATCACAAGATACCGATACTGCAGCTCTTACTGCATGTAGTGAGAAGCATTTTGCTGCCCAAATGGCTGTCTGCGAATCGTCTTTTGATTCAAGGCACGCAGAAGCCCATGATGCCGAAGCGCCTATGAGAGTTACCCATAGAAATACACCCGCTAGGTCATGACTCCAGCAGCTCTGTTTGTTTGTTCTCTCAAGTGTCTCGTGGAGAGTTGATAACAGTGTAACACTCTTCGTGTCGGACCTGGCAGTGGCTGGGTGGACGATGCTTGCAGAGTCTGCAAGGCTTATTCCATGGACCATTGATCGACAGTAGATTAAAGCTGCAATGCGGCAGCTCTCGTAAACCCAATCTGGGGTGATGTCGCTCTCAGTGGACGGCAGTAAGAGGAGGCGTGAGTAGATGGACTGGAGCTGCGAGTCGCAGTTGGCTAATTGCCCACTTGAAATTGTGTGTCCGTCGCCGGTATGATTCCATCGCGCAAGAAACATGTCTGTGAAGTTCTGAATCTCCATAATGATTCCCGCTGTTCCTACAGAACAAACACGGTACAATTGTGAGGTATGTGTGGTAGGAGGCCAAAGTGGTGAGATTAGGATACCATTTTCGAACAGTGTTTTAGATGGAGACCACGGCGTGAATTCTGCATATTCAGGCTGGTTTCTTGCGATGGTAAAATTCAACATTATCCTGCCCTGGTTAGCTGATAGCTTGTGTGAGTGTCAAGACTCGTACAGTGTCATGAACCTGGCAACGCCCGAATTCAGCCCGCCTCGATGGCTCCTCAAGCAAGTTGCCAGACCATCGCGGTGCACGCTGAAGACGCCCTCATTGACACTCCCGATTTCGCTGATAATGAGATGGAGTATACAGATGATGGTAGCGTTGTCCGTATCCAAGCGACTGCTAATTAGTCTCAGAATCTTGGTTTTGGCGAATACGGTGAGGCGACTGTCGTACAGCAAACCTTCGTCAATGTCATGGTAGACCAAGGTAGCATACACATGGCCAAGAAACGATAGATGACTGTCGCAAACATAACGCATCCATGCTTGATCTGTAACAATGAGCAACAGCCAGGCTTCCGTGCAATGACTCACCATGGCAAAACAGAACAGTATTGCGGATCCACTCGCGCTTCAGATCGCCTAGGGACTCATTTTGAAAGTTGTTGCTTCTCGGAAACGGGTACTCTGAACTTTCCTCACAGTCTGGAGGTGCGCTATGAGTAGATGTCGGGCTTTCCATTGATAGAATTCGCGCAGCTAGACTTCGTAGAGAATCGGTTGGAGATGACGGCGAGTAAGCTTCAAAAGCATGCAGACTCAACGTGGATTCATAGCCTCTACTGTATGCAGGAGCCACAGGTGCAGTGGTCGGTAGTATCCCAAAGGAGTCCGTTGTGGCTGGGCTCGGGGTTCGTGTCAAAGCACTTGGTCCATTGCTACCTTCGCGGCTTCTGGCCAGAGTCGCAGGTGATGATGCTCGAGTTTCCTGGTGCTTATACATGACATGTGATCGTACGTTTCTCAGGACTGTCGTAGCCCGGAAATCGTCTGGATGGGTTGCAACGATGAATTGGAGGGCAGGACCCTGTGCGAGCGGTGGGAGGCGGTGTCGACCTGTTCGTCTTTTTGATGGCTTTGGATCGTTGGAAGCCATGTTCAAAGGTATACGATGTCCGAGAGGTGCGTTGCTGTAATGAATCGAAACAAGTAGATGATGGTGCTTGGTCTTTCGGGCCTTTCCAACAAGTGACAGAGATTTGAAAGTTTAGAGGCATGAACAATTGACCATTGGCGTGAGATGCAGGTACTCTTTGGGATACTACAACGTGCTATTAGCCTTCTTTGGTGCTGTGAGCCTCAGCCACAAGGAAAAGATAGCGGTGGACATCTGACAGGGTTCAGGTTGGCTGCGTCGCTACGGTATTGTAGTAAAAGCATGTTCAAGGGAGGCCTCAACTCAAAACGAACCAGTGATGAGAATTCATAACATAGCCGGGAGGATGTAGTAAGGCGTATACCGTTCCCTAGGTTCGTCATCTTAGAATGTGTATCGCGCACGCCGGATCATAACTATGGCGCAGCACACACTGAGCAGATGACATTCGGTAGAGACCGAGTATGTACTGCTTGAGGCAGTGGATACGGTGAATCCCGCCGTCGGTCCCGAGAAGCGTGCCGATACGCGCCTCTATGCTCCCGATCCACACCCGAAGGACTTCGGAGAAGAATCATTCTCGGCCTAGTGTGTGGCTGGACCATAGCACCTCACCCATCGGCAGCCCGACACCGAGAGAACCGGGCCAAGCGCGACAGTACAGACCGCCATCCATAGCCCTTGATGATGCCAAGAATATCCATTGAACTTGTACTTTCGAGCCCGATGGCTTTGTGGATGAGTCCTTGTATGTCGATATGTTCCTTTCGAGCTCGGCTGACATGGCATTGATTGCTTTGATGCTACCCGCACCTTTCCCTCCAATTCAAAGGTCGAGAATGTAGATTAGCTGTGGGAAACAAGATCAGCATGCTGGTGGTCAACTAACCCATTTACCTGTTTCAGTCGTAGCGCGCGGGCATACCCTGGATGTTGCATATAAGCCGCAGGCCCACGCAGTGAGCATTGGGTCAGTATATCCTTATTGGATCGGTAGCAGCCCTAAGAACGCCTTGAGTGCTCCTTTGACCTGTGGTAAATTGAGGGCACAGCGTCTACAGCCAACCGCGTAGGGCGCCTCTTTGAGTAGGTTATAGAAAATCCAAAGACTGATGTGTCCAGCTACATTGCCCGGTAACCAATTGAGTTTTCTGTATAATAAGGCAGTGGCTCTATCGCAGTAATGGTTAGCATGTAGCTTGTGGCTTGCTACATCAGCCACAACATGGGCTCACATAACGTGGCTGTATACATGCGAGGACATGACGGAAGATTTACCTAGAAGAGCAATTCAAAACTTGGTGCCATTCTCTTGGTTGAAGTGTCACACGGTGAAGTCCCTGTCATTGTCCTAAAAATATTTCGCTCGAAAGGGCCGTTTTACTGCGTTGGCGCGTTACGGGAGCTGCACGAAAGGAAAGGAAAAAAACACGCCCGCCGGAAAAACGACAGCCTAGTGTTGCACTGGCTGCGCATGAAGAAAGCAACTGGCAAAAAATTGGCAGGCTCCTTACCAAGTGTTGATCTCTTCTGAAAGTAGCAAGCCGAGTAAAAGAAATATGTATCGTGGCTACCTGAAAGTTTGATGCACAAGAGACGTGGTGAATGCAGACTTGCGTGCAGTCGACTGACTAGTCTCGTTATCAGCATGCTTACAGATGTGTTGCATCGACTGGTAGGGTGGGTACGATTATGGTGTACAGGTGTATCCATGCCCGAATCTGTCGGCACCAAGAACCAGTGTGGCCTTCCTTCTGGAGGCGAATACCTTGCCACAATCTCATCAAGATTACTGGGGCCATGCTGATCTGATAGCACGTATCGTCATGGCTTGGCGACAATGCTTGGTGTTGAACTACCGTTGTTGCCACTTTGAGGAGTATACACAGCTATGTGTGTATGTGTCTGTGATAACAAATGACGCAGTGAAATTCGAGATAGAAAAACAAACGTGGGGTTACAAAAACGCACGACGCACGAGCCACAGGGATGCAATTACTTGCTTGGGCCATGTTTCATTGCTGGCGGCGGCAGGAGCGCATCACGGCATGCGAGTCAGGCAGGACACTCGTGCTTTGAAGGATTCGATGCTTGCATACAAAAGACAGAATATAAAAAAAAGCATATGAAATACATTGCGACACGTCACAACTTAACTATAGACCCAATCAAAGTATCGATGCATAAGTCTAAGTCATGACTATCATACGCAATGGAGTATAGGTAACAGAGCAGCGCACTACTAAAGTCCATTATGCTCGTGGAAACAAAAGCCTTTTCTCTTCCATCACGGTAGTCGATGTTTAGTGACAGTAGGAAGCGTAGGAGTACATGCGACAACGCCAAAGAGTGAGAGAGCACCACATCAAGGCACATATCGATACCCAGATTCCCTTGTGTTTTCATAGCGTTGATCTTTGACCCTTGCCCAGGTGTTAACATGTTCGTGTCCCAGGGTTTGCGGTGAATGCGATTACGAGGTCTAGGAGAGGGGATCTACGTGGTCGCCTTCGGATACCGACTTGGTAGGGTCGTTTCGCCTCATGATGCCCTCGACAGGTCCCAGCAGTCGCTGGAAGCCGTTCTTGCCAAGAGTCGCAACCTTGACCTCAGTCTTGCTGATGACCGAGGCAGCGCGGGGCGCATCATTGAGCAGCGCCAATTCACCAAAGTAGTCGCCCTTTTGATATTGGTTTACAGGGCCGTCAATTCCGCGCTTGAAGACCTCTGCTTCTCCAGCCTCAAGCAGGAAGAACGACTCGCCAACATCGCCTTCTTGGATGATGGTTGTTCCGGGCGGATATTTTTTGGTTTCAAGAGCGTCGGCAATCTTTGAACGCTCATAGGGCGTCAGGGTGGACAGTAGGGGGACCTCTTCGAGGAAGCCCTCGTACATGCGTCGACGCTGGAAGGCGCTGTCCATGAGAATGCGACGGAAGGTGATGCGGTCGAGTGCCCAGAGGGTTGATGGCTCTGTCGAAGTAACTGTCGCGGCACGGGGCGCATTGTACATGAGAGCTAGCTCACCAAAGGAGCCCCCAGGTCCGACAGTGCCTACCTTGTTGCCAGCACCTTCGGCGCCCGCTTCGAGCTTTCCTGACTGGTTGACGTAGATGTCGAATGAGCCCTTTTCGACGACGTAGAAGTAATCTCCGACATCACCCTGCTGGATGACCTTTATGCCCTTTGTTGGTATCGGCTTTTCGTGCAGGGCACCAAGGACCATTGACGATTGGTCGTCATCAAGATGTGAAAAGAGGAAGTTGCCAGAGACTGCCGACTTGAGACGCGACAGCTGGTCGGGCGTCTTCTGATGAAAGGGCGGGGTAAAGTTGTCGGCGGCACTTGAGGTGGGGTTGAGGGATTCGGCCGAGACGGAGGTGCGCCTGTTGGTGTTGTAGTTGTTGGGGAAGGTCTGGCCCTCTCCGACAAGCGGCGGCATCTGGGTGATGTTGTTCTTGGAGGAACCGCCAAAGCCGCCAAAGTTGCCAAAGTTGCCAAAGGCGCTCTCGCCCACGGTGCCCAGGTTGCCGTGGTTGCCGTTGTTGTGGGCGCGGGCAAAGTCGACGGCGGCAAAGGTCGAGGCTGTGGGCGACGTCATGGTGTCGTTCTCCTCTTCTTCCTCAAGGCGGTGCATGGTCGTCTTTACGAAGCTGCTGCCGCTGCTGGGCGAGGTGCTAAAGGGGTTGTTGCCCGGGAAGCTGTTCTCGGCACGGCCCTGATGGCTGGCGTGCTGTTGCGACAGCAGGTACTCGGTTCGCTGCGACTCGAGGCGGCGGTTGAAGAAATTGGCACAGAATTGGAGGATGTCGTGGGGCTTGTGCTTGAGGATTTCGCGGTCGAGGGTGGAGATTTCGTTGGAGTAGTCGGGAGGGAGGGACATGAGGGCGGTGGGCGGGTGGTGAGGGGTTGAGCGCAGCTCTTTGACGTCGGTCGTCGGTCGCGAGACGTACAGGGATGGAGGGGGGCAGCAGCAGCTGGCAGTGCGGCGAGGATCCAAGGGCAGCGGCGATGCGAGGTTCAAGGGGGGAAGGAGGAGAAGGAGGAGGAGGAGGAGGAGGAGGAGGAGGAGGAGATGGGGGACAGGACGACAGCGGCGGAGGTGAAGCTGGGTGGCTAGTAGAGAAAGCAATTGTACTGTAGGTGCAAAGGCCCCCAGGGGTGAGGGCGCAGTGATGACGCGCTGGGCAGAGTGGGTGGTGGGTGGGCAGGCGGGCAGGCAGGCAGTCAGAGGGGGACTACTAGACAGTAGCAGTAGCAGTAGCAGCAGCAGCAGGTAGGGATCAAGGCAATGGAGCTGGGGGCGTATTATCTTCCAGAAGGCCTCTAGAAACTCTCCGTCTGGCTTGAGGCGCTCACGGCGACATTTAGGCGACGGCTTGTCTGCCAGCCGTGACTCAATGTCTGGTGCTTGTCCATGCGGTGCTGCCATGGATCAAAGAGCAGATGCCAATAGGCGTGTGTGCTTTAGCTCCCGCCTGCTGTCCATCCATGGCTGGAGCTTGCGCTAGGCGTCAGGGGAGCTTGCGGCGGTGGCGGGGAGGATGCAAATGCCCCAGAGCCCGTGGGAGAGTGTGTAGTATGTATGTACAGTAGTAGTACAGAGCAGAGAGGGCTCACATGGCAGACATATGAAATGGTCAACCAAGGCCAAACAGGAACAAGGCAAAGGCGATGCTTGTCGGCTGCTCGTAGCTACGCAGCTCGTTTCCCTGTAATTAGGTGCCGCTGCTGAGGGAGTGGACAATAAACCACCGAAATGAGCCTTATGGTGCATACTGGATCACCAAATGCCCCAGGCTCACCCAAGGGCGTGCAAAGATACGGGCGGGCAAACTATGGACAGATGCAGGGACAGAATGATTGTCCGGCCCACCAGTCCACCAGTTCTGATGAGTAGCCTTGCCGTGTTTCATCTTTTATTCGAGACGTTTTGTTACATGCGTCTTGCAGACCAAACATGGGCGGGCCGGCTGACACACAACTAGCGGTGAGCCACAGCCTGGCTATGGCGCAGGCGATGCGGTGAGTGCAGCAAGACAGGCTGGGACATGTGAGAGCAAGAAGGGGGTGTTTTGGTCTGTGCAAAGAATCTCTTGTATTCGTGCATGTGCAGGACAATAATGCTGCTCGTCCACAGCGGAATGAATTAATGCACGTGTTAGCCACAGAGCAGCAGGACGATGACGCACTCTGACCGCTTGCGTGGGTGGTGCAGGGTCACGTGCCTGACATGGTTGTGTCTGCAAGCTGCGAGCTGCGAGCTGCGAGCGGGAGGGGCCATGATGTATTCTCGTTTTTTTGCGGGCGCGCGCAATGACCGCCAGCACGAATTGCGCCGCCCACTGCACAACTCGCCCGTGCCAACCGTGGGCGGGTACAGTCTGAGTCAAGCCTGGCTGCAATCAAGCCGCCACACCACACAGGTACACGCACGCAGGCTTTCGTCATTGTACATTGCTCGCCATTCTGTCGTCCCGCCCGCCTGTGCCATTGCAGATTGCGCGCCATCAACGGCATCCCGCCAAGCAATGACGCCGCTAACCGCGCCGTCTCCAGTCTTGCACCTCGACTACAACATCGCGCGCAGACTGAATAACCTCGCCAGTTCACTCTCCACAGCGCCCTATTGCCATATCCCCCTTTGCCCTGCGCCTGCGCTCCTAATCCGCCTCCTGTCTGTCCCCTCCGCATAGCTGCAAGCGTTTCTGTCGTGCATACAAACATCGTCCGAGCGCGCGCTGCCGCTTGATTTAGCTCCACCCGAACCGAGCTCCTGATCCTGCCCTACCAGCCTCCTCCAAAACTGCCCGCTCTTTGCGCCCTCCGACCTATCTCTCTCCTGACTACCACAATTGCATTTCTCCAATCGCCTATTTCTGCTGCGCTGACATGGGCAAATATACTTTTACCTGGTTCGCTTGTCCTCGCCCTGCCTACAACTACAGCTAATCGTTAATGCGCTCCCAGGGAACACGCCGCCAATGATGTCTACGTGACTGGCACCTTCGATGACTGGAGGAAGACAGTCAAGCTCGAGCTGGAAGATGGCGTCTTCCAGAAGACGGTCGAGCTGCCCAAGCTTCACACTCAGTACAAGGTGCGTGCGCCCACTTCCGGCTCCCCCAAACCCGCTGCCGCGTGCAGCCTGTCGCGCAGACTTTGCTAACTCCTCTCTTGTATAGTTCGTCGTGAACGGCAACTGGTGTACCAATGAGACCGCCCGCACAGAGGACGACGGCCATGGCATCATCAACAATGTCCTCTACCCCGAGGACATTGTCGGCGAAGAGCCAGTCAACACCTTGTCGTCTGTCGGACCCGAGTCCACGACCGCTGCGCTTGCCGGTGCTGTGCCCAAGGAGAGCGATAAGAGCGCCACAGATAGCTCTGCCCTGCCTGGTGCCTTCCCCGAGACACCTTTCGCAGAGACACCCGGAGGAGAGGCCCAGACCTTCAATGTCGCTCCCATTCCTGCTACCTCGACTAATGGCAACCCCGTTAAGCTTGCGCCTGGCGAGCCCGTTCCCGACCCAAGCACTCTTACCAACAACACCATAGAGTCGACCGTCAAGCATGACGAGGAACCTGAGCAAGAGCCTTCTACTTTTGGTGTTGCCCCCATCCCAGCTACCGCCGGCACTGGAAACCCAATTCACCTTGCACCTGGCGAACCTGTTCCTGACCCCAGCACTCTCACCTCCAACACCGTCGAGAGCACCGTCAAGACCGACCCCGCTTCCTACGAAAAGGCTGATGCTCTTCCCCCCCTTGCTTTTACTCCTCAAGCCGAGCGCGATGCCAAGGGTGGCATGTTTGGTATCCCTCCTATCACTGGCAACATGATCCCCGAGTCTAGCCTGCCCATGGGAGTCGATGCTAAGGTTGAGCAAGACACTGGCGTGACCATTCAATCAGTCGCCCCTACAAGCACAACTGTTGAGCTTGCTGGCCAGGTTCCCAAGGAGCCTCGTGGCGTCCCCGAGACTGTGACTGAGAGCCAACAGCAGGCTCATGTCGAGCCCGAAGCATCCGCCAATGCTGAAGCCGTCCAGGAGAAGAAGGAGGTCGAGCAAGAGCTAAAGGAGACTGTACCTGAGGCACCTGTTACAAGCCAAGATCCCACTCTGGGTGACCATGCTCAGGCCGCAGTTGCTACAGCGGCTGCTGGTGCTACCGCTGGCGCAGGCCTCTTTGCCGCGGCTGTCTACACTGCCAAGGACAAGATTGCCGAGACCACTGGTTTGAACGGACCTAGCACAACCACTGCCGACGAGGTACCTAGCGTCGTTGCTGAGAGCCAAAACACCGCACACGCTGAGCCAGAAGCGGTTGCCAGCCCGGAGGTTGTTGCGGAGAAGTCTGCCGTTGAGCAAGAGCTACTCAGTGAAGTCCCCAAGATCAACGCAACTGGAGAGCCTGCTCCCGCCATTGCAGTCCCCGCTGTTGTCTCTGAGAGCCAACAAGCCGCACATGCCAGTCCTGAGGCAGCCTCAAGCCCTGAAGTGGTTGCGGAGAAGTCTGCCGTTGAGCAGGAGCTGCTCAGTGAGGTCCCCAAGATCAACGCAACTGGAGAGCCTGCTCCTACTGCCGTCTCCGAGACTATATCTCCCGACGTCCCTGAGATTGTTGCTGAGAGCCAACACGAGGCCCACGCTAGCCCCGAGGCTGCTGCCAACAGCGAAGCTGTCACAGAAAAGGCGGCTGTAGAGTCTGAGCTGCTCAGCAAGCTACCAAAGGCCGAGGAAGCTGGTGAACCTGCGCCTGTAATTACTGCCGCTACCACGGCCACCGCTCCTGGCGCAAACACCGAGGCGGTCGCTAGTGATGTGCCTGCTGTTGTAGCTGAAAGCCAGAAGGAGGCCCATGCCAGCCCCGAGGCTGCTAGCAATGCTGAGGCAGTTAGTGAGAAGAAGGCTGTCGAGAACGAACTGCTTCAAGAGGTAAAGCCAACTCACGCTAATGGCGAGCCAACTCCCAGCTCCACAGCCGTGGATTCCAAGCCACTCGAGTCCTCCACTGAGCCTCAGACTGTCACTGAAACCGAGACTGCCAAGCCAACCGAGTCAAGGCCTATTGACTCCACCACTGATGTCGCCTTTGCCCCCAAGGAAGCTACCTCGACTGAACAAACACAGCCCACTGCCGGTGAGGCTTCAGCAGACGCCAAGCCAGATGCCGAAACATCTGCACCTTCAGCGCAATTGGCACCCGAGGCCCCGGCTAAGAGCCCAAGGCAAGACTCCGACGTGTCTCCCAAGGGCACCCCGGGCAGCCAGAGCATTGTCTCTGCTGCTGACGACAAGAAGAAGAAGCGCCGCTCTTTCTTTGGAAAGCTCAAGGACAAGCTTGCCGGCAAGGACAAGAACTAAACGGTTTATCCATTTCGTTGCTTGTCTGCTCTCCTCGCTAGTCATCTTTAGTTACTAGAGATGACGATGTCGACGGATTGAGCGTGGTAATACCCGGGGGTTTTTCTTACACTGCTCTGCTTTGCGTCATATCCCTCCCATCGTTTTATCGTTCCTAATATGGAGTTTGCTTTTTTTTCTTGTTTTGGTCTATACCATTTTCCTTGCAGTGTGACACGTCTCCTCCGTAGCAAAATTTGATGTGTAATTTTTTGTTCATCGACATATCTCGCGAAGCTCTCATGGTGGGGTGGGGGGACTGGGTTGCAAGGTAGATTGGGAAAGAAATTGGGGCGGTATAATAAATCTGGGAGGAGGATGGTGTGGGAGGATCTTGTCACGTGCTCTTTTTCGGGTCTGGTATCGCGTTGTAGGGATCTATAGTACTGGCCCATGAATGTATACTTAATTTTCTAGTCATGATTACTTGGTTTTGATTTCCATTTCGTTTTCGCTCTTTTGGCTGTTGAGTGGTTATTGTGGTTGATTGACAGGTCATGTGACGTTTTTTCCACTTCACCCTACTTTCACAATGTCAAGCATATACAAAAATGCCCATCTTACCTATTCTACTGTATCCATACAATGTCCTTCCAAACACCCAAACAACATCCTTTCTCCAACCTTTATAGCTCCCTCCCCACCATGTTCCCCCTTCCGCCAACCCTCTCCTCTCCGCCCTATCGTCTCATCTTCACTTAAAGAACCACCCCTACCGACCCCAAAATCGTAACCTTTTTTAAAAATCTCAAAGAAAATGACAAGAAAGACGTAACCCTTAATGCCCGCAGCATTTTTAAATCCCTACTATTCTTATCACTATAATTTTTTTTAAAAAAAATCAAGCCCAGAATGGCGCTTCCGACACAGACTACACATCTCCATCCGGGGTACCTTGTCACACACCTCTATCCACATCACCACAACCCATACTACCCCTCCGCTCGCCACCCTCTCCCCCGACCTCACTCGAACACTAGTAACAATGCATCAGACCTAAAATCTCTCATCGACCAGCACCTCGCATGGCAAGACAACGCCGTGCGGCCTGGAACGCGGGGCACGTTGCTTGTGGATTGGGATGGGAGTGGGGAGCCGCTCTTGTCGTATCGAGGTGGTGATGGGGCGGGTTTGAGATATGTTACGGATTTGAGAGAAGACGGTGACGCTGGTGGTATTTGGGAGGAGGAGATGAAATGTGAAGAGGAGAGCGGGGAGGAACCGCTGTTGTCATATCGATGCGGGGATAACGAGGTTGTGGAATGTGAAGAGGAGGAGAGAGGTGTGAGGGAGGTGTTGGAGGAGATGATGATGGATAAGGGGGTGGAAGAGAAAGGTAAGGAGATGGTGAAGGAGAGGAAGGGGGAGGGGGAGGGGGAGGTACAGACGGGGTTTTTGATTCGGAGGAAGCCGGTTCCTGTACGGCAGGAGGGGGAGGAGGGGAAGAGGGACGTGGATGTTGGTGTGGGTGTGTGTGTTGACAAGGCGGTTCTGGAGGTTGGTAAGAGACTTCCGGAAGTACCTGGTGAAAAGGAGATGGAGAGATTGCCTATATTTTATAAGTACGAGGAGGCGTCGAATGAGCGCGAGGAGGTGAAGAAGAAGGAGAATAAGGGGAGTGTAGGAAGGTTGGCCGAAGTATTGAAGGAAGAGGGGTCGGAGGTTTGGGGTATGTTGAAGTATGAGGGGAAAGAGTTGATGGCTGTTTTGAAACATGAGGGGAAGGAGCTGTTCGAAGAGGTTAAGGAGGACGGGAAAGAGTTGTTGGAGGGTTGGAGGGAGGAAGGGAGGTGGCTTTCGGTGGTGTTGAGGAGGGAGTGGAGGGATGGGAGGGTAGTGGTTGGGAAAAGGATTAAGAAGGTAATGTCTATCCCTGCGTGGCGGGACACCCTGTGTGGCGGAACGATTTTTCATCCGGACCTTCGGCGTCAAGCTAGAATTGCTGCACCAAATTGCAGTTGATAGACTTTATCCTACATATATCATTCTTTGAGTATGTTGGCCTCCGACTAAGAAGAGCGCGTTTTTGGACGTGCTGTCAGTCGTTCTGTCGATGACATCTACAAACCCTCTACTAGTACCCCCTGTTCACTTACAACATCATATCCTTAGTAAGCATTCGGAAGTGCAGGAGGGACGCTTAGATACTCAAGATTAAGATGACAAGATCTCAGGGTTGATTCAAGATTAATAATGTGCTGTCCGGCAGTTTCTCCGCACGGCCTGCAAGATGATCCAAAAGTCATATGACAGGACATAGAGCTTTAGCTGCTCTTGGCATGCAGTAGAGTGCTCAAATGTCTCCGAAGCTGTGGCGCATGACGGCTGATTTCTTGAAGCATCCACGACGGGTATGTATGTGCACAGGTTCTTTGGTCCCCCTCTAAGCTGCATGCAGCTGCTAAGGATTTAATCACTGGCTGCCCCGCTGTCCCGCAATTATTTAGGCAGCAGCCGATCTGATTACCCCGCTACTCTACACGCTAAGTCTAACAACTAATTGTCTTCACATCGCCTTTGCTAAGTAATTACGGGTCGAACTATAGTAATGTGCGACGAAAGATGGGACAGTAGCTTGTATAAGGTATATCACTAATACTAGCAGACTGAAATTAGAGCTAATGATACATATGTAGGAGGTAACTAGGCTGTTGTGTGGTCTACACATTGATACTAACGAATATGGTATAGGAGGTATGTAGAGCTGCGAACGTGGATGCGCGAGGCGGCTGCTAAATATAGTGTCTGTTGCTATAGCCAGTAAGTCAACCTGTGAACGTGGATGCGCGAGGCGGCTGCTAACCTTGGTATGTCTCGTGGTATAGGATGTAAGTTAACCTGTAAACGTGGATGCGTAAGGCGGCTGCTAACCTTAGTGTGTCTGGTGCTATAGTATGTAAGTTAAACTGCGAACGTGGATACGCGAGGCGGCTTCTAACCTTAGTGTGTCTGGTGCTATAGTATGTAAGTTAAACTGCGAACGTGGATACGCGAGGCGGCTTCTAACCTTAGTGTGTCTGGTGCTACGTATAGCGAGTAA